GAGAGGAATAAATGGCAAATGTTTGTGCGAGTTCATGGTGGGGGTTAGATCTGTACTTTTGATTGCCTTAATTACAAAATCGATACCGAATCCTGTGTGTAAATACCTCGTCGGCTTTCTTCCTTTGTGTGCAAATAAGTGCAGTTGAGTCATTTGGGTCAAAGCACTTTGATTTGGTCGATGTTGCGTTTACAGCAAATTTTAGGTTGAGAGAAACATGGAGAAAATGGGATTATGAAAATTTGAGGAAAGAACCAATCTTGTAAAATGTATAATAGTTTTTAAACTGTAAACATATAAATCGGAGTGCAACATGTGCAATTTTCGAATCGGTAAAAATTGCTATCATAAATTTGCGAAAATTGATATCATAAATAATTTTGGATTGAGAGAAACATGAAGAAAATGAGATTTTGAAATTTTGATACATATAAAATTATGGATCAAAAAGAAACTCATCTGGGAACATTTGTAATAATAGTTTTCCAACCTTTAAAAAACGTGAAAAGGAGTGAAACATGTGCCATTTTTGAATCTCCAAATATTGCAAAAATTTACATAGATGATTCCAATGATCTATATATGCCTAGTGCAAAAATTGTGGCTGAGAAGATGAGTAAAATGATTTTTAAAATTTTGAGACATGGCAAATTGCTGTCGAAATGAATCCTACCTTTCAATATTTTTAACGATTTATGAAACTGTACAAAAATATAAATCGGATGGAAACATGTGCAAATTTTGAATCCGCAAATAAATATTGGTAAATTTACATAATTTGAATGAGCCTAATGTGATCACTATGCGTCTTCCGAAACATGGAGAAACTGAAAATGAATAAGTTGATATTAAAATTTTGAGACGCTGTAAATTTAAATTATATGTAGACATGCAACGCATCTTTTATTAACGTTTTTAATAGTTTTTAAATCGGTAAAAAATGCTGATCGGAGTAAAACACGTGCATTTTTCGAATTCGCAAATAATAGACTTACATACGTAATATCAACGAGCCTAACACAAATTATGGGCATACCTGTTCACTTTCATTCATCTGACTGATTATGATGGTGAATGATGGTGAATGAAAATGAATTTCCAGTCATTTGAGTGAAAATGAATTTCCAGTCATTTGAATGAAAATGAATTTCCATTCATTTGAATGAAAATGAATTTCCAGTCATTTGAATGAAAATGAATTTCCAGTCGTTTGAATGAAAATGAATTTCCAGTCGTTTGAATGAAAATGAATTTCCAGTCGTTTGAATTAAAATGCTGAAGGATTCCGTCATTTCGAATGAATGACTATGAATGAAAGGATTTCTCACTCCTTGCATTGTTTACCCTGAGCTTAATACACAGGAAGAAATAAGAAATAAAGTCATGAAGTGAAGTGAAGTGAAATGAAATGAATTTGAAAATTACTAAAGGTGAATGAAAATTTTCACTCAGAAATTGGGATGACTGACTTTTGAACGAAAACTAAATTTTTGAACAGGTATGATTATGGGTTGAGAGAAACACGGAGAAAATTAATGAAATGAGATTTTGCACTTTTAACCCATAGCAAAATTAAAACATATTTATAATAGTTTTTAACCTCCAAAAAGTGTAAATCACAAATCAAAGTGACATGACATATTTACAAATTTTTGAATCCACAAATTTACATAATTTCAATGTGATCCATATGCGTCCCCGAAACATGGAGAAATAGAAAATGAATAATACGATGAAATGAAATTTTGAGACATGACAAATTAAATACGTTCAAACATGCAACATACCTGTTAACATTTATCCTAATTTTTAAGACTGTAATAATTGTAAATCGGAGTGAAACATGTGCAAATTTTCCGAAGGAAATCGAATTCACAACCAAACATTCCTATATAAACAAATGCAGCTTACAATGGAGGCGCAAACCATGCTCAGCCCAGATAATTTTTTGACCTTATTAGTTTGAAAGAGCAAGTCTTTACAAACAACATTTGGTTCAGCACTTGGGCAGATGCGCCAATTTCAGCAAGTTATGGGCGCCGTAAGTTCGCAAAAACGCACGAAGTTGAGCTCGCGCTGGGCATTGCCCGAAAAATCGTGCGTTTGTGCGAACTTGCGGCGCCCATAACGTGCTGAAATTTGCGCATCTGCCCAAGTGCTGAACCAAATGTTGTTTGTAAAGACTTGCTCTTGCTCAAACTAATAAGGTCAAAAAATTATCTGGGCTGAACATGGTTTGCGCCTCCATTGTTAGTCAGTTGGGTCAAAGTACTGTGATTTGGTACACATTTTGGGTTGAGAGAAACACAGAGAAACTGAATAAAATGAGATTTTGAACTTTTTAATTATCAGTGGCAAAATTAACCCTTTATAAAAGTTTTTAAGCCTTCAAAAATGTACATCGGAGTGAAACATGTACAATTTTTCGAATCCGCAAATAAATATTGCTAATTTTACATACCTAATTTCAATGATACATATATGTGTCAGTGGCATACCTGTTCACTTTCGTTCATTTGACTCATTATGATAGTGAATGAAAATGAATTTCCTGCCATTTGAATGAAAATGACTGAAGGATTCCCTCATTTTAGATGAATGACTGTGAATGAAAGATTTCTCACTCATTTCATTTTTCACCCTATGCTTAACACATGGAGCGAAATAAGAAATGAAGTCAGATGAAGTGAAATGAATTGAATTTGAACGAAAATAACTGAATGTGAATGAAAATTATCAATCAGAAATCGGGATGACTGACTTTTGAATGAATACTAAATTTTTGAAAAGATATGGTCAGTGGTTGGTATGTTTCCAGCTATATAAATTAAATGGTGGGTTGAGAGAAACAAGGTGAAAATGGGATTTTGAAATTTTGGGAGACGGGCTGAACGCATCTTTTAATATTTATAATAGTTTGAAAGTGCATAAAAAATATAAATCGGAGTGAAACATGTGCAATTTTTAAATCCGCAAATATTGCTAAATTTACATAATAATTTCAATGATCAATACGTGTAAACCGTATGTCCACAGGGGTTGAGAAATATGGAGAAACGGAGAATGAATAAGGGGATATATTGAAATTTTTAGACAAATTTTAACACATTTCAAATTATGTGCAACACAACTTTAACCATTTATAATAATTTTTAAAACTGTCATACTTATAAATCGGCGTGAAACATGTGCAACGCAAATTTTCCGAAAAAAAATCCAATTCAGAAACAAACCAGTGGGCAGCTTTGGTCATTTACTGTGATTTTGTTAATGACACAAATTATTGATTGAGAATTTTATTGAGAATTATCTCCATCTTTCTCATTGAGAGAAAGATGGAGAAACTGAATAAAATGAAATTTTGCTCTAATTACAATTATAAAATCAATCTTGAAATATATTAACAATACTTTTTAAGCTGTAAAAACATCAATCGGAGTGAAACATGTACAATTTTTGGACAAATTTTCTCGAACTCAGAAACATTCCTATATAAATAAGAAAAATCCCGACAATGGTAAAATAATTATGATCAATATGGTGAGATCTCGCTCTTAAATACGTGGCCGCGGAAGCCGTGGGGACATCTGGGGACATTATCTTTGTAGAATGGTGGGAGGGACGGGTTTATATAAGATGCGGACATCGAACAACCGTGGGGACATTGTCCCTCTATTGTCCCCTCCAGCTTCCGCGGCCACTGGTGGTTCATCCCGATTCTAAACTACTTTTAGCACGCAGCCCGAGTAACCAAGTTTAACTAGATAATCAATTTTTGTTCTATTCTTATAAGTAAAAATTTTCCTGCTGTATATAAACGCTTATCAGCAGGCTTTCACTCCATTTATTTATCACTGTGATGAACAACCGTGGGGACATTGTCCCTCCATTGTCCCCTCCAGCTTCCGCGGCCACTGGTGGTTCATCCCGATTCTAAACTACTTTTAGCACGCAGCCCGAGTAACCAAGTTTAACCAGATAATCAATTTTTGTTCTATTCTTATAAGTAAAAATTTTCCTGTGAATGCTTATCAGCAGGCTTTCACTCCATTTATTTATCACTCTGATGAGAGAGAGCCTGCTAGATTTAGAATCCAGCCGAATAGATCACCAATCCACCCCCCGTCCGAGAGTGCAAATAACATTTCCATCACGATTTGCAGAAAGGATTTCCTTGCATGCGTGGCTCCCATAAAGGCAAAAATGGAATGAAAGAGAGTCGAAAAATGACGACCACCTCGGCCTATGTACATACTTGATCTTATCGTTTTGATAGTGGTGAAATGAAATAGATTCATATTTGTGAGAAGGAAAAACGTATTTGATTCCTTATTCTCACTTTGGGTGGAGTAGAGATGGATGAATATTTTTGCACTAAATATGTATGTAGTTTGGTGTCAAGAACTTTTGGCAAAAATTGATGGGAAATATGTATCATATTTAAATCTATTTTTAGTTACTAATGAATCCATGTTTTATCGTAATGATGCAAAGTCTGGTTTTCTACAGAAGCTTAATTTGTCTCTCATTGTCCCGTCGTAAATAAGTAGGTACAAGTGGTCATAGCTGACATAATCCATAACCAGGCACACTCGTCACTATTAATTTTGACATGTTGCCTAATGAATGCTCAATTGTGCGTTCAAAACTGTGCAAAAATATGCAAGATTTGTATGTATGTACTGTTTTTTGGGCGTTATTTAACGAGTTTGAACCCAAAGGTGTACTGGAGTCACGTCCACGTCATGCCGTTTGACATGGACCAGCGGTTGGCCATGTGCATGTGTATGTATGTGGTCTCGTTTCGGGTCATGTGCACTCTGTCGACTTTTTTGATTTGACATCGAACGAATCGACAATTCCACTCCACGGAGAAGAAAGTAGCCTACTCGTTCTGATTCTTCTGCTGGTCTGGCTTCTGTTTCCAGAGATTGGATTTGAAACGGAATGAAATGGATGTAAAAATTGGGATCATGTTGGCAAACTCGTTAGTCGCGTCGCGTTGGTTGGTCGTGAGGTTGGTTAAGGTTCGTTAGCCGTTTGGCTGGTCAAAAGTGAGTGACATTAAGCAGGCAGGCATTAAACGAGTGGGAGTTAATAATAATATTGAATTGTCCTTGCTACACCAATTTGCATACACAGTTTACAGTTCACTTAATTGTTTAATGTGAGTCTCATTAATTTCGTGGGGCGAAATTGAAATAGAGATCTCTTTTTAAGTACAAATTTGCAAGAAGATTTAGCATTACGGAAGGCGCCATGCTGTGCAAAGTGGACACCCAGACGGATGGGACGTTTAAGTTGAAATTTGTAACCATTGTGAGTAAAATAAAATGAGCATTTAGCAAAAAAAAAATTGTATGAAATTTTTTTTTATGAAAAGGCTTCCTGGAGTTTTGTTTTCACTGGGAATAATTTTCGTACAAACTGTTAATTTGCAAAACTAGAATTGCTAAAAAAATATATGACTTCATGTAAAATGATTGCTGGAAGACTGGAGTCTTTTGATCTGAAATAATTTGCATACATGTGTGCAAACTCTTAATTTCTAATGAACCGACTTCCAAATATAACAAATTATATGAATTTAAAATTATGAATGCATGTAAAATGTTTCCTGGATTTTTTTTCGATCTGAAATAATTTGCATACAAAGTCATAATTTGCAATAACCGAGGTCCATCATTCCTAAAAAAAAGTACACAAATTCACAATTACACGTAATTTTTTTTAAAACTCGTCCAGGATTTTTTTCAGTCTGAAATAATTTGTATACAAACTTCGCCTAAAAGTAGTTTGTAAAAATTATGAAGTAAGTAAAAATGATATGAATGCATGCAAATTTTTGCAGAAATAATTTGCATGCAAAGTCATAATTTGCAATAACCGAGTTCCAGCATTCCTAAAAAAAACTGCACAAATTCACAATTACATGTAATTTTTTTTATAAAAAAACGCTTCTAGGATTCTTTTCAGTCTGAAATAATAATTTGCATACAAACTTTGCCTAAAAGTAGTTTGTAAAAATTATGAAAATGATATGAATGCATGCAAATTTTTGGAAATGTTTCCTGGATTTTTAAATTTTAATCTGAACTAATTCTCAGATGGTGGGGATTCTGGACGTAATTCTGGCGTCGTGTGGATCATGTGGAGATAAGAATGATATTTATTTCCTGGTTACCGTTCTGGTAATTTTTAGCATGTCCTTCCTCCACTTGACGTGTTCCTTGTTGGATGTCTTCAAAGCGAATTGGACGTCACGGGGAATGGTAAATAACAAGAAAAGAGGAGAAAGTTCATGTAAAGAAATCATGCTGTTTTTTAAATGGTTGTTTTTCGCTAGGATTTTTTATTCCACTGCGTCGCCGGCGTGTTGATAATGATAACTTCGATCGTTGTCCTTTCCGCGACGGATGCGAGCAGTTGTCGCGTCATGGAGAAGACGAGTGCTGCGGTAAAATTATGATGAAAAAATTTGTAAACTTTTATGCCTTAATTTGTTATGAGCATATGTGGGAATCAAAATCGTCAAAATCTGCACATTTTTAATCATTACTCGCCCCTGGGAATTTATTTTAAAATTTTGGACGACAAATTTGTAGAGCAAGGAGTTCCCCAATTTTTAAAAATATACACTCCAGATTTTGACACTTTTTGAAGGAGAAGATCTCAAGTTTAAGAAACCTTTAGAAAGATTGGAACTTATCGAAACTGGCGAAACTCACCGGCATTCCATTAATCAACTCATAGATTACAAATTTGTCGTCCAGAATTTTAAAATAAATTCCCAGTTAAGAGAAATGATTCAAAATGTGGTGATTTTGACGATTTTTTTTTGCGCGGAGTCATTAAAAATATTGATTTTTTCAGACCATCGGAATCTTCAATGCCTTCATCTACCTCTACATTTGCTGGCTGATTATGCAACTACTTCGCCGGAAGGATAAAGCGTCCGCATTTCCGCTCTACATTTTCTGTGGCCTTAGCCGCGCTCCCCTTTTTCCTGGAAGCGGAGATGAAGAAATGATCCACCATTTTGAGAGAAAGTTGTCCATGTCGTCCACCATTCCGACAAAGTTGCCGAAAAGTCGAGTAGGAACGCAGGAGTCGATGATGGTGAACAAAAGTTCGGGCGGAGGGACGCCGACGCCGGTGGAAACTTGAGGTCATTTTTGCGAGGAGGAGAACGCCTTGATTTTGGTTTATGCGTTAAGAGAGTCGTTTTAAGTGGAAGGCTTGGATTAATTTTGGATTTAGCTTGAATTTATTACTTTTTGGTTGATTGAGCACCACTGATAAATCATGTGAATTATTCTCTCTGATCATACTTAAATATAGTGCTACATTTTTACGACTAAACTAAACACGTGCCATACGAGACAAGATACGACTATAAGAATAGTATTTGACACCTTGGAAGACATGCCTTAATAAATGCTAATGTCTAATGGAATTTACGATGTATTACATATATATAATCATTCGATGTATGTATGTAACATAGAAGTTCGTAGATAGAGATTGGTTTTACAAATCGGGGAGTAACTTTCGACTAAATAGTTTATGGATATGCTAGTCATTTGGAAAGTTTCTAATTTTAGAGTATTTATGAAAAATTTAGTGATAATTCTAAGGTGTTTGGTAATTAAGGTTTGGCGTTGCTTGACTCATTTGGACGAGAGCAGTTTACTTTCCATTCTTGAGAATAAAGTTGATAATTCCTTGCGTCGAGCTGTCATGATTTCCTGTCGCCTGACCAGCCAATTCTGGTTCGATCGCTTTGGCCAACTCTTTGCCAAGTTCGACTCTAAAATAATGAGATGAGAGAGATATTTAATTTAACGATGTATGTACATGAGAATTAAGGAATTGATTGGCGTACCCCCATTGATCATACGAGTTAACGTCCCAAATAGCACCTTGGACAAAAATCTTGTGTTCATACATGGCGATGAGAAGACCGAGCGTGAACGGGGTGAGTTTCTTGGTCATGATAACGTTCGTTGGGCGATTCCCTGGGAAGAACTGGGAGTACAGAAAAAATCATGTAATTCACATTTGTAGAAAGTTAATAGGCACTTAGCAAAACAACGTTTTTGAAATTTCCGTAAATTTCCCTATCTCTTGAGTTGAGTCAGAATTTCTGGAACCTATTTTGAAATCACTCTGAAGTGTCTTACGAACATTTTTCATATTGTCTCCAGAAATTTTAGCCCAACTCAAGAGATAGGGAAATGTACGGAAATTTTAAAAACGTAAGCTTGCTAACTGCCTAATATGAATTTGAATAAATTCAAATATGTACTTTGTGGGGACGCAGCTCTTCCGGAATTGAGGCGGAAGGTTGTGTCCTTCCCACCATTAAAGCTTCCGGTTGTGCGATAAGATTAGCGAGGAGGATTGAGTGGTGAGAAATGCCAGAAATGTCTTCTTTCTTTTTGGCGAATCCAATAAAGTCTGCAAGAGAAAGGCGTACCTTTGTAAAATCTACAAAGTTTCAAGATTGTAATTTTTTCAATTATACCCGACGGAACAATTCGTGTCCCTTGATGCAATAATTGATAGAACGCGTGCTGTCCATTAGTTCCTGCTTGACCCCAAAGGACGGGCCCCGTATTGAAGGAAGTGATCCTCTTGCCGGAAAGTGTGGCTGACTTTCCATTCGACTCCATATCCGCTTGTTGCAGATAGGCCGGAAGTTTAGAGAGAAACTGGTCGTATGGAAGGACTGCGTGAGACTCCCAGCCAATCACGGAGTTGTACCAGACGCCAAGAAGCGCCAGGATTACGGGAACCTATTGTTGTCAATCAGGCAACAATTAAGTAAAGGACTTTTAAGTGTGGATAACTATCTAAATAGTTAACGCGGAAATTATCCAATGTTTTTCACGTTCAAAATTCTACAGTTTTTGCATAAATTAATGAAAGACTCAATTACTCATCACAAAAATCGTTAAAATAAGCACATTTTTAATCATTTCTCGTCTCTGGGAACATATTTTAAAATTTTGAACGACGAATTTGTAGAGCAGATCGTTACCAATTTTTTTAATCAAAAATTTTTTTTACTTAAAAAAAATTTTAATAAAAAAAATATATACACTCCAAATTTTGACACTTTTTGAAAGAGGAGATCTCAAGTTTAAGAAGCCTTCAGAAACATTGGAACTTATCGAAACTAAATAAATTCCCAGAGCCAAAAAATGATTAACAATGTGCTAATTTTCACGATTTCGGCCATGAGTGATTCACTTTTATCTCACATTTTTCTCCAGTGGAGCATTTTTAAAGTGCTGATCCAAGAATCGAGCACCATCCAATAATTTTCTAAAGTTTGCGAATCCACTCTGCAACGCGACCGAGAGTCCGATAGCCGACCACAAGGAGTACCTTCCACCCACGTAATCCCAAAATTCAAAAGTGGTCGTGATTCCGAACTCTTGCACTTTGGGGAGATTTGTAGAAAGGGCGACGAAATGTTTGGCAATGGCGGAATCGTCTTTAACCTGAAGAAAATAAATGTTGGTAAATTTACAGTAATTAAAATTTTACAGAAAATTTCCACCAAATTTTTCACCTTTTCAAGAAACCATTTCCTTGCAGATTGCGCATTCGCAATGGTTTCCTGTGTCGTGAAAGTCTTTGAAGCAATGATAAACAACGTGGTTTCCGGATTGACCGATTTGAGAACATCCGTCAAGTGGGATTCATCCACATTTGAGACGAAATGGGCCTTGGGACCGACTTGGTATTGAGTAAGGGCTTCGCTCACCATGCAAGGACCCTGAGGATAAACAATAATTATTCATTCGCTCATGAAATTTTTGCATATTCAAGAATTTTTATTATTAGTACCAGATCAGATCCTCCGATTCCGATATTGACCACGCTGAAAAGGTTTAATAAATATTGTGAATTTGTATTTTCATTATTGAGGTAAATTTTGTGTCAGTGTTTCGTTTCTTGCAGTGCAAAGCAATAAACGCAAGAAATTGTAAGAAAGTACAAGAAATTCAGCCACGCGCCGTATGAAGTATTTACAGCGGCAGGGCGTAGTTTCTTGCAGGTCAAAATGACTGCAAGAAACCACTTTCTTGCAGCCTGCAAGAAACCACTTTCTTGCAGCCTGCAAGTTGCAGGTGGTTATTATTACTTGCACCCGTAACACTACTTGTAATTTTATAATTTTGTTAAATATGAAGGAGAATTTGAACAGGTCTCCTTCGTCGAAGCCGTCTTCTTTGTCCTCGTTACCTCTCCAAATTTGTAAATATGTAAAATTTTGATGCCGTAAATATTAAAAGTATCAACTCGAAATATAGTTGTTTGCCATAAGATGCATAAAACCTTCGAGTTCTGCTGCTACAAATTTATGCCCTGGAAAGCAAGAAGTGCAAGAAATGCGAGATGCCAGAAAGTGCATAAAATATGCGCCATCTCTCTAGCCACCACGCGCTGTGTGAAGTATTTACAGCGGCGGGGCGTAGTTTCTTTCTTGCGCCTCGCATTTCTCGCAGGTCAAAATATTAATCTGCAAGAAACCACTTGATTTCTTGCACCCGAATTAAACACTGATATTTCTGTATTTCTTACTCTGTCAACTTTTTCCCCGTGTAGCCCGTCCACACCCCGTTGATCACATCATTGCAAAACTTTTCCATCTGGTTGAGAACCTTGGTCACGTCGTCGATGACATTTTTCCCCTCGAGGGTGATGGGTGGATCGTCACTTCTCGCTCGGAGTGCGATATGCAACACGGCTCGATTTTCCGTCGTGTTAATTTTTCCTGCCGAGTACATCGAGTTTCGCTTATCTTCCAGTTTCCGGGATTTTGCGAGGTCCAAAAGAAGCTGGAATATTTCCGGAGTGACGATATTCTTGGAGTAGTCGAGAAGGAATGGTCCACCATCATCGGGACAGGGAAGGTGGTCCAATTCAACACTGTAATAAAAAACCAAATTTGGGTCAGTTTTAGTAAAAAAAAAATGGAATTTCTCAACAAATTGGCAAAAAATTCGCACTTTTTGACGTTCATATTAATTTATAAATCTACGCAATATTATAAGCAAATTTTAAGGTATCATACATACATACGTCAAAATCGTGCAAAATTAAGTGAAATGCAAAAAAATTTGCACATTTTGGCTTTTATCTTATTGATCTATCAATATCACCAAAATTTTAAGCTATCATACATTACATACATCAAAATTGTACGTAAATGAAGTGCAAAAAATTCGCACATTTTGGCTTAATTATCTTATTGATCTACTCAATAGATCGCAAATTTAAAGCTATCATACATGCATCAAAATCGTGCGAAAATGGAATGAAATGCGAAAATTTAGCTATCTCATCGTACAAAACATGCAAAATGAAATAAAATATTTGCATATTTCTACAAAAAATTTCAATCCACCCACCTAAATTTCTTGAACCGTTCCGGATCTTGCTGGAACAATTCACGCATATCCAACTTGGAACCGGCATCTTGATACAAGGCGACTAATTTGGTGTACACGGGATCCTCGGAAAGAAGTGGGAGTGCCATTTTTGATGTCTTTTAAATTGGCGTGGAAAAAAACTAATATTTTTCAAAATCTTTCTTCACCAAAAACAAGAGAGACAGATAAGATGTGCTTTAATTTAATCGGATGAGATTGGAAATGAAGCAACCTTGACTCTGACTTTGGAGTTCAGTTGGTTTGGTATATGTACATATAAAAGTTGTGGTATAAAGGATACCGGGTTTCGTGTTTGCATTCGGCTATAGTTCGGTCAAGTTGGTGTGTGTTGTACTAAACTTGTATTGCATACTAAACTTTTATGATATTGGAAAATGCATCGTTAAAACAAGGCAGTCAGACCATGTACTTATGTAATTATGCAAAGTCATATATTGATTGAAAACCAATGATGCATCCTTCCTATGCAACATCAAATGCATTTACCAATACCTGATCAAGCATTGCTTCAAGTATGACATGACTCAACGCCAAAATTACCACATTTTTAATTATTTCTGGGCTGTGGGAATTTATTTTAAAATTGTGCACGACAAATTTGTAGAGGAGGGAGTTACCAATGTTTAAGAAATATACGCTCCAGATTTTGGCACTTTTTGAAGGAGGAGATATCAAGTTTAAGAAACCTTAAGAAAAATTGGAACTCGTCGAAACTGCTTAAAAACTCACTATTAATCAACTTACCGACTATTTTAGAAATCTGTCGTACAGAATTTTAAAATAAACTCCCAGAAATGATTAAAATATGTTCATTTTGACGATCAGGCCTATGTTAATACAAAATTATTTACATAAATCCAGACGACCGGCATATGTATGTATGTACAAAGAAGACGTTTAAAGTGTCATTATTCTATAAAGCTGCAATATTGAAGTGTAACAAATTATTAATCTGTATTCATTCTTAATCCGTAGAATAAATAAAAGTAAAAAACAAACTTATCGAAATGAAATACAAAACATTTTTGAATTTTAATCTTCTTCACTCGGTCCATCGATGAGTACAGTGTTGATTCGTGCAGACGTAGTACAGCCTCATTTCATCCTAGAACAAGAAACAATAAATGTTAATGAATAATTATTACATGATTTAATTATTTATTTAAATTTACGACGACGACATACTTCAGCCCGTCGGGTCTGCGCCTGGAAGAAGACGGCCTCCTTACTCTGACATTTAGGACAAGGATGATCCTCAGTTCGGGGAAGAGTGGGGTCAGAAATCACGTCGCTGACGATGTGGGTCAATTCACTGGAATAATTGGCAAAATTAATAATTTTTGCAGAAGTACAGTGTTCTCAAAATAGAACCGGACTGATAAGCCTTGACGGTATCATCTGTACCGACAAAGCTTATCGGTGCGGTCTTATTTTGAGAACTCTAGACAAAGATGAAATGATTTTAAATTAATAATAATTGGTTTCATCCATAACTTACTCAATTTCGTGCGTAATCTTGTTTACGTAGATGCAATTGTTGTCCGCAATTTGCTTGTAGTCGCAATTTCGGCACTATTAATTGTTAAGAGAAAAATAAATAACTTCCAATTTTCAAAGTATTTTTAATTAAATAAACTAATTACGGCATAAAGTAACTGTCGGTTCTCTTTATCTTCTCGCGGGTACAACATGTTGTTGCTAAAAAATTAAGGCAATAATTAGCGGTTTAATTAGTTAGTAATTTCCGCCATGAGCGATTTAATTGGTCAGTAATTTCCAAATTTTAATTATTGTTAATTACTCACCATTCCGGACAAAACTTGATCCCTACAAAAGCCGGTCCTTGGCCGGATTGTGGCTGGTCGATGCTCATCCGTTGCGCCATTGTTTTCAAGCAGTGTGACAATTAGTATGTCTAAAAATATGAGAACAACCGGCGATGACAATTAATTTAACGTTAATTAACTAATTATCTTTAATCTTTGATAGAAAAGTGTAAATAACGAAATAATCGTTTCTGGAGTGAAAGAAGTGAAACACGTGCCGGCGGTTGGTTTCAGTTTGCCCAACTCAATGAACATTTTTATTTGTGTTCAAAAAATTCACAAATTTTAATATTTTTAAATACAATTAAAAACTACAATTAAAAATGCTTCAAAAAACGAAGTGCGTACTTTTGGGTGTGGTTTGATTCTGTTCTCGGGCGGTGAGTGATTTTTTTTGGGTAAGAGATTTAACAATTCAATTTTATTCAAACGATTTTTGAATTTTATTGACAAAAAAACTATAAAATTTTTATAGTTTTTTTGTCAATAATAATTCTAAAATTTTACTAAAAATTTAGACGAGCAGTTTACAAGTGTTAGTTTAATTGGTGGAATCATCAACAATGTCCTTCCTCGATAAGTTCCCATCGAATCCCTCCCCCGAAGAAACGTTAGCTCAGCTTCAACGTTTCCTCGGAAGGAACTCATCCCTTCAACCGGCCTCCTCCAGCGCGATGTCGAATAACAAAGGAATCAAGGGCAAAATTAAAAAGTCCACGATTCCAGAAGAGCTGAGCATGCAGGATTTGACGCACTTGGGAATGTGGCTTATCAGACATCTCCCCGTTTCGAGGGACTCCGTATTTGAATTTATTTCCAGCACGTACAGCCAATTTGTGAAGGAATACATTATCCAACAGCAGGTTGGGGGCAAAATTTAATTATTTAGATGTCTTCTACAAAAGGCGTTAGGACATGGTTTTGACGAATTTGCGAGTGAATATCTCTGGCGGGGAGTTGAATTTTGAACTGATTTTTGGTCAGTTGCAAGATAATACTCTCAAAAAGATATATTTAAAATTTTAGGCCGATAGCTTTATAAATGCCCCCTCCAGTGCCCCCAGAGTTGGAAGGAGCCAAAAAAACACATTCCAAACTGAATTTCTCATATAGCATGATAACCTATGAGGTCAGAGGTGAATGATTGTTAATATTACAACCCTAGATAATCATTGCATGTAATAATAAAAGAATCTACATCAATTACATAACGTTGGGCCTCCATCGTCGCTGATACTTTTTCATGAAAATTGATAAATCGGACCGTGCACAGGAAAATTGACCTGCTGACCTTGAAAGCGGACCCACTCGGTCAAATGAAGATTGAGGGCAAAGCTCTAAGTGTCCCAAATAATATTAAATTAAACAGTGAAGATTTTGTGTAAACAGTTCTGGAGAACGACCCTAGCTAATCAGCTGTCGCGGAATCCTAAAAACTCGTGAACTTATTTGGAAAATTAATGGTCAATTTTTTTCGAAAATAAATTTTACTAATCTTTTTGTGTCCCTTACTGCAGAACTATTTTATCTACAAGGTACAAGTGACAAAATAATAAAATTATTGCGTTTTGGTTAGGTAGATTATTTCTGAAGTTCGACATCGAAAACGACGGGAACTTTTCCAAAAAATTTATAAGGTCTGATGAAAACTCAGTCCGTGGGGTTTAACCACTTATCAAAATTGTGTCAAAAGTACTTACAGTGCAATATACTATATGTACCTTGGATAAAAACCACGTTAGGGATTTTTAGCATCAAAGTCGTAAAATGTGGGGGCCTTAAAAGTCGAGGAGTTGCGTTCACGAGAGTATTCCATTAGGACAAGTATGAAGCTAGACTACAAAAGGGACTTAAAAGATAAGCATGAGATAAAAGTGGTTTTATATAGTGAAAAATATGCTAAGTCCCTTGATAATAGTCGCAAAGACGAATTTTGCATCAGGACCTAATAAACAAATCTTTTGTTCAACGCCATTTTTTAAGAACACTGGTTTGGAAAACTAAAAAAGGACACCTCTCCAAATTTGACCTTGCCTCATTTCGCGGAGTACACAAAATCGGAAGCCAGATATGCTTACCTATAGTTTGAGACATGGGCTTTCACATAAAAAAAGTTAGAAATCTCTACGACTAAAAACCATCCCGCAATTAAGGTATGAATTCGTCAAAACCATGTCCTAACGCCTTTTGTAGCGTATGGTCTCCGATTTTGAGCAAAGTATTAGTGATAATCAATCAATCAATAGTGATAATCCATCACAAATTTAATTGGTGTGAAATTTGCGGAAGACAAGATCTCCCAATGGGCACGTTCGGCAGAGATATTTGCATCCGAAGAGGAGAAAACGCACCATAAAGTTGATAAATTTTACGCTTTCCAAATTTACTGCGCCTTTTCTCCTTTTCAAATGCAAATATCTTCGCCAAGCGTGCCCATTGGAGGTCATGTTTTTCGCAAATTTCATACCAATCAAATTCGCGATCGATTAACACAAATTTACTCAAAATCGGAGAGCATATGTTGGGAAACCTTAATTGCTAGTAATTAATTGCTAAGTATTTAACTTGTGCAACTGTGTCTGTCTTCCTCACAGGGAAATGTTTCTTCTTGTACCGACGACGATTTAAAACTACTTGACGACATTCACGAAGCGTTCCTAACTTTTTTGAAAGCAAATGGTGAAATTTGGGCCCCCATCCTGTCAACTTGGACGCTTCATCTGCTTGGACAATTGTCGAAAGACTACAGCCACCAGATTGCCTTCACACATGGAGCACAACTGCAGAATGTTAATGACACGATTCGTTTCTGGATGGGGTCAAAGGCTATTCAGAGTTTGATGGATTTGACGGCCCGTTGTCTCACGTGTCGTGATCATGCGAATGCGGATACTTTCATTTCTGCATTAATTGGTAATTATATTGTAATAATTACGAATACGTCACCAAAATTCTCAAAATCGTCACCTTGTTAATCATTTCTCGGCCCTGGGAATTTATTTCAAAATTTTGAACGACAAATTAGCAGTCAGTGAGTTGATTCATGGAATGGTGGTGAGTTTTTTAAGCCAATTTCGACGAGTTCCAATGTTTCTGAAGGCTTCTTAAGCTTAAGAATTCCTCCTTAAAAAATGTCAAAATTTGGAGTATATTTTTCAAAAATTAAAAATCTGTAGTATATATTTTTTTTAAATAGGCCACTCCCTGCTCTTCAAATTTTTAGTCCAGAGTCTTAAAATAAATTCCCAGAGCTGAAAAATGATCAAAAATGTGTGGACGATTTTGGTTTCCAGTCATCGAGTCCTACAAGTGAACACCATTAGTTAATTAATTTGAATTTCTTATTATTTAGATACCAGCACAATTCACAGTCCCCGTTTCGATTGGGTTGTCGCACACGTTGGGAACACGTACCCTCAAACGATTGTCTCGCAAGTTTTGAATCTTGGATTTCAGCACTTTTCCGTAAATTCACCCATGGCGTCGGTAAAACTAAACTCGGTCCGAGCAATTCTCGAGCATTTGGTTGGAACTCATGCGAAAGAAGTGCAGCAAGCGTTTGACCAAACGATTCAAGTATTTGATTAATTCATTGGCAATTACAATTTTTAAATTGATGATCATTTTTTGATGAATTCTATTGCTTCGTTTACACAGCAAGGATTGACGGACAATAGTTTGAACATGGTTATTCTCTACGTGATGACGATGTGCTCGAATTCCATGCCCCTTCTCGACGTTCTGATGGACACCGTGTTTCCCCGACTTAATGAAGAAACGCTGCTAAAACTTCGTACCATTGTGCCTAAATGGATCCAGATTCACTTTGGAGGTCGTGAGGTGGCTGCCGTGGCGTTAGTGACGCATTTGATCATGAAAAGTTCACGGGGTCCGAGAGCACTGGAAATTCTGATGAAAGGTTGCAAAGAATGGGTGCCCCCGATCGGAATATATGCACGGACTCTCTTGGGTGCGTATGAATTTATCATGATTTGACATTTTAGGACTCGTGTTCAAAATCAGCACATTTTTAATTATTTCTCCGCTCTGGGATTTTATTTTAATAATTTTAGACGATAAATTTGTAGAGCAATTTTAAAAATTGTTCCCAATTAAAAAAATATACACTCCAGATTTTGAAACTTTTTGGCGGATGGGATTTCAAGTTTAAGAAGCCTTCAGAAAAATTGCAGCTCATCGAAATGGCTTAAAAACCTACCATTCCATTAATCAACTCACTGACTACAAATTTGTCGTCCAGAATTTTAAAATAAATTCCCAGAGCGGAGAAATAATTAAAAATAATTAAAAATGTGCTGATTTTCACGATTGTGTCATTGAAATCTACGTTAACAAGTCATTAACTAGGCATAATTAATCATTAATCTAAATTTTGATTAGTATAATATGAAATGCAAATATTGTATTTTTTCCCCCGCAGATCACTTTATTGCCGAAGCCTCCAGCATGTTTTACGGCTCCGACTCTCCCAGAAAAGGCCTCGCCACAAACTTCCCCGCCTTCCCCGCAATGAAGGACAACTCCTCCATCATCATAAACTTCTTAACCGACACTGACCCCCAGATAGCTCGCGCAGCCAAACAATTCGTCAAAATCCTCTCCATGTATGACGGCGCCGCCGTCGGAGTGAAGGCAATCTGCCACTATCTCAACCATTCTACCGACGACGTCCACCGCTGGCACATGGTCGACCTGATCGCCATGCTCGAAATGAAGTATTCCAACCTTCTCACCGACACCCTACAAATTTTAGCCATCCGCTCCTCCAACTCAGACAAAGCCAAGATCTCCGACAAACTACGAAAATGGGACAACATTTTAAAACTTGTGAAAAGTGAGCGTGAAACTAAAATCAAACTTCCCATCCGACAAAAGATGAGTGTCGTCCTGCAAGAAAACTTGTGGATTTTGACGCCCTTAATGGACGTTCGAAAACTTGGTTTTTGTCTCGACGAGGCCGGAATTGTGATTGAAATTCTCTCCAAACTTCCCGAACTTAAGAACAATTCCAAATTTGGGACACGTCTCGCCCTGCAGCGACACTTGGTCGAATTTCTCTTCAAAGTTTTAGCCCTTCCGGCATCATCAAATCCGACGCAGAAGGTGAAAAATGTGACAAACGTTTCCAAACTTTTGTACGAACTGGCGGAAAATCCAGCCATTCAGAACGATTCGCTGAGAAGTTTGGTGCAATACAGTTTGTATCCGGAGTGCAAACAGCTCTTTATGAAAAGAGTGATTGGGAATCCGAAACTGAATTACTCCGCGTTCGATTACGACTGCATCGACCCGACCGGAAGTGGACACAGCGATAATGAATTTCAACGCGGCAAGTTTTCCATGTATGTGTCGCTCATGGAGGAAAATCAGAGCAGAAGTTCCGTCCTGAATATTGCCGGGTCTCACGCGACCACCTTTCATTCCGGGAAACTGCTGAAGAACGGGATAAAAAATTGGAGCGCCATGCCGAAAGTTGTGATTACGGAGAATGAAGACGCGTACTTGAATTTTGAGCTGTTTTTATACGTGCTGATGAATGTTTGTATGGCGGTGCCGTCAGGGGGGAATGTTGGGGAGGGGTTTGATGTCGGGTTGAGTGTGAAGGATGTCGGGCAGGTCGTGTCGGTGGAGGCGATGAAGAAGGTTGCTCTGCTGCTGGTGGAGATTGTATCACCGGATGTTATGTTTAACGGGTTGCCGTGGCCGGAAGAGGAATTTTCGAAGGTAAAGGATAGTTAAAACTCATGACCAAGTCGGAAAAATCAGCACATTTTTATTCGTTTCTCGCCTCTGGGAATTTATTTTAAAATTCTGAATGACAAGTTTGCAGTCAACGAGTTGATTAATGGAATAGCGATGAGTTTTTAAAGATAGGTTCGACGAGTTCCAATTTTTCTGAAGGCTTCTTAAACTTGAGATCTCCTCCGCCAAAAATTGTCAAAATTTGGAGTGTATTTTGAAAAAATTGGGAACGACCTGCTTTACAAATTTGTCGGACAGAAATTTAAAATAAATTCCCAGAGGCGAGGAATGACTAAAAATGTGTCAATTTGAACAATTTTGGCGTCATTAAAGGTTGGACAGTAATTTGATGAATATCTTTTTTTAAAGGTTCAAGTGGAGCGAGATTTACAAATCCGACGTGCATTTGAAGATCATCCATACTTGTGGGATTTGCTCGAGCTCGTAGCAAATCATTGCCCATCTCTGTGCTATTGTTCCGTTTTGTTAAGAGCACTAATGGCGACGTTAATGGCACATTGGACATCTTGTCAGGTAAGCAGAAACGTAGATTATTTTGTAACACTGCCATTGTGTGTGATTGATTGACATGTTTACGCCTACTTTCCAGGAAGCTCCAGCCAAAAATTCGCCAAATCAGTTGGAATGGACCATTCGTCTGTTGCAAATAATGAGAACGGGACAGCTAATTCCGCCCCCGTTATGCTACATCGGACAAGTCGTGCACGAACTCAAGTCTCACGAAGTTTTAGCCTTACTGAAGGATGTTTGGAGCTATATGAAAATGAACATCCCCGTCCCCACGATATTCATCAGGAAGGACGCAAAGTCAAATAGATTTATAAGAAATCCCGAATTTTCAAAGGTGGACGTTATTTACACGGAAAAACTTAGATTAGCTATTTTAAACAATATTGATCGGTTGGGTTACCTTTACCCGAAATTATTTCCTGTCCAGCAGACAGTGAAGGTTGAAGTATAAAAAATGAGTTAGTCTCGACATCGCCAGCGGTAGGAAAGGAAAATCGACCTGCTGAAAATTATCCGAGTTTTTTGAGGTGGTGCAAAATTCTGCACAGTTTTTCTGCAAATTAACGTAGAAGTTGATGGCTTATCGCCAAAAATCAGCACATGTTTAATCAGTTCTCGGCTCTGGAAATTTATTTTAAAATTCTGGACGACAAATTTCAAATGAGTCAATTGTACAAAAATATAAAAAGATCTCAGCTTTAAGAAACCTTCAGAATGAAGGATTTAAGAAAACTTCAGAATGAAACTCATCGAATTCTTTTTATCAACTCAATGACTACAAATTTGTCGTCCGGAATTTTAAAACAAATTCCCAGAGCCCAGAAATTGCAAAAAAATATGTTAAAATCTAATTAAATTTAAAATTTTAACAAATTTAGGTTTAAATTTAGGTTTAAATTTAGGTGATGATTCATCAGGTCCTACGTTAAATTTTCCCATGTATTTTTAAGCAGAATTTACCAAAAACGTGCACAGATTTCTGGGCCAATTTTAGGCAGATCGATTTTCATATTTTAGCCTTGACGATGACTCTGGACTCGACAAAGACTGATAAATGTTGGTATTTTTTCTTAGATGAGGCCATAGTTACTATATGGAAAAAAATCATCTAAGTAAGCATTCACTACAGGTTTGAAAAGCTTAATTTTTTCAGATCTCCGTTAATTTCCAACCGATTTTAATGAAATTTTGCCCAGAGTTAATTGCGGCTACCTCGAGTAGAGCCCTGATTTGGCCGCCTAAAGCATCCAACGGTTTATGAGATATTCAATAGAAACCCAACCAATAGTGTGTTTTTTGGAGATTTGAAAAAATTTAAGGCATGTATGAAAAAAGTACACGGATAAAAAGTTGATACATATTTTTTATAAAAATACAAAATTAAAATAGACAAAATCGGTTTAAAAGCGAGAAAGTTTTGATGGTGGTGAAATGTAACCACTCCCACCACCGCCCAAAGTTGAGTTGCTAAGGTCGACCCAGCGACTTCTCAATTCAGAACCCTTTAGGTGATGCTTGGGTCTCTTAAAAAGTAGGTCATTAGTAATATGGTTGGTGGTCACATAAATTACTGTTCAATACAAATAAAAACTAATAAATAAAAGAAACCCAAAAAAGGACAGCTTAGATGAGACTAAGTGCGATAAAAAGTATTTAATAAATTTCTTCTTCAGTGAAGGGCACAGAATTTTAATATTTCCAGCATCAGCGCCCCATTTCATTCAGTACTATGTACCATGATATAATAGTATAGTTCTGTGCCATGTACATACAAGTATACAATAAGTATCAAATTTGAAATATTAAAATCATTTGTGAATTTTTCTTGTCACTAAAAAATTATGAATGCTTACAAATATACTGAAAGTTGATACATGATATACAGGTGTAGCCTAACATGGTCGACTTTTAATAATATGTACATATATGCATACATGTTGCTTATGTACAGACATTTGAGTAAATTCTTAAATGAAATGGGGGCGCTGATGCTGGAAATATTAAAATTCTATGTCCTTCACTGGAGAAGAAATTTATTAAATACTTTTTATCGCACTGAGTCTCATCTAAGCTGTCCTTTTTTGGGTTTCTTTTATTTAGTAGAAAATATTATCTGTACTAATAAAATTCTGACATTTCATTAATAATTTATTTCTTCACGGTCAATAAATGTTTCTAGAATTTGATAATTTTTTTTACGTAGTTGTAACATTTTCTGGTTTTGGTGTCGTGGCCGTAATTGGTTCATGGGCTGGATCATTGGTTGGAGGTTCTACTCCTTTGGTCATTTCACTGATCGAGGTTAAAAGTTGGCTGGACGTTTCCTGCATTCCTCCGATTAATTTGGAAGTAGCGTCCTCCCTTTCTTTCGGTGCTGTTGTGTTCCCATAGTCAAATTTGGAATTCATCGTGACATTCAGGTAGTAAGTTCCTTTCGCAGTCCTGGGAATTAGAAGGGAATTTGATAAAAGGTTATCACTAACAATGCGATGGTGTGAAGTGTAACCCTCCGATTTGGCTGAAATTTCGAAATTACGAGGTCCATGTCAATACAACCAACGTTTCTTCAGGTAGTTTTTGCGATGGTCACAGTTTGGTAAAATAATTGAGGTCAAAGTTGAAAAACGGGCGATTTTTACCAGGTGGAGGAAGCAAGCTCAACTTCCAATCTCTTCCCGTACTAAAAATTGCCAATTTTTGAACTTTCACCTCCAATATTTTGCCAAATTTTGACCATCGCACAAACTGCCTCAAGAAACCTTGGTTGTATTGACATGGACCACATCATTTCGAAATTTCAACCAAATCGGAGGGTTACACTTCACACCATCGCATTGTAAGTAACAATGGAGGTCTCCCAGCATGTGCTCTCCGATTTTGAGCAAATTAGTCTCAATCAATCACAAATTTAATTATTAATAGTATGAAATTTGACACGATCTTCGAATGGGCACGTTTGGCCGAGATATTTACATCCGAAGAGGAGAAAACGCACAGTAAATTTGGAAAGTGTACAATTTGTCGACTTCATTCATGGCGCATTTTCTCACCTTTGGATACAAATAGCAGACCTAAAATTTCTTAAAACTTCAGATATTTTTCTTTACAAAGCATCTTGAAAGACTTTAATATAATGAGATGCACACAATTAGTAATATTGACGTTGAAGCAGGTCAAAAAAAATTTATAATTACGATCAACGTAAAATATACATATTACCTACGTATTTAAGTGCACTTGTCGGCAATTGAGGTCTTCCAGCGTATGCTCTCCGATTTTGAGGAAAAACTAGTGTCAATCGATCAAAAATTTAATTAGGGTGAAAGTTTAGAAAGACAGGATCTCCCAATGGGCACGTTTGGCAGAGATATTTGCATCCGTAGAGGAGAAAACGCGCAGTAAATTTGGAACGTGTAAAATTGTAATGTTTCAAAGTCAGAAAAAAATTTGTAGAATAAATATGTCAAGTTTAACATGAACAGATACACTTTTTGGAAAATTTTGGAAAATTTGGAGAGTGTAAAATTTGTCGACTTTAGGGCACGTTTTCTCCTCTTCGGATGCAAATATAGAAAGAGAAAACGCAACATAAGGTTGACAAATTTTACACTTTCTAAATTTACTGTGCAAAATTTTCCGAACCAAAAAACATATCTGGTTATGTTAAATTTATCATATTTATTCTACGCAACTTTTTTCTGACTTTGAAATATTACAGTTTTACACGTTCAGATATTTGCATCCGAAACGGAGAAAATCCGCCCTTAAAGTCGAAAAATTTTACACTTTCCAAATTTACTGCACGTTTTCTCCTCTTGGGATGTAAACATCTCTGCCAAACGTGCCCATTGGGAGATCGTGTATTTCGCGAATTTCATCCTAATTAAATTTGTCCTCGACTGTCACTAATTTTTCGTCAAAATCCGAGACCATCCTCTGGAAGACGTCCATTCTTCATTCTTTTTAATACTCTGTTTCAATTATCTGATTACTCGGTCTTCTCTATTTAACACCGTCAACCGTGCAAGTGCATAAGTACACAAAGGGCATGGCAGACCAGGTACATACTTAAAGGCACATTTAATTAGGATGAAATTTGCGAAAGACGCGACTTCCCAATGGACACGTTTGGCCGAGATGTTTGCATCGGAAGAGGAGAATACGCGTCGTAAAGTTGACAAATTGTACACTTTCTAAATTTACTAGGCGTTTTCTCCACTTATGCAAATATCTCTGCCCCACGTGTCCATTGGGAGGTCGTGTCTTTCGCAAATTTCATACTATTAATAATTGAATTTGTGATTGATTGAGACTAATTTGGTCAAAATCGGAGAACATACGCTGGGAGACTTCCATTGTAAATGAATCCGATAACTTACTCTGGACAGAAATATCCCATCCTCGGCTTATCCGTTGATGTCGCGCAGTCGCACTGATTATCCAAGAATTTCTTCCAACTGGCACATTTACATCCGACTTGTTCCTCTTGTAACATTTCGATGTACCTTTGAAGAAAAAATTGGGGACAAGTTAATGACACCAAATTTATGACTAGTTTTACATATTTATTTACTAGTTACAGATCAATACAGCGGAGATGATTGCAAATATGTTTCTCGGCATTGCTGGTGAGCGACCGTCGGCGTCGGGTACCGTTAGGTGGTTCACATCCGGGGAGATTGTCGCCTCCTAATGGATAACATTTTATGAAAAAAATGATACTATTTTTTAGCAATTTAACGTAGAATTGAATGTCGTATCGCCAAAACCAGCTAATTTTGAATCACTTCTCGGCACTGGGAATTTAAAAAAATTCTGGACTACAAATTTGTAATCAGTGAGTGATTAACGGAATGACGTTGAGTTATTTAAGCCAGGTTCGATTAGTTCCAATTTTTCTGAAGGCTTCTTAAACTTGAGATCTCCTTCAAAAAGTGTCAAAATCTGGAGTCTATATTTTTAAAAACTTGACATCGACCGCTCTACAAATTTGTCGTTCAGAATTTCAAAATAAATTCCCAGAACCGAGAAATATGCCGATTTTTACGAATTTGGTGATGCATCATCGAGTCCTACATTAATTTAAGTGACGATTAAATTACCATTGGGATAGAAATCGGCATGTCCTGAAAATTAGGGGTAAAATCTTAACTTGGAGAAGATTGCATGCAATAATGAATTTGCTCCTAATTTATAAGTACCTCTGTTCATTTTTGACCCCAATAAACCCGTGTTGCAGTGCATGACTTGGACGAAATCTCCGTTAAATTCTGTGAGTTGGAATTCTGAGGGGGAGTGGTCAAAATTTGGTCCGGCTGGGTCAATAGCTGTCCAGTAGAAAATATGTTTTAAATAATTCAGCTCAATTAACTAATTATTTATGAAATTACCATCAATTCTTGAAATTTTTTCTAGTTTATACTTTTCGAAAAACTTTTTCCCCGTAATTCCTGCCGTATGACCGCCTAGCGAGTGTCCAATGACGCGAATGTTCTTGCCACCCTGGATTTAAAAAACATGAGTAATCATTACGACTTAGCATAATTTCATAATTTTGGGAAAAGACTTGCAAACTAAATTGGTAAATACTTAGTTTTGATAATGCTTAAATTCGCAAATGATTTTTGCGAACTTGCCAACCGTGTTTTTTTTTGCTAACGATATTAACTCGTAATGAGTATCCCCATTGTTTCGTGTTTTGGGGGGTATCCCCATTGACCAAAGTGATTACTGAACACGTATTTTATTCGTCCGTAATGGACGAAAGGACGAGTCGAAGTTCGTGTTTAGAACAAGTTATAGACGGGCTTGTACGGGGTGAACGGGCGCCGGTAAACGTGCTAGGCTCGTCCTTATCTGGTCCGTTAATACCAAAACGGAACCAATTGAGTACGTTCCTGGAACGGGGCTGAATTCGTTCTAAGCACGCTCTTATGCGGTGCAAATATACGAAAATAGTACGAGTATGTAACCACCAAGAACTATTTTTTACTCAATTTATTTATATTTATATTCGTAGCTTTAATACACATTAAAATATAACTAGCAATTAATTTATGACGAAACGTGCTCTGCAATTCCATCCAAGCTGTATCTAAGTATAAAAATGTCTCACATTAAATAATATTCTTAAATATTCTTAATCTACTAAATATATGAAGGTTATGTACATACCTTTTTCTTTCTTGCTTTGATCCTGGCAGGAGCTTTGTTCAGCCAGTTCTGGATGCTTTCGTCGATGTGTTTATGCGTAGCTGATGACATTAGTGGATTTGTCCGGACGGCAGCTAAAATTGAAAATGGTTAAAATATGCACCAGAATGAATCAAGGACGAAAAGTTTAAATTATCAGCCTTACAATAAACACAGCTTTTGATCTTTTCACGATCTTTAAAAGATTTTTTTCCGCATCGACCCGCCAAACTTTGTGTTGCTGCAAAATCGTCCGTCATCAAAAGTGTAAGCACGCGGTAAATAGCATCTGTGCCTTTACTGCATGAGCCTGACAATCTCGCTATCTAGAAATTACAATACATAAATATGATAAACAGAAATAAAAAAATTTGGGTGAACTTAAAAGCTTGATGTTAACCAGGGCTTGTCGAATTTTAGGGTCAGCTCTTTTTCGTTCCAATTCGTCATACTCCGTCAAGTTGTTTAATGGAATAACCTTTTCGTCGTCATCAAGGTCTTCGATAATCGTCCTATTTTGATTACGCAAAGTCAGATGTAAAGTTTCTCGAAGCTCGTTAATGGTCGCTTGAAGATAATCCAGTTTACGAATTATATCTGCACCAAAAAAATAGATACGCCCCTAAAATTTCAATTGTTACTGTAGAAGGAAGTAAACTACATACCATCGGTTTTTGGAGTAAGTGCAATTGTTCCATTAAATGACCCTTGATCAATATTCTGGCTTCGTACCTGGGACAAAGAACTTATCGGGGCTCGTCCTTTGAAAATTTAGTTATTTTAATTATATTAATTAATTCAAACAAGTTAGAATGAAACGGTAAATTATGTTTACGAATGAGTTAGATTGTTTAGGTTTTACATGTAGCCCTTCTTTAACGGACTATCGTTCTCGTCATCGCCACTTGAGTCAGAGTTAAAAAGTTTTCTGTTGACGGTCTTACGTAGTCCCCAGTTCTGCGCCACTACTAATCCCTCCTCCTTGCGCAAGAAGTGGAAGATTTAGGCGAGCATCTTCGTATTTTCCTAAACAGAATATAAATAAAGTTTTAACGATACACCCACGAACTTTATATTATAACCAATGTAAAAAATACTACATACCGTATCGTTTAACTATTTCAGTCTCGAAGATTTGGCGTCTGGTTTACTGACTGAAGAGTTTAGTAATACTCGCGAATTTTCAAAATTTTTAGTAGCACGACTGGTAATTTTTTTCATCGAATTTCTGTAAATGTCCTCTGTCCGACCGCTAGCTGCAGCCTGGAAGTAAAACTAGAAGCAAAAGCATCCATGCTGCCAAATATTTAAATGTGGCGCACTAGTTTCATCGGACTTCGTCCCTCGGCCGTCTTTAACTCGTCTAAATTCAAACATGAAAATAACCATACAACCCCATCTCGAGGTGGTATGGTTGTGACCACCTCCGTACGTCCTAAGATCGAGCCCCTGGTACCGGGCGAAACTCGTGTCATACGTACAAACTAAACACGTCTTTTACTGGTGCCCTTGGTCCTGGACGAATCCAGCACAAATAGGACCAGTTAAAAACGTGATGAGAACCAACTGGTCAATGGGGATGCATTACGAGTTGGCATACAGGGTCAGGCGCGTAAGATATAACGAATTTGTCGTTGAATAACCCCGGAACGGATTGTCGTAGCGGGTCAAAATTTTGAACAGACGAGCATATTGTCCTAGTCAAGAGTTGTGCAAAATTTTGACTCTCTACTTTCAAAAATGCCTCCCCCACAGCCCCCAGAAGGTGAGGCAGTCATAAAAACTAGTTGCAAACTTAAGTACTCGTCTAGCCTAATAACAGAACATCTTAAAAGTGAACGAAAAACATTTTCGAAATCTAGAATCAATAGGGTATTGAAAAATATAAGTAAAAAGCGAGAAATTTTGAGCTAAGGACAACCACCACCCCATCCAAGAAGGCAAAAAAAAGTGTTAATTCCGACCGTGCTTAAGAAAATTGACCTATTGACCTCAACAGGCAATCCATCGACCCAAAAGGAAATTTCCCGGTAGGTTGGGGTGTCTAAGCATTGAGTGAAAAGAGAAATTAAGATTTTTGAAAAACGACTTCGTCAGAAAACTCGTGTGCATCAGCTGACCGAAAAACAGGAAAAAAATCGCGCCCGTGTTTACAAAAAGAATTATTTGAATTTTCTGTCAAGGAATCAGAGTTAGTTATTGGTGACATATGACAAAGCACTAATTTCTCTACAAGTTACTAATTAGGTTCGAAGAGCTTACTGCACGACTAATGACGGAAAAAATTCACGCAAGTTGGTGCTTGAGTGTGAGGAGAACTTTTGCAACACGTTTATGGTTGTCGGTGCAATGTCGGGTCGTGGTGTCCTCCCACTTATCAAAGTCCCCCAAAAAGTGAAGAAATCTGCAAAGCATTATGCTAACCGTGTATCGAAACCACTTTTAGAGTAACATTTTCCTAAATAGCACGGTAAAAAAATAAATAAGGTAATTATTCATCGTGACGCAGCGTCTTCCCAGACGACAAAGTTAACCCAAGGTTATGCAAAGGACCTTGAAGCTAGATTGGGGATAAAAATCATTTCGAATAGTGAAATACCTGTACAGTCCCCTGATGTAAGTCAAATGGGCATTTTTGAGTTCGGATACTTAAAAAGAAAATCTTTTCTGTGGAGACAGGATTTTTTAGACGGAGTTTGAAAAGAGTTGAAATGACTGCCTCACCTTCTGGGGGCTGTGGGGGAGGCATTTTTGAAAGTAGAGAGTTGAAATTTTGCACACAACTACCTGAGGATAATATGCTCCTCTGTTCAAAATTTTGACCCGCTACGGCAAACCGTGCCGGGGTTATTCAAGGCCAAAATCGTTATATTTTAAGCGCCTGACCCTACTGTATTTGCATTGCAAGAAAAATAAGAAAATTGCGAACTAAATACTTGGTTTTGATAATGCGTAAATTTGTTAATTCATTTTCAAGCCAAAACTTTTTGCGAACTTGCGAACCGTGTTTTTTTTGCTAATTTTACTGACGATTTGATCTCATAATGGATACCCAGATTGTTTCGTGTTTTTGAAATTTTGTTACATATTCACCTTGACATATCCGTTCTTGATCAGCCAGACTAAAAGAGTGGATAGTCGATCGGCCGTGGTGGCGGTGGACGTGGACGAAAAGACGTATGCCCCATCACTGGAAAGCCCTATTAATTACATATACGAGGAAACTTTTACTTCGAAATTTTGGAAGAGTGGGGAGGAGGGGATACGTATTTTGTGGGTGGAAATCCACCCGCTTTACTCTGCTGCATAAAAGTTTAGATGGGTATACTTACGTAACTTACAGAAAAGTGGTCTTTTCTTGCAGCTCGATTTGCATATTGTTCAATTCAATTGCAATTAAACATAATCTAATCCGAAGTACTCAAATCCATACAAAAGTAATAATTCTTTTCGGCTTTTAAACCTCGCTATTCGTGCTGATAAAGTCGAAAATTTCTGAAGGATTTTTTGCCTGGAGAAAACAACGTAGATACAATTAAAAAAATTGTCCCTGCTTTATTTTAAATTTTGAAAATTTTAAAATTTTTCAAAAATTGTACGGGGTTGACACCGAAATAGAAATTCTGGTGAATTTTAATAGCTTAATATATGACAGATGCATTATACTTGTTTGGTCGAAGATATATTATTTGAGTTCAAAGAACAGAGTGGTCAAAATACTTTGATAAAATGCAGTATTGTGAGCTCCATTCTTCCAAATTTTCGGAGTTGCAGGATTTCTACGAAAATTTGTAAACGATTTTTGTATAGAGAAAGTAACGTGTGTACAAAAAAAATGCGAGTTTGACACCGAAAAAGAATTTCTGGTGAATTTTAAATCTTTTGAGGTGTGATAGATTTGTTGAGTGTTCAACAGAATGTATTGACGTACATTGATTGGTAAAAAACAGGTTTTTTACAACTTTAAAAAATAGTGGTGGGCAAAATACTTTGCTAAAATAAAATATTTTCGAGCATTTTTGAGCTCCGTTCTTTCTGGGGCTGTGAGTCACAGCCTGTGACACCCACAAAAAGACCAAAATCTACATCAAGAATGCAAAAGTCATGCGAAAATGCTTGTTTTTTAAGAAATTAAGTTTTTATTAGTCAAAATATTAAATTTAAAAAAATCAAGAAACAACGTGCTTTAACAGCGATTGAAAGTTAATTTCTCCACAAAACCAGGTGTATTTTCTTATGGCAGTTGTATTCTCGACGTAGATTTTCGTATTTTTGTGGATGTACTGGAAATTAGAATGGAACTCAAAATACTCCATTTCCGCAAAGTATTTTGGTCACCTTTGTTTTTTTTAAGACGTCAAATATCTCAAGAGGTTTTTTATCATTCAATTTATTTCAATACATTCGTTTTTTGACACCTATCGTAAAGTTTTTAATCTATCACATCAAAAGCAATTACAATTCACAAGAAATTCTTTTTCGGCGTTTTGTCTTGCAATTCTTGCAAACTTTCCGGGCAAAAATCGTTCAGAGTTTTCAACTTTTGTCAGCACGAGGCAAATGTTATTCGCATCTGTCAGATTTTAAGCAATTAAAATTCACCAAAATTTTATTTTTCGGTGACAAACTGTTGCAATTTTTGAAAACATATTTGTTAAATTTTCTCCTGGAAAAAATCGTGCAGACATTTTGGACTTTTTTATCAACACGACTAGCGAGGTTCTTTAAAAGCCGAAAAGAATTATCTTTTTTTGTATGGAATTAAATAATTCCCTTTGAATTATTTTGATTTCAATAATAGATTTTGTGAAAATCGACCTTGCCAAATCCTTGTCAAGTCGACTTTACCAAAATTGCCAAAAAACACTTTTCTGCAAGTTATTTATGCATGTATGTATGTCCGCCAAAGCGTGGCACCCAAGCCGGCTTGGATTTCCGAGGCTGTTCCACCCACAAAAGAAAAGTATTCTGCCCACCTCTGAATTTTAAATGGTACACAAACAAATCACAGCAGATTTTAATACAAAAAATACCCTTTTACCTGTCCAATCTACGAGAATTATGTTGTGTTGCAGCTTCGCAGCCATAAGTCCTATATGAATAGAAAAATTTAGGCCAAATTTAATTTACCCCATTTTTCCGTTCTTTTTTTCCAAAATAATGATCTCGTACAAATTTACCATCCTTGACTCTAAACGAAGAAATAATGTTGTCATACTCATCGACGAAGTATCCGGCGGGGGTGAAGCCGTGAATTACTGCGATGACGTCCTGACTCTTGTCGAACGGGGAGTTCGGAGCGGTCGTTTTATTCAGTTCGAAACCGACTACTGGGCTAAAAAACGATAAGAAATTAGTCATTTTTTTTACATACACTGCTAGAAATCTGGTATGGTTAGAAAGGTATTGATTTCTCGGTGTTAAAGTTGCTACCGCTTGGTATTAAAATTATACCAGTCCGTAAAAATTGCTACGGATATGGTGAAACTTTAATACCGAGCTATTACTACTTCCGGTATCACTTATCAATACCACTTTGGTTGGTATAGTCATACATGAATACCGCTTGGTGTTATTTTAATACCGGATTTCTAAGAGGAAGTATGTAGAAATGATTCGTTATTAAATAATTAATTCCTCACTTTTTTGGCGTGAAGAGAATGAATTTAATTTTTCCTGCATAATTTTCCGCAACTTTTGTAACCAAATTTCCCAAATGTCCGACAACGCCGTCACCCGCCATATTGCTGACCGTTTGTCCCGCAGCGTTCATCCCACTGAAGAAAGTTCCTGATAAGAAATTGTCAATTACTTTTAATTGTGGTTTCAATGTCAGGTATATTTAAATGGTTGTCGACTCACCCACTCCCATCCCAACCACGCTGTTCATTAGCTGTCAGAATTTTGGAGTTTAGAATGAAATCAAAATTGTATTTTAGAGAATTGTATTTTTTTAACAATTGTAACCCACGCTTTTCCCTGTAGCAAATATGCTCCTCTTTTTGGCATCCTGGTCATCATCAGTATCACCGAACTTTTCAGCGTCTATGTCATAAATAAGCACTGAAATTGATTACCAGTCTTTCGTTTTTTGCAATTTCTTGCAATTCAAAACAAGAAATGCGAGGTGTAAGAAATGTGCTAATAATAAATTGGCACAAAAACACCCCAAAATTCATACTTTTACACCTTTGCTAAATATTTCATAAATATTGTAGCTTTTTCTTAATTAAATAAAATATAATTTTTTAGTTGATAAGCTAACATGTAAAATTCAAATTTTGCATTTTGGAAAACATTAAAGTGAATACATAAAAAATTTCTATCGTATGAAAATTCCATTAAAAAAAGGGTAAAATTTGTAAGATGTAGACGCCAAAATATATTTTATTTATTTACAATTCAATAATTCAGTATGATCAGGTTTTGAATTTTGATTAAATAATGTGGGCAAAAATTCATTTTATTTTATAACTAAAGAAGTTTGAAGATATGAAATTATAAAATAAATTTTTCATAGATGTGATGACGCCAGCAAATTTTTACCTACATAACTTTGCTTAAAGTGAACATTATGAAAAATCCTGAAACACGTTTAATTAATAGGGAGTTTGCATGAATGTTTCCGTGGACCCTGAACGTGACGTAGAACCGTAGATTTTGAAACTACGTCGACGTTGCGTTGTGACAGTTTGCAAATTGACGTCCGTGTCGTAAACCGTAACGTAAAAATGCATCTTTTTTATACGTTGCACGGTTACGGAATTATAGTTTGCAATTCCACAAATAAATAAATACGTAATTATGTTTTCTATTCTTCCAATTTTTACTTTACAATTTTTAGTTGTGAATTATTTTAGAATTATCAACAAAAGTTTTTGTTTAAATTTCAAAACCCTTCCCAGCATTAACTTGACGGAGATAAGCAACCTGGGGGCGGTTGCACCAGACACTTTGCACCCCACACTTTTCATTTTTAAGCTTTTTTTAAAGATTGTATTTCACCAAATCCGAGTCGTGAAAAATTTCCGTGAAAAGCTACGGAATCACGTTGCTACGTCACGGAAATTATTTACGGAAGTATACATGCAAACTCCCTAATATCTAAAGCTACATAATTATCATTCATGGTTTCGTCAAAATCGGAGCGAGACCGCTGGCGTCATCGCATTGTTAGTTGCTCTCAGAAAATCACAATAATTTTTGCTTGCTTTAAAAATGGCATTAAATGCGAGCAGGTTCAAGAAAGCGCAAGAAATGTGCGCCATCTAGCCACGCGCTGTATGAAGTATTTATAGCGGCGGGGCGTAGTTTCTCGCGCCTCACATTTCTTGCAGGGCAAAATATTTATGTAGCTGCAAGAAACCATTTTCATGCAAGTGGTTACTTGCACCAGAGTTGAGTCGGTTATCCGAATTTTGGATAAAGTATCCATCCAAACCGAATCCGAATCATTCGGTTCGGTTAGGATATTTTTCAACCGAAAAATTCAGATTCGGTTCGGATAGATCCGAAAAAATGTCTAACCGATTCAACTCGGACTTACACCAAAAGTAAAAAAAGTTCGACTTCTTGTTAGTTTGACTATGTAATAATTTGTATATTTATAGTAAAATACCTGGATTATTATAATTATTATGGATCTCTCTCGTCCCCCTGGGCCAATTCCGGACCGAATTTCCTCCATCGTCCCCACCCGAAGAAACAGCCGTCGTACAACCTGTCAACGTGACAAGAAGTACAAGCAGCTGAAGTTTGGTCATTGTGATAACTAATGCCTCCTCGCGAATTAAATTTGTTTACCTGCATGTTAAATATTTAAATAAATATTCATATTTATTATGAATAGGTGCTCCAGAAATGCATATAAACGAATCAAAACATTTCCTTGATGCATATCTTACCCAGTTTTCCATTTAAAAAACTTTTCACGAACAATAACGGAACTTGTTTTGTTTAGTCGGAGAGGTTTTATTTAAAAGACATTCATTAATTAGTTAATTATTAATTATGTACACCTGCTACAATTCAGACTACAAAGTACAGTACAATGAAATGATACATGTGTACATATATTTATCAATAAACAAGTAAATATGTATTGAATATCTTGAGAAGTTTTGTGTACAATGTACATATATACACTGCATAATTTTAAATTATTCGTAAAGTGCATCTTTTCAAAACTATGTTAAACATTGAGGACGGCAAAGCCCCCATTTTTTAAGAATTAAACATTGGTGAAAACAAGTCTGTATAATAAAGTACAAAGGTTGGTGGACCAATTAATTTGGTCGTTTTACATACAATATTGAAAAAAATGCATGGAAATGTGAACAGTTTTTCGGGAGCTAGTATAACTTGCACGAAATAAGGGGGAGGAGAAAGTGCTTTCTTGCAGGTAAATATTTTGACCTGGGAGAAATGCAAGGCGCAAGAAACGACGTCCCGCATCTGTCGCGTGGCTGGCTGGTGCATATTTCTTGTAGTTTCTTGCACCTCGCATTTCTTGCAAAACATGGAGCAAACCCGTAAGAAACGAAACACTGAATGTGAACTACTTTAAAAGTAGTAGGTAAAGTTTTGGTCGATGCTGATGTATAGGTAATATTATTGGCTGGAATAATTATATTATTTCACTTTTTAACAGAGAAAAAGTGGAATTTTTTTTCCTAAGTAGGTTACATAATACCCTGTACGAAAGGCTTAATAATGATAATGATTATACATAATTTATAGATTGCACATTTTAGAAATTAAGTAGTAAAGTGTATTGAAATATGAGAAGAGTTATTCCTTGATAATAATTAATAATTATTGAGATTTAGATCCATAAGTATTTGTAAATACATACAATGTTAAAGTCTATAATTTTTGAAAGTAACTTTTATGTAGCTGACTAAAATTATCACAAATCTGAAATGTTATTATAGTGCAGACGACTTTATATGTAAGTTTAACGAGACAGAAACTAAATGCGTAAGACGTTTTAAGGATGGGAAAAAACTTGGTCAAAATACAGTGTTTTCAGCTCTGTTCTTCCCAAGGTTTGAATTTCCAGGGGTGTTACACCCAGAAAAAAAACGAAAATCTACGTGGTGAAGGCGACAGTCGTACGAAAATATGGGTTTTGTGCAGAAATTAACGTTTTATCGATATCAATATATTTTCGGGATTGTTTTTAAACAATGCATTTTTGCAGGGATGAAAAGCTAATTTCTGCACAAAACCTCTATTTTCGACTGACTCTGCCCTTCCCCACGTAGATTTTCGTCTTTTTGGGGGCGTAACACCCCCGGAAATCTAAACCCTGGGAAGAACGGAGCTCAAAGTGCTCTATTTTGACAAATTATTTTCCCCACCTTTGGGCATTATTACAGATAGACTACAATTATTAACTAACTAACTAATTGACGGATGTGATGTGATATAAACGATCAGTACAAAAAGTAGCAAGAAATAACAACTAAATATTTAGTAAAAACATAATAACAATCTGAATTAAGCAAACTAGGTACGTATGCACGACATGTGAAAGCAGCATGTAAAAGCTTCTGAATTTCAAACTGACACCGATATTTTTTTACGACGTGAGAAAATGCTTCGTTCTTCTGTTAAACTCTGACTTCACGGGGGTATTGTTGTTAATTATCATATCTTGAGTTTCACCATCGCCAGAAGAATTTGAAGTACTGCTGTTCGTCAAGTTGGTGGCTTTACTATGCCCGTTCAGCATAGTTTGAGATTCCGGGGAGTCACCGTTTGACGGGTAGATGGCTGATTTATCGGAGGATTTCTAAATTGTAAGGTACACAAATTAGTCAAATTAATGGCAACATGCATTATGTAAATTTGCTTGCATACCTTCCCAATTACAGCGATGGGAACAATGCCGGACACTTGAGCAACTCGGTGTTCCACTAAATAAAACATGTATTCGTCATAAAGTAACCGGAGGAGATGGAAAGAACCAAAACTGGCTGCACTTCTCAAGGTGAGATCACGAATAACTAGCGAACTGGAAATAGGATTGAGTCGTTATTTTTACATAATTATAAAAATTTAAAAGGTTAAAAATATTTGTAAATTAAATTACCTATAAAACGACCATTTGAGAAGGAAGTGTCGCGCGGTTTGGACATATTTCGGAGTGTTCAAGTGTGGTCGGAGGACTCGATCGACCTGTTCATTACAAGAAATGCGTCTTTCATGCATGCGAAAAAACTGACAATGCGTTGCAGGTCTCTCAACGTATGCTCACCGAGCAAATTAGTCCCAATTAATATGAAATTTACAAACGACAGTATCTGCAAATGTTCAAGTTTGGTGAAGATATTTGCATCCGAGAAAATGCCCCCAAAAGTTGACAAATTTTACACGGTCCAAATTTACAGCTTCTCTTCGAATGCGAATATCTTCGCTAGCCAAACCTGCCCCGATAGTGTCTTTTGCAATTTCATTCTAATTAAATTTGTGCTTGATTGGCACTAATTCTATAAAATCGTAGAGCATATGGTTGGAGACCACCATTCCTATCATAAATAAACTCACCACTCCCTCCAACCAAGCTGCCCATTGTTCCAGTGTCTGTTGTTGACTCAGGGTAGATTTAAAATCTTGTTCCAATGCAGGGACGATCTCACCGCTACAGTCACACACCCAAGAAGCCTGTTGATCCGTATTAATAAATTATTTTAGTAATTTCGAGCCCCATTTAAATAAGCAACTAACAAATATTTTAATTAAGGTCTTAACCTGTTCGGTAACTGTGTGGAAATCAACACGATTCAGATCAGATAGCATTTGAGTAATTTGCGTTTGGTTTTGGAGGACAGCACGGGCAGCTTGCGCCAAATGGTTGAGTGACGTGTAGCGACGTAACGTTTGAGCTAACGCGCTCACAATGGAAATTTTGATGACGACCATTTCCTCGGGAAACCCTAGCATCGCCGCGGTCATCCAATTTTCCAAAGTTTTCGCAAAATTACGTATCGCTTGCGTCATTGTGCCTGAATACAAAAATTTAATTGAAGAATTGACACCATTTTTAAGTAAACTTAAAATCCGACTCACTTGGAATGGGTCGAAGTACGTCGGGAAGCAGGATTCCCACCAATTTTTGGTACAACATCCAATCTACTTCCTTCACAAATTCTTGCACGGCTTTCATTTGACACATGAGTATCAATTTTTCCCTGCGCATAAAAATACAGCAGGTCAGTTAACTACTCGTCACTTTTGTTAACGCAGGACTCGATGACTTATCGTCGTCAAAATCAACACATTTTAAATTATTTCTCGGCTCTGGGAACTTATTTTAAATTTCTGGAACAGGGAGTTGCCAATTAAAAAAATACACTCCAGATTTTGGCACTTTTTGAAGGAAGAGATCTCAAGTTTAAGAAGCCTTCAGAAAAATTGGAACTCATCGAAACTGGCTTAAAAAAAACTCAGTCCCATTCCATTAATGAGCTCACCAACTCAAATTTGTCGTCCGGAATTTTAAAATAAATTCCCAGAACGGAGAAATGACTAAAAATGTGTTGATTTTTGATGACCTTGGTCATGCGTCATCAAGTCCTTCGTTAATGATGAAGATAATTAAAGCTATTTTTATACTTTGGAAGTATCTTTTCAAAATCCAAGCTTGACTCCGTGTCGCCACCCGTTCTCCAGAAGAACTTCCAAATTCCTTCAATCTGACCCAACTGGAAACTTGCTAACGTCTCCATCAGTGACTGCAAGAAATAAGAGAAATATTTACAAATGTATGTACATATAAACAAAGCCATGAGCGTTCATAATCCCCAATTACATTATGACGACTCACTACTTTCTGTAGTGAGCAGTGTCATGGTCGTCTTATGTCAACTTACCTCGCAATGCTCCTTGTACAACGATCCGAAAATGTGCAAGTCATTATCCTCCAGCCCTTCGGGTACGGCAGCGTCTAAATCCAACTCGGGGAAATCATCCAGTTGCCCGGTCGGGTCTCCGAGGTATTGCTAAAATTATACAAGGATAATAAATAAGTAAACTTGTTCGTAGCTGTAAACATTTTCAGAGTTCAGCAGTGTTTCGTTTCTTCCATTTGAAATCAAGCCACGCAAGAAATGCGAGGTGCAAGAAACTGGGAGAAAGTGCAAGAAATATGCACCATCTAGCCACGCGCCGTATGAAGTTTATCGTCGGGGCTTAGTTTCTTGCGCCTTGCATTTCTTGCATGTCAAAATATTTCCCTGTAAGAAACCACTTTCTCCCCGTTATTTCTTGCACCCGAAGCACTGCCTCGAGTTCACCAACCTGCACAGTCACGCTATCACTGATGGCAAATCCGTTCGAATGAGATCCATCGTAACTCTCGCTTTTTCCAGTTTTCAAACGCTTATTACTTCCAAAACCGCCAGAAGAGCTGCCCCCATTTTCTCCGCGACCCCCACCCCCGCCAGAATTGATGCGTCCGTGTCCAATGGCAGAGGGGAAGTGGAACTCTTCAGGTAAATGATTCAGCATGGAGGATGGTTTGATTCGAATTCCATAATAGTGATACTTGGAATTTCCACGGGTTCCCAGCCGTCTCGTTCGCAATCCGACGAACACGGAGCGGATCAGTTTTCCGAACGAGGCGGCATTCACGGGGTCCAATTTGTCATCCGAGCAGTGTCGCAAGTAGTGACTGTATAACGTGGACCTCGGCAGACTCACGCCTTCCGCGGTTTCATAGTTGTCCAAAAGCCATTGAACCTGCGACATGATTACATACATGATTAGTTTTCAGTCAATATTTAATAATAACAAGAATAAGTATGAAAAATAAATAAACAATTTTGAAACCAAAATAATAATCAAATCGGTTAAAAACAACAATTTTAATGGGTAAATAGAGTAACTTGACTCGAATTCGTGGCATAAATTTTTCTAAACTTTTCATCCATCTAGCAATGGAGGTCTCCCAGCGTATGTTCTTCGATTTTTGGCGAATTAGTGTCAATCGATGGCAAATTTAATTAGGATGAAATTTGCGAAGGACGTGATCTCCCAATGGGCACGTTTGGCAGAGATATTTGCATCCGAAGAGGAGAAAACGCGCAGTAAATTTGGAAAGTGTAAAATTTGTCGACTTTAAGGCGCGTCTTCTCTTCTTTGGATGCAAATATCTCTGCCAAACGTGTCCATTGGGAGATCGCGTCTTTTGCAAATTTCATCCTGATTAAATTTGCCATCAATTCCCACTAATTTGCCAAAATCGGACAGCATCCGCTGGGAGACCTCCATTCTTCCTTCTTTTTTAGTGCATCAAAATAAAAATAAATAAAAACGAACCGTGTAAATTTTCGCAAATAAAAAATAAAACGCACGCAAAATAAAAAAGAAAACAAATGCAAAATGTGTGTTAAAAAATGTAAATGAAACCGTACAGCGAGGGGACAAGGTTTGAAGGTGCCGTTGGAGGAAATAAGACTGTTGGATTTCGTCATTTTGGAAAAAGTCGACATTTCCATGTCCGTCAGGCCCAAACTTGCGAGGAGACCGTCGCCCCCGTCGTTATTAAATTGACAATCCACCGCGCGCTGGTCCATGTTGTCGTATTCGTCTTCATCCTCCGAATTCTCGCTCGTCCCGCCGTCCAACTGGGCGAGGTCGGGGCGCTCGATTTCGTGCAAGTTTGTCGACAAACTCCGCTTTCGACAGGGTGGCGACTAGATTGAAATAATGTGAAGGTGCATTGAAAACAAAAAATTGTAAAATCAAATCATATCAAAAAGCAGTGAATTAAGCTGTAAAGCGTTAAATATGTGGTCACGATAAGCAGCCGGTAACGTTGGACTGGATTACTTGTCAGGGACAAGTTAGTTCAAATCGGCACATTTTTAAGAAAATCTTGCCTCTGGGAACTAATTTTAAAATTCTGAAGGACAAATTTGTAGAGCGAGGAGCTGCCAAATTTTTGAAAATATACACTCCAGAGTTTGACACTTTTTGAAAGAAGAGATTTCAAGGGTAAGAAGCCTTCAGAAAATTGGAAGTGGTCGAAGCTGGCTTAAAAAACTCACGGCCATTCTATTAATCAACTCACTGACTACAAATTTGTCGTTCAGAATTTTAAAATAAATTTCCAAAGCCAAAAAATGATTACAAATTCTGGGCGACAAATTTGTAGAACAGGTCGCAGCCAATTTTTAAGAAATATACACTCCAGATTTTGATACTTTTGAAGGAGGAGATCTCAAGTTTAAGAAAAATCAGAAAAATTGGAAATTATCGCTGAAAAAACTAACCCCCATTTCATTAATCAACTCACTGACTACAAATTTGTCGTTCAGAATTTTAAAATAAATTCCCAGAGCGGAACAAATCATTAAAAACGTGCTGATTTTGATGACGAGTCGTCCAGTCCTACGTTAACCAAGAGGGAAAAAACTTACAGTTGTTGGAGATACTCGCGTCGCATGGGAAAGATTGTGCGGACCGTCACACTCTGAGCCCACGATCCCATTTACGCCTCCATTCGTCGGAACCATGTAGACGCCACCGTCCTAAAGTAGCAATCCAGTAGGTCAGTAAGTACAAATATGTAGGTGTCGAATAGGGCTCAAAATACATAACAAATATGACCCGGGTTAGAGAAAGTTTTTGGAAAAGGGAGAGTAGTTTTATTTAAGAAAGTAAAGGTGGGTTTATAATACTTCACTCATTCGTGGTAACTTGCGCCAATGTTGTAGTTCAACTATGGCGCAGGTTACCAAGAACTGAAGCGCATATAAACGCACCTAAAGATATCAAACATTTAATATTTACTCCATCAATCACATCGATAAGCAGCATGTTTAATACTAATTGTTGTGTATGTGGATATGTCATGTGGCCCCCGTTTATCCCGTGTGCATTGTGCTTTCCCCACGCCCAGGGAATTTAGACGTGTCCTATTTGCCCCCATGTTATCATTGCATACAGTCGAGGACATTTATGCTCAATAGCTCTGATTATGCTGCATACGTGAAATTGCGTTCTTCCACTCTGCTAAAATTACACTTTCTTTCCTACTGCACTTCTTTGCCCTCTTGTTTACTTCATGCTATGCGAGGTCATCATCACCTCATGGTCATTCGTCACATTTGCAGAAGAATGGACAGGAACCTGAGCATAACACTCGCATTTCTATTCATCTCATCTCATAAAATAATTAATGTGAATCATGTCTCGGATCATATTGTCACCTAAAACTAGCTTATGTACAGTGTTTTCGGGTGACAGTTACCACTTGCAAGAAATAAAGAGAAGAAAGTGGTTTCTTGCAGGTAAATATTTTGCACCTCGCATTTCCTGCTTTGAAGTGCAAGAAATGCAGAAAATCCACAGGAATAAGGGCAAGAAATTAGCTATTTTGACCTCCAAGAAATGCAAGGCACAAGAAACTACGGTCCGCCGCCATACTTCATACGGCGCGTGGCTAGAAGACGAATATTACTCGCACTTTTTCCCAGTTTCGTGCACCTCGCATTTCTCCCGTTATTTCCTTTGCAGTGCAAGAAATGCATTAAACCCGCAAGAAACGAAACCCTGCATATGTGTCTGGAAACATTCTATTGTACGAAAACAGTAGATTTTTTGTGTTGTGTGACTGGTGAGTGAGTAAGTGAATGAGTGAAAGGAAGGAGGAAAATAAGAAGAAGAAGAAAAGAGAGAAAATAGTGTCAACAACTAACGAGTAAAGCTTGACGGTGGAGCTGATGCTGTTGGTTGTGGTGCATGGAGGTGTCGGCTTCAGGTGATGAGGACGACATGGCGGATGAGTCCCCTCCAGACAAAATGCTATTTATTTCCGCCGTCGTTAATGCCCGCCCTTCTCCGATATCATCCCTCTCCTCGGATTCATCCTTCACATCATCACAGCCCACTTTTACTCATCAATTCATTCCTCCATACATCCATATCATTACTATGTCATTTTCACTCTAAGACCACTACGACTACGACTCAAGTTACGAGACAACATTCACATTTTACATACCACGCCACGCCACACGACTAATTAACTAAACTCGTCCATTATTATGTAACATAGGTACAAGCGGAAATTAAAATTATTGTCAATTACCAACAATTTTCACTCAACTCGTATCATCTGCCAAATTTTAACTAAAAATCTTCTAGTATGCAACGTGCACTAATAAAATCCATGCGATTTTTATAATTATAATTATGCATTAGGTACTCTCAAGTTGAGAAGAGTTTCAACTTCTCGGAAAAAATAAGCAGGAAAATCTAGATTGTTTTCTCACTCAGGATTCTGAATTATATAATTGATTTTTCAATTATTATTTAAAAAAACTGATTTTTATCATTTTTGACCGATAAATTTGAAGGGATGTAAAACTCAAGTTCCGATAATTCTCTTCATACGGAAATCACTTTAAAGTTACCAGTGAGAAAACAGCGAAAAAAATATACCAAAATCTAGATTTTCTGCTAATTTTTTCCAGGAACCCTAATAAAATATCTCTCCAAAATCATTCCAAGCAAAGTACATACTTTTTTATGAAAGCAACCACCATAAATATTTTACTTATACGGAACTTCATGCGCTTGCCAAATGTGCGAGTGAACATACATACATAAAAAAACGCCCAGATAACCACTTACCTGACCATACGGAGGTCCTGAACTGTTCGAGTAATACTGTCCAGATCCAGAAGCGTATATGGCTCCAGCATCGCCAACATTGTATACCGGATACGCCCTTCAAAAACAAGTTTAATCAATTAAAAAATAAATTTTCACCATTTTTTCAAAATTTTAATCTTGTCCTCTTCAAAATATAATAACCCCGCACATTACATAAATATATCGGAGAACCAGGATTTTTTTGTACCAAAAAACACAGGACAAGGTGTACAACACAAATAAATAAATAAATAATCAAGCAAAAATTTAGCAGACTATTTTTTTCAAAAAAAGAATGCACGGCACAAAAAATTTGGAACAATTTTTTGTTAAAAAGTTATTTTCACCCGAAACAAAAAAAAAGAGAAAAAAAGCTGAATAATATACAAAGTATAATCAAAACTACTAATCTCAAAATAATAATAAATGAGAGCATCAAAACTTAATATTTCTGTATTATAAAAAAACGGGGAAACTTATAAAAAAAATTTCAAAAAAAATAATTTTAGGAAATCTATGAATGACTTGACAAGAATAAGGACGATTTTGTTGTTAGTAGTTAATTGATAGGTACATTGTATGTCCATTAGCAGCCGCAGCAGCCGCAGCAGCAGCATAAATAGAGGAATGATCACCAGAGTCTTCAAGGTATGTTACGTACGATGGGGTTGCTCCGACGCCTCCGTCTGTAACCACCCCGCTTTCACCATCCACTGTAAAAAAATCAAGAAAATTATGTAAAAACTAAAGTTCAGCTTCGTTTAGCCCGAGTGAGGGCGTTGTTAAAAATTTGAGGAAAGCTATGCAAGACCTTTTTTTAATTTTTTTTACACATTTTGCAAATATTTCAACTCGCCTCCGAATTTTGCACGTTCTATTTGTGTGCAAAATTTCAAGTCGATTGAATAAGTTTTATGAGCCTAATCGACAAACAGACAATCATGACGGGCACATTAGCCTTGATTCGGGTTTATTTATTAATGGCCTGAGTCATAATTGAGGTGGGTATAACACAACCACTATAACTTCTTCACTTCTTCACTTTTCGAACGAGATCATAAATTTGTCAATCGTAATAATTCGACCTTTAAGATATATATCATTTTTTAAACCAAATTTTACACATATTTCTCTCCGACGTCAAACTTTAGTAAAACTTAATTCCACAAATATCAATATTTCTGGAAAACTCCTCAATTCGATTGAAATTATTTCGATTCAAAATTTCCACTTTCATATTATTAAAAACCCAACCCACAGGGCAGCTATGTTCGATGTGTGTGCATAATTTCAAGTGGATTGGATAAGTTTTAACACGAGCATAATGGACGATAGACAGACAGACAACTATGACGGGTACATAAGGCCTAACTTGGGTTGAAAACATGACAAATTTTCTTGCCCAGAAATTATCCCATTTAATTCCCTCAATTTAACGTATCTTCATTCATTCATCTTGTTTTTCCATCATTTAGTCCAAAGAACCATAATCATTTCATGACTAAAATTGCAATTTAAAATTGTTGACAAACCAGAGAAACTGATTATGACAAAAACAGCGCATGTTTAGTCTTACAATTTGACGGATTTTGACCCTAAATCATCCTTATTGCTCAGCTTCGTAGTAGACAGGTTACAAAACAAAAAGCAAGCCCAATGAATGAACAATGTTATTCATTTTGTAAAAAAAAGTATCAAGCTTTCACCTGCTTTCGGAACCCTTTTAAAGGAATGTTTTTCGTATCGTTTGAGGAGTCAGTTTTTCGTCTTGTTCGTTCATTCATTCCCCTTTTTTTCTCTTCAAATCCTCGTTAAATAAATATTTTTGAGAGAAAAACCCAGGATTGTTCGTTCGTTTATGTATTTGCATTTATATTCTTTTAACATATGTACTTATTTGCCATTCAAGTATCTTACGCAATAAGTCACCACCGATTTTGTGTGTCTACCTCCCTACACGTGTAGACATACATATGTACATTCACTTAATTAGGACAAATATATATAAATATATGGATTGAGCAACTATGTACATGTACAACAGCTTATACATATATTTATTATTCAGCTGCTTTATGCTATCGTTTCGTCCGTCTGTCCGTCAGTGGGCAGAATATCTCCGCAGAAAGCCTTAACATACAACATAATCAAATACTCTTGTACTTCTAATTTGTGACCCTCGGTCCAGTTCGAAAACGAGGTCAAAGGTGGCCCTGGCGTCAAACTGGACCGTAATTTTCATATGCAGTATCATTTTCATTAAGGAAATTTCACCACGAATTCAAGAGTTTTTAACGTCCGACCAATCCATGACCGTATGAGGACTAGGTCAAAGGTCAAAAAATACATAATACATGACATTGTAAAGGAAATTTGCATCGCTTTAAGAAGTTTCCCCCAGAAACGGGTTGGGTTTGTCCCCCCGATTTCGACGGTTTGTGTAATTTTGAAAATTTTACTCTCGAAAATTTTGCTACTTCTTTACATCGGTTTATTCGGACAAGAAACTACTACCCAAGCGGGCTGTCTGTCTGTCAACCTAGAAATTGAGGTTCAACAACCACTTCAAAGAGATCATGATCGAATATCTTTCATACAACGCAGACCAAACCAAAGCAGGACTCGAAATCTTTCTCTTCATCTTAATCTCTGTAAATTAATCCTATTATGTAGTACGTATTGCATTCAAAGAGTAGGAACAAAGGGGAAAATATGAAATAATAATAATGAACGTGCCTGAGATGGAAAATCTGGAGAACGTATGTACAGAAGAGCCACGTCGATTCGGTTTCAAGGATTCTTATGCAATACTTGAGAGAGAAAGTGGTTTTGGTAGAGGTTAGGTAAGGGACATGCTGTACATATTCGTAATTATTGAAATAATTGACTGATCAAAAATGCATGTACTTGAGACGAAAAGTAGTGTGAAATTTATCTTAAAACAAATTCCTACTTGAAAAAAAATTGTCTTGAATATTTTACCGTGCTTATCATTGATAAATTATCAACAATCATCATCGCCAATTTTTTTTTAATTAACTTTGTCAGTTGTAAGTTTTTGTTTTACATATTTCACACTTTTTAGTACCAAAAAGTGTGAATTTTTTTTTGAAAAAATATAGTAATCAATTTCTTACAATTAGCCTCCATTTTTTATAACTTTATCAACAATAATTACTTTTTCAAATGTAACCTTTCAGAAGTAGTTAACCACGTGCAAGAAATGACGGCAAAAAAAAAGTTTCTTTCAGCTAAATATTTTGACCTGCACGAAATGCATGGCGCAAAAACCACGCTGTTAATTCTGCATACGGAACGTGACTAAAGGGAACACATTTCTTGCGATTTTTTGCATTTCTTGCTTTCCAGTGCAAGAAATGTGTGTAGCAAACCCGCAAGAAACGAAACACTAATAAAATATGCAAAAATGGTGAAATTTATCCTTAAAAATTTAGTAATCAATTTCCTAAAATTAGGTTCTACTTTTTTCCCGTGTTTATCAACAATCTCGTCGCTTCAGGCAATTCATAGAAAGCTATTTATGTATGTATCCCGTTCACTAACTAATTAATTAAAAACCGGATGGAAAACGGAGCAAATTAAATTACTTTCCCGATAATTATTGACGCACGTACACGCGATCTTTGTTTATATATAGCTCTCACATTATTTTACTTTCACCGTGTTTAAGACATCTCAATATCTCGGAAAAGAAATAGATAATCATAATACCATTACTTCCGATCACAGGTAGTGAAAGTTTCTGATCGACGGAAAAAAATGCCCAACGGCACAATTTTTAATTAGTTGGAACGACATTGTTTTGAAATGCTTTTAACAAGAAAGAAGAGACGACGAGTTTTACAAAAGGAGACGTAATCATCCTCGGGATTGATGAGTGAAAGAGAAAATTACTGTTCTTTTCAAGTTTACATCTTTTACTCAGGTTCAAGTCGTATTTAAAAAAAACCCAGAATGCAGACTTCATTTAGCCCGAGTAAGGTTTTTACTAAAAATTGAAGTGGGCATAATACGACCACGACAAGTTTTTCATTTTTCTACACATTTTCCTCATCTTCCAACTTAAATCATAATTTTGTATACACCACGTGTCTGCTCGATTGTAATCGATAGACGGACAGACAGACAAACATAATAATAACGGGAACATGAGCCTTGACACATATTTTCATCTTCCAACTTGTCTCCTAATTTTGCATGTTCCATGTGTATCCACAATTTCAAGTCGATTGGACAAGCTTAACCGATAGACATACAGACAGACAACATAACTGATACCTAAGGCCAGACTCGGGTTAAAACCCAAAAAGAAAATATGAACAATGAGCTTGTTGCACAAGCCACAACTGCAACTTGTTAGACACACATGATACTCAACTCAATAGAGAAAAATGTCAATATGTAACAATACCAACGTAACGAGACGTCATCTTGTGCATGGCAGGGGATGATTATACAGATTTTGTTTACGACAAGGTCATGTACCCAACCTTTCTTGGAGAGACGAAATTGTGCAAAATTGAACCTTCATTACACGTGCTTTTACTTTTTCTTGCATGGTTAAACATGAAATCTATCATTATTTAAGACCAGACCGACATCATCTAACATTGTCCTCCGGATGCATGCCATGAATCGACTGTCACCATTGGCGGCGGAAGCGGGGGGACATTGTCTCCCAGAAATTCAGCAGAATTGTAACTTTCCCATGTAATAAGCCCGTAATCCTCCAATCCCGCAATGCTTTTGCCCCCATATGTCCCCCAACCTCCGCCGCCACTGTCTGTCACAATTTTTCCATTCAACCTGCCAATTATTGTTTAGACGCGTGTCTCGGTTCAAACTTGTTGTCATTTTTACATGAAAAGAAAGACGCAATAGCAGTAAAACTATCCATGCTTTATTTGTCCTGACAGAGTAGTAAATACTACATGGAAAAGTTTACTAGTGATGGTAATCCGTAACCGATCCTATCCTAGGATCGTAAAAACTCGGATAGGATCGGATTTTCACACGGATCGGATAGAGGATCCGAGGATCACACAATCCGATCCGATCCGAACCGATGAAATCCTAGGATCGCACAGGATCCTCGGATCATCCGATGTAAACTCAGTACCGTACCAACAGTGGTATATGGTGGCAGCAAATACCAGGCCCGGGGCCCGCAGGGGCCCGGGCTCGGTCGCTAGCTTTCCACTAGGTATAATGGACCTTTTGTCTATTGAAGATTAAAAAAAAGTTTTTGTTTAGATGTACCTAACATTAAACTGCTAGATATTATTTGTATTTCATGGGTAATTATTTTTGTATGAATTTGAGCAGACATACTGGACAATTTTTAATTTTAATAGCCTGGCTTTCGAATCTTAAATTAATATGCAAAATCGTCATCTTAGCTGAACCTTCATGTTTTTTGGCAACTTGAAATGTGCCTTGCTAGGGAGCAAATTTACCATAAGCCAGGGACAAACTTTGGTATAAACTTAGGCCCCTTAATCGGCAATGCGACGACGCCAGAGGTCTCGCTCCGATTTTGACGAAACCACGATAATTATGTAACCTTAGACAAATAATTGAACACGTGTTTCAGGATTTTTCATAATGCTCAGCTTAAATGAAATTATGACGGAATCCGTGAGCGAGAATTTCTATTTTTACCGTGATATTTTCATGCGAGGGAGAAAAATACAGATTCTCGCATACTAATTCCATGCATGATAATTCGTTTAAGGTTAAAATGGGTCGGCATGAAGTGGTTTCCTCAAATTTTGACCCGACCAATTTTAAATTGCTCACGCACCCAAATAACCCGAACGGTAATTTTCATGTTCCTGAATGTTCGTGTTTTCGGTTGTGGAAGAAGTTTTGAATACATTGTCAGCCAAAGCAGGATTTTTCAAAACGTTGTTAATTTTAAAATTTTAACTCTATTTCAACAAGCAAGTAACATGTTTGCTAAAAAATTACCTCAATAAAATTATAAAAACTGTTTTTGGAAAAACTTTTAATGTTTGAAATTTTGATGCTATTTCGAAATTTTGAAAAAATGTTACAGACCAGAAAATTCGAAATTTTTTTTGAATTGTGGAAGTTTCTTAAACTCAATGTAATTCTGTGCAATAAAGTGCTTTCATTTTTTGAAATGGGGTAAAAATTTATTACTTTGAAAAACCCTGATTTGGCTTAAAATGTATTCACAAATTCTGGCACAACCGAAAACACGAACATTCAGGAAAACGAAAATTATGGTTCGAGTTATTTCGGTGTCTGAGCAATTTAAAATTACAATTTAATTGTCACTATTTTCCCGTGGATCTGGGAAAATAGTGTGCTCTAAATAGGTAAAATATTACTTCGTTCCTAAATACTACTAGTATTCTGGAGCGAAAACGATTGCGTAATATCGAATATATTTAACATGAAGGGCCCGGCACTGAAGCTCATACCAGGCCTGAAAATTTCACGGTACGGCTCTGTGTAAACTCGTTTCACACTTGGTGAGTTCATCACATGGCGTACCTTATCCGAATGAGCCGAATTATCCTATTATCCGGTTCTACTCGAAATCCGATGCGATCCGATCCTAGGATGGTAGGATATCCGCGGATGATCCAAGATTCAGTGTGAGACACCTTGTGTCTAATTATGGAAAAACTTTACCAGCTGCTTTTCTTTTGGTGAGTTCATCACATGGCGTACATTATCCGAATGAGCCGAATTATCCTATTATTTTACACCAGTTATTTTTATTTTGGCGTTGAAATCATACGAAATTGAATAATTTAAACGTCAAAATAAAAATAACTGGTGTAAAATAATAGGATAATTCGGCTCATTCGGATAATGTACGCCATGTGATGAACTCACCAAAAGAAAAGCAGCTGGTAAAGTTTTTCCATAGTTAGACACAAGGTGTCTCACACATATCATCCGCGGATATCCTACCATCCTAGGATCGGATCGCATCGGATTTCGAGTAGAACCGGGAGCCGATCCGATCCTAAAGCGAGCAAATCCGATCCGATCCGATCCTGTATTTATCCGATCCTATCCTACGGATCGGTTAATTTAGGATACGGATTACCATCCCTAGTTTACATTTCCGACGAAGAAAAAAAAACTGGGGAAACTTACCCGTGATTGTGACATATTGATGGGGTGAGTTTACCATTCCGCTAGAACTGGTATTTCCGGGCGTAGGAGGATTCGGTGTGGCAGATCCGAGATCTGATGGCGTCCCGGGCGTTCTGGGTCCCCCGCTCGAGATCTGGAAATGGAAATAAATACGGATTCATGTAAATATCAACTGAGACGCACTTTCTTCTCATTATTTTAGTGTTTTCCTCCATGTTAAACTATATAGCGCTAATAAATTGAACGTAGAATGGAGGCCTCCCAGCGTATGTTATCCGATTTTTAGCAATCTATTGTAAATCGATGGCAATTTTAATCAGTATGAAACTTGCGGAAGACACGATCTCCCAATGGGCACGTTTGGCAGAGCCGAAAATTTAATTAGGATGAAATCAAAACATTTTTAGAATTGTGAGATGCTGTGAACTAATCTTAAGATTAATATTATATGTAAAACATGGTTTTTTTTACTTGATAGGCATCAAAGCTGTGCATTTTTTAAAAAGAAAACATTAGTTATTAACACGTCCTTTGGGAAGTGTAAAATTTGGATGGAGAGAACAGCACCTAAACATTAATATTATTTGTGAAATATCTATTTTTTGCTCGAACGGTATCAAAGTCTTACATTTTTGAAACAAAACTGTAGTGATAACTTAATTAAATTTGGAAAATGAAAACTTTGGAAAATGAAAACTTTGGAAAATGAAAAATTTGGAAAATGACAAATTTGGAAAATGACAAATTTGGAAAATGAAAAATTTGGAAAATGAAAAATTTGGAAAATGAAAAATTTGGAAAATGAAAAATTTGGAAAATGAAAAATTTGGAAAATGAAAAATTTGGAAAATGAAAAATTTGGAAAATGCAAAATTTGGAAAATGAAAAATTTGGAAAATGAAAAATTTGGAAAATGAAAAATTTGAAAGGTATAAAATTTGCCAAATTTACTGCGCATTTTCTCCTCTTTGGATGCAAATATCTCTGCTAAACGTGCCCATTGGGAGATCGTGTCTTTCGCAAATTTCATCCTAACTAAATTTGTCCTCGATTGAGACTAGTTTGCCCAAAATCGGAGAGCATCCGCTGAGAGACCTCCATTTTTATTATGTGCTTTTAAGCATATGTAGTATTTAGTAGGACAAAAAACTAAGGGAATTTCCACCCCGTAGATTTATTTTTCCACACATTTTTGTACATACTATAAGAAACTTCATCAGTTAAACAATGTGCAATCTTATCTCTGACGCGGTGACGACTTGCACATTAATTTGTACCCCTCAGGCAAGAAAATCCATCTCGTGAATGACTTTTTATAACGTGTTACGTATATGAAAAAGTTGACGAGTGAAAGCATGCTCCATCTCAAGTCACCCCAACTGTAAAATATCTATCCCACTTTCACTTCCTTCTTTACCTCGTTATTATTGGAAATTGAATTCCACTCCCCGAGAAATTAACAGGTCATTGAGTGAAAACCAATTAATTAGCTGGTAAGCAGGTTTCCGTCTTTCCATTATTGCAGGTACATAGATATTTGTGCAGGGAAAAACTACCCCTCTTCTTCAGCCAGCCCGTAGTGAAATGAAATCCTGCCTGCCTTGATACAAATCTCTTGGTGGAGCTCACTCCTCAATTAAGCGGAAGTGCAGCAGACATACTTACAGTTCATATGTATGTATTTTCGTATCAGACATGGAATTGCAGGCAGCCAATTACAAAGTGCACGAGATAAGTTGCAATTAATAAATTAGGTTGACAACTAAATACTTGTTGGGTAACTATTTTCTGTTGAAATTAATAATGCAGTGACATTTAGAGTTGTGCCATGTTATGAAAATGACACACTTTTCTCATGCTAGTTTTTAGTTATCGTGGTCTAATATTTACATAATTTTGCATAATTCATGAAAAATTCGGATTAAATAAAGCGTTGCGCTTCCCGAAATTATGTTAAGATGAGAATAAATACCGGGCATTTTGGACATGCCATAAATTCGTAACGTTGGCCTTACGGGAATTAAGGATGATAAGATTTTCATTAGTCTTACTCTAGAGCCATGTAAATAATAAATGCCCGAAATTTTTGGCATGAAGGTCCCCCCACCGCGTTGGCCTTTTTTGGGGGTAAAAATGGGCAAATAAGGCGTGCCATAAATCCCCTTCTCGGGACCTTTATATAGAACTCCACCTAATATTTACGTAACTGGAGAAGGTTATTCAAGTCCAAGTTCATTTTTTCTTTATTTATTATTACCCAGATTTAATCAGTAGAAATGAATCGTATACGATATTCGCTTTCAATCACTTTCACTCTCTCGCCCAAATAAGAACTCGTTCGTACGTGGGGTCGAGTCAAATCAAATAACGCTCCGAAAACAAACTTGCTACATAATCAGTCAAGATCACAGACGAGAGAAAATGAAGAAGCAAGCAGGCAAAACCCGACCCACCCAACATATGAACACGGGCTCAAATTAATCCTCTCCTTGCCATTATAAAGCAGCAACAGCCATGACCAGCACCGGATAAAATTGGTTATTATGTCTCTGATGTGATACGGCACACCTGTTACCCGTCGGAAACAGGCCTGTCCACCTGCCTGAGTTCAGCAGCACTTATTGAAGCAGATACTAATTAATCGTCTGGCCAGGAAAGATCATAGACTTGGTGTAATAATTAGACTTGTAATTATATCTATACCATAAATTTCCTGCTTCTAATTTTAACGTGCAAAATTCCGGAAATTTTACGTATTTTCAGGGACAAAATTCCCGGAATTTATGCCAGGTTTACTTAGGTATCTTGGAATCTACAATTCTACTCAAAGTTAAAAATGAGCGTATTAAGACGATCCACCTTCTACGTATCTTGTCACAAGCAAGATTTCCGTTACGTAAAATGGTAACACCATTAAGTACGGCACGTCGCAATAAAAATTCCCCGAATTCAGTCAGAACTTTTTAAAAATATCACTACCTTATGCATATGTATGTACATAGAAAAATATGCCTATTTACGTCCCACTTCTTATGAACTACATACATATTCTAAACTTTTTTTCACCCTTGTTAGTCCAATCATTCTTATTATTCCACTTGAAGCACAATATCCCTACATTTCTCCATCCATATCCATCCATATTCATCACCCCGAATCAAATACCTCTTGTTACACATAAAAAAATCAGGCCCACTTCTTCATCCAGCTCACCGCTTGGGTAAACCTAGGTCCAAATAATAATATAATAATGCAACTATCCAATCTGGTTCGATTTACAAAATCATGCTGCCTATTATTCCGCTTTGTAAATTCTGTTCTGATTCCTCTCTCGTCTTCCTCAGGACACACAATAAAACATAAGTCTTGATCTGTGATCTGTGATCTCTGACAAAATCTTTTGATACGGGGCAGACTCGAGAATGAGTGAACAACAACACTTGAGTCCAGCTCCAGTGGAGGAATAATAATAATAAATCTGTTGATGATACTAGAACCGGACTGGACAGATGAGACGGCGTAATGCAGCAGCAACAATTCGCACGACAAAACTCGAGAAAGCAACAAAGGGAAATCTAAAAATCCGACTCAAAGCTTTTTCCTCTCTTATTGAAGAGCAAGCAAGAAAATATGTTTTTTTTTCGGTGAGAGCAGAGCACAGAGCAAGATTTGTTACGAGAAGGAGGAGGAAAAGGTGGACAACTGACAGGATTATATGCATGCATGGACGAGGATGATGATGTTTTTGTTGGGTGATTGTTGTCATCCGTCACTCACTTAGGAGTCGCTTCTGATCAATTTGGCCATGTTTCCGTACTGAATTTTGTACCATATCTGCTTGCCTCACTCAAGTCGGACATGATTGAGCTATTTGTTCGGCTTTAAAATATATGCAAGAAGATCAACTTTCTCTTTTGGGGGCATAGTGAGTCAAATTTGAGGCGTTACGAAATCCAGTTTTAATACGACTTCAATTTGCTAAATAATGTACGAAATCATGCCTAGTTTAATACTTAACTGTGCTAAAGCATGTTTAGTTGTGTATGAATTTTAGAGTACACACGACAAAAAATGAAGAACAATTAAAAATTCTTAATAAAAAAATAATTTAAATTTCCAGAAAAAAACGAACACACGATCATACCGCAAATCATTTTAGAGAATATTGTCTCGCTTGAATATTATCCCCAATTTGTGCAGATTATGTTTATTCAGAAATTTTACCACAAGAGAAAAATTAACAATTCAAAATTCTTCATATAAAAACTAATTTAAATTTCCACAAAATCAAGAACAACAAACCTGATGATGATGTGCATGAACCCACCACGGCACGATGGAACTAGACGTGCTAGTCGTCATCGTAAGTGAACAACAAGTCCGACAGGATACGTGCTCCATGATAAGTACTTTTCACCGTTTTTGTTTTTCGAAAAAAAATTTAATCCTGGATTTTTCTTAAAAAAAACTATTCAGAATCCCAATAGGAGTAGCGTGGTGTCTACAATCACGGAATTCATTCCACCCTCCACACACTTTCACCCACTCTGCAACCCACACGACACGACGGATGGATGAAGATCAACTGGTTGGTGGGTGAGTGGCGTGATTCGACCCAAGTGAAAGCAAGGTAGACGTAGACTGACTGACTCTACGTGTGCAACAGGTCTGTTGTACTGCAGCCCTTTTTCCGAAATGTTACACTCCTTTCTCCCCATTTTGAAATGAGGGAACCCAGTATCGATCAGAAATTTTCAAATTGTAATTGGAAAAAATAGCTGCAATAGACTCAAAACAATGAAAAATTGTGATTGTTTCTTCCTTCTCTAACTTGTCGGACATGTTTTCCTACTGAATTTGTGCTATATTTATCCCTAAAAAATTCAGGAGAGTCAGACATGATTGAGCTATTTTGTTTGCAAATTCTTTAAAACAAATATGGAGAAAATTTAAAATCAACTTTCTCTTCTGGCCGAAAAAATAGCTACGCTAGGCTCGAAACAAGTCCAAATCGTTACTGGTCCTTCCTGTTAAAGTGGTCGGATTAAAAACAGGAGTTATCGGATGAAGAGAAGGTGTCGAATCCAATTTTTTAACGAGATATATATAAAACTACTGCATAAGTACAATAGGTCACGTGTCACATTTTTTCCCGCATTTTGATCCCATAACTTTTGCAGCGATGAAGTGATTATGAAATTAAATTAAACAGAAAGAAATTAGCTTCTGCATTTATTCCAAATTACGTATGTACTACCTCTTTCACGAGGTGGAGAAAAAATAGCTCTAGTAGAGTCGAAATACTACATAACAGGGTGACTTAGGATTAAATTATCCTCAAAATAGCGACCCAGCCAGGGAGAAGAAGATATTTAGTGAGGGTAATATATTGAAAATAACGCGTAATTGGACTTCATATGTAACACAATACGATACACTACGAGCAATCAAACATGGTAAATTTCGAATTTGATACGTTTACTCATCCTCAGCGGTTTGGTTTGGTTTTATGGAAATATATCCGTAGTGACTTTTACTTATTTAACTCACTCCCCTCACTCAAGATTAGTCAGGTTTTTCCATCTCCGCTAAATATTTGCCCGAATTTGCAATACAGATCATCCACCTCGTAATAATAGGGTTTCTTTTATTTATTCCAAGTATTTCTTAAGTTGGATTGGATTCAGGTTCAAAGTTTTGATTAAAATATGATACATTTCGAGGTACATTGATACAAAAGTTGAAATTAAAATGTGCACATGGCTGGACTGGAATTGATGTCATTTTTTAGTTAAAAAGTCGAAAAATTGTATTATCAAGAAACTTTGTAGATCATCAAACTTTACAATTTAGTCAAAATAAAATAGAAATATTCTTGACTTTCTTCTTTTCTCTAAAACGTTGTATCAACTTTCCCCAAAAAATCTTAAACCCCAGATTTATACCAGATCAGTCATCATGATTTTAGATTTATGATTTATCATCCTACAACGTTCAAATTGTGATCAAGCTCTTGCGACCGACATCAAATGAGTCCAAATTACTAATGCACATCTTCACTCGATGCATGAGCTTCACTCTTCTCCGACTTTGACTCCCGGTGTCTCAAGAGTAATCAACTAATCAAACCTCATCAACCGACATCATGCCATCATCAGAGAGAGGACATAATATGTATGAGCACAAATAATGCTGTATAGAGTAGACGATGTGATGATTCAGGTTGGGTCGGAATTTCCCCAAATAAATGGGGAACACATTTTCTGAACCTGCTTCAGAAGAAAGTAAAGGGAAGATTTCCGAAAATTTATGCATGTCCAACAACCAACTGTGATCATCACCCGCAAAGTAACTGTAACATGGGAATAAGCTCCGTTGGTCTCTGGTCCGTCTCATTTTTTTGTCAATACGCACACGAAAAAGCAGACTGAAACATATTTTATAGATCTTTGTGGCACGGCGAGACAGACAAAATTGAGGTGATCACATCACAAAACTATGTATACGGACCGTAATTGCTTTACTTTCACAGACTTTTTTAGGAAGTCGTAGAAATAACGGATTCCTCTGAAAAGCCAAGATTTCTCCTTAAACTATGGCTAATAATCTAAAAGTGAGAACAGTATGCCAGACATTAGCTTTCTCGTCTCGATGTACATACATTTGAAGAATCAAAAAGATTACCAAAATTCCCGAGAAAATTCATAACATGTAATTATCAACATGCTTCACACAACAAGTAGGGTACATAGCATCACCTTCTGTTTGGAATCGTAGTAACGGACGATGCCTTCTTTTTCTTCGTAATAAGTTCAAGGGTGAAAGTAAGTGGTGGTCGTAGAAAAAAAAAGTTGCGCAATGAAAGTGAGTCTCAATCTCGGGACGACCCATAATCTCACCAATGCATATTTTTCCTTGAACCAGTACGAACCAAACCACCAATATGATGCTAAACCCTCAAACATCTTGGCCCACGGCGTATGTATGTAGCTGCATATCGCTTTCTGTGGCTAAACCCAAATAATTTTCGTCCCCACATCTCATCTTACCCCTTGCCTTGCCTGTTACTTTCACTTTCATCCCTCCTCCATATTTTCTCACACGTCGCTTACATATGTACATGGATCAATGCGAATCCGTACAAAATCTTCCAATTTGTCGTCCTTCACACAGACAGGCTGGAATGGACTCCAATGAGTTTAGTGTGTACCTCATACTCCACATTTCTCTCGCCATGAACTAAATTAATTATGACTTTTCAAACTAAATATGAACAACATATCGGCCCGTTACTTAGGAATCCATCATGTCACACTAGTCATGTCTGGCTGGCTCAAAGAATCAGCAAATTCAATGGATATGTGGAACAAACAAAGACATGTTATGTGTGTGTTCAGGTTTGTGATGATGATTCCTGATTAAATTCTATCCAACTAAACAAATAGAACTAAACGAAGTCATAAATCTGCAGCAGCATTGGTATTTTAATGTGAAAATTACCTGGTGAATGAAAAACATATAATTAGAAAGAGATAGCAGTGAAAGCACACTCTCAGAAATTCAGTATTAAACTTATACCGAGCGGTATTCATACATGACTCTACCAAAGTGGTATTGATAAGCAATACCCTGTAGTAATAGTTCCGTATTAAAGTTTACCATGCCAGTAGCAAATTTTTATGGACCTGTATAATATTTTAATACCAAATGGTAGCAAATTTACCTCCGAGAAATCAATGCCAGCCTGACTATACCAGGTTTCTAAGAGTACAAGCAATTAATCTTGGCGAAATGCGAACGGTGACGAGTTGTGACAACTCAATTGTCATGTTTTCTATGTTATGCAGCTTATCAAATCATGATACGTAAAAATATGAAACTTTTTCATACCTCTTGATCTACTGACGACTCCTTTCCTCCTCCTCCTCCATTATTCACCGCGACTACGGTGGAACCCACAGCTCCAGCTTGTCCCGCCGCCCCCAGTGACTGTCTCGCACTCGATTTCGACTTCATACTACTGGTCGTGGTGCTTATCGATATGGAACTTTTATTTCCCGAATTTTCCGACGATGGCGACGGTGATCCTCCCAGTTTGAGAGTAACCTTTGGAACTTTCTTTGGCGGAGCGCCCCTGTCTTTCGCCCCTACCGTGAAGGTTAGCGAGGGCTGTTGATGGGGTGCAAATTCTGATTTTAGTTCTGGGGGAAGAATGACGGGTGTCTTCTTTGGTGGTGAAATCCTCCGACCAGATCGTGTTGTCAGTTCGAAAGATTCGTTGGAAATAGGAGGGATTTTGTCGGGGATTACGGGTTGAATGCTGCCGAGGAGACCGTCCACTCCCACTACTTTGTCCAAGCACAGTTCTCCAGGATCTTCAAGGCTGAAGGACGCTGGGCCCACTACATCTGGAATGAAAGGAAATAATATTAAATTGAGGAGGTGTTAGGGAGGACACAATAGGCAAATTTTGGTGAGAGAAACAATACAACCCACTTGACAAATATTAGGCCTGTCATTTCCATGCATAAATCAGGGAGCATAATATTCATTGTGGTCGGGACTAATTATTGGACAATGGGTTGATCTGGGTGCGTCAGTCATGAGATTCAGATTTTGAACATATTGTCACCAATATGGTGGTGAAAGTGGGGAGGAAATAGGGAAAACTGGATGGCATCGCCACCAGTTAATCAACTTTCTCCTCTAAAAAAAATCCCCTGAATTATGGGCATCCCCTGGACATTTAGGGCATAAAATTGGCCATATATGGCATAAATTTGTGATCACCGCCACCACTTTCTCCTTTCATGCATAACAAAGAAAATGGCCCTAATTTTGGACAAAAATCCCCTGGACATTTACTACAATATGGCATAAATTTAAGGCACGCCATAAATCGGCACAAGTAGATATGTACATATGTACAACCCCATTTCTCATACAAATGTACACAAAATAATCTCCAGCTTTACCCGCGTTACATAACCGTCTGATACCTGACCATACATACGTAACGATTACAATTTCTTTTCGAGCACCTCGTCCCCCCTTCACTTCCTTCGCGACAAGATCAAGATCAACCCAGAATTCTTTCCCAGAGTTTTTTAAAATCTGTTTAAACTTTCAAAATCCTCAATATATACCTACGTGCGTAGCTGGGTACATAGCAATTCTGCGTGCAAATCAAATAAAAAAAAGAGAGAGAAGATGAAAACACTTCAACAGAAACAAATAATGGTGTGGGTCCAGTTCAGGGAGCTCAGGTTTGTGTAATCGAATATTCAAGCATTCTTGTGCCCATCCATGTCCACTTAAAGAGAGGACAAGAGAAAAAATGCCACATGGACACCACTCAAATTAAATTCAGAATGTGATCCTCTCACCCATGGATCTGATTTCACATCGTATCGTACCGTAATCCACCTCTGCTCCAGATTCGACCAAAAAGACCAGAAAAATAAAACCATAACCAAATAAAGGAAGAAATAATAATGAGACATCGAATCCCAGCCAGGCACTCCAGCTTTCTCCGTATGAAAATAATACAAAATGTTGGGTCCCCACTAAAAATTCCGACGATACACTTCACAATAAAATAAACAAAAGTATCAATTTGCACCTGGACGTAAAATGAAATCACGTATGTACATAACCCCAAAAAATGTCAAGGCCTGCTATTTTTTTTCGAGAGAAAGTTAATCATGAAAAAGTTTCCGATTTTTTTTTCACAGGAACAAAATTGTAATAGGATTTGGATCTGTATCTTAATTTCAAACACAGACTCCGATTTTATCAATTTTCACGCAAAGTGAAATCACGTATGTAAATATGTAACAAAATATGTCAAGGCTTGTTTTTTGAGAAAGTTCAGCATGAAAAAGTTTTCGTATTTTTTTCTTCACTGGAACAAAATTTTAATAGGATTTGGATCTTTTATGTAGCTTAATACGACGACTAACTGTCAGCTGTACTTGGGGGAATCAATGGATTGGATTGATGGGATAAATAAATGTGATAATTATTGTTATTATCGTATATGTGTAGTGGGCAGGAACTGAGGAGGCACTAATTATGCACGTATATACTACGTAATCAGCTTGAACCGAAAGAATTAAGGGTGCAAAACTGGATCGAATACGGTAGCAAACTAACTTCACGATGGATACAAAATGGTAAGAAATTCAGGTCCACAAATAAGGGTCACATTATTGCATATGTGAAACCTCCCCCATTTTCTCCCTTCCCTCCCTTCAGTTCATTAAGAGAAAAGGGAAAACTACGAATATTTGATACACTTTGACATACACATGACGAATACATACTTTTCTTTCTATAGGGGCACTTGAATCAGGGTCTCTCTGAATTCATTCGACATTGACATCGACCATTATTACGTATTTATTCTGTCATTCGTTACACTTACGGAAATGACAAGCAGTGGCCGCGGAAGCTGGAGGGGACAAAAGAGGGACAATGTCCCCACGGTTATTCGATGTCCGCATCATCTCCCCATTTTATATAAACCCCTCCCTCCCCCCATCCTACAATGGCAATGTCCCCCGATGTCCCCACAGCTTCCGCGGCCACTGAGGACAAGTCACCCTTACTTTTATGTTTGTACCTGTGCACACTTACATATTTTACTCCCTCCTTTTTTCACGGGCGGGCGAACCCAGAAAAGCGGGTAGTAGAATGTGAGTGAGGGTGAGTGCATATGTACAAGGGTAGCTTGAAAGGAAGATGGGGTACGGATACAAAAATGACAGCGGTCGGTGGGTTATTTATTCCTTGCCCGTTGTTGTTTTCACCTGCCTCGGATTTTTTGACGGGCAAGGCAATCCAAGCTACATATTTATTAGCAATACTCAATTAGAGAGCATTAGCTACAGACAACAGAAACAGAAAATAAGAAAAAAGAGAGGAGGAGGGTGGAAAAACGAGGGGAAAACAATACCCCTTCGGAGGGTGGAAACTCAAAACACCGGATTTTCATTTCACCATCATGATCTATACGAACGGAAGTAAGGGTTTACTTCTGTATGAACACCTGACCAATGTCGATTTATAGGAAAAGCTTATATAACACTGCGTTATATGGATAAATAAAAACGAATCCTATAATTTTTAAACTGATTCTCGAAACACGACAAGTTTTGTTAAAAGCAACAAGGAATGCGTATTATGCATGTATCGACCTGATTTTATGTGTCATAGTTACACATGAGAAAATTAAAATGAGACAATTCACGCAAGCTTTGGTAACATTGTAAAATCAATCCGTGAATTCTGTAAAGTTACAAACTTTTACAAAATTTTATAACCATTTCGAAGAAAAATTAGCTCACAAATTTGTGTAAACTTATAAACTTAGGATAAGATCAAGGGCGTTTCATGCAAAGTTTGCAGGTGAATTGCCTCAATATAAAATCGTTATGCACATACACAACATGCATACTTATTTACAAACTTTTAACGAGGATGAACATACAATTTAACGCTTTGCAAATAATACACACAGAATTATAATTAATTGAGATGACACTTTCTCATCTCAAGTGTATAAGTACGATAATAAAGAGAAAGTTGTACAAGTCACAAATCACAATGAGACGACAACACTGCGAATCACCGAGCCATGAAATGCATGGATAAAAATTTGGGTGAAAGGTGAAATCAAAATACGGCGAGACTAAATAAATCTACCGACAACCTTACCCAACCAAACCAACCAATCATTACTTATCGCATAATAATAATTCTATTCTGTCTGAAATGCAATAAGTTGCAGTTATAAGCTGAAGTTGTGCATCTCTTTAAAATGTCCTGAATTCAAAAAGTCACATGTAGCGTATCAATCAATTCTATTTTATTTCTTGTATTCAAATAACTAGCAATTTTTCAATTTGTACCTCGCTCAAACTTCTTTACAGAGATTGAAGCTTTTTTTCTTGGTCTATTGAAAATTGAAATCTCTTGCGTACGTTTGTACGCAGTGGCAGCGGAAGTGTGGGGACAGAGGGACAATGACCCCACGGTTGTTCGATGTCCGCATCATCTACCCATGTTATATAAACCCCTCCCTCTCTTATCCTACAATGTTAATGTCCCCAGATGTCCCCACGGCTTCCGCGGTCATTGTAGGTACGTATTCATTATGCAATTCAAACTTGTCGCTTATTCGTCCAGTTTTCCCTTTCAAAAAAGATGAATAAGTTTGGTTTTGAATAACTTTTTCTTCTCTTTCTCTTGGTGTAACTCTAGATTTGATTTTATGTAGTTTTCTCTGCCATTCGACTCCACTTCATTTCATATTTGTGATTGAACGGATTCGTCGTCATCTTCATTTTTGAAATCCGTTCAAATGCATCGCTTTCTCAAAAATATTGTGTAACATGTTGCGTTTGAGATGAAATGAAATGCGTGTATGTAGATTTGTCATGATTAATTTCCATGCTTCTTGTAAAAAAAATCTATTTGCAAAGATTGGTGGATGAAGTTTGATACGTTTTTACCACATTTTTGTACAATTACACTCTTATAAGTCCAGTATTATATACTTGGTGTTAAATTAATACCAAGCGGTATTCATATATGCCTCTACCAAAATGGGATTGATAAGTGATACCGTGTACTGGGTAATAACGTTTTAGGATATCAGTAGCAAATTTTTACTGACCGGTATAAGTTTAATACCAAGCTGTAGTAACTTTAATACCGAGAAATTAATGGCTGCCAAACTATACCGGATTTCTAGCAGTGTATTTAAGATTGAGAATCTACAAAAAGGTCGTGGGTCAGTAAAAAAGAGGGGACAAGATCTCGTACGCATAATAAATACAGAAATTCACTACAAACAAAATTCTACACGAGAGTATTGAATTCTTTTTCATTTTCATCTTTTCCCAAGTTTCATAAACTTCAAACGATTCAATCTTTACGAAATGGATACCTTTTTTTACATGTAGAAACAAAGACGTCATATTTTCCAATCAAATTATTTGATTTCCGTTTTCTCCTATAACTTGAAACTTTTTACTTTTATTTCTTTCATCAATTCTCAATTAGGTTAAATTTGTCAATAGAATTGCTGTTTGCATGCGCGATTTCTTAAATTGTATTAAATTATGTGTTTGAAAAGGTCAATTCTAGATGAAAATAGATACCCCAGCGTTTTTGATAAGAGGCAGGCAGATAAATAACACATAGTAATTTGCATATTACGAGTAGATTGTAGAAGAAAATGAAAGAATTTGTATATTAAAGCGAATAAATACCTTCGTCATCCATCCGGAAATCGTCATGTTCTTCATCGTCGTCGTCATCTTGATGAATTATTTCTTGCTTGTGCACTTCAAGGGCGACGGACGTGTGACCTCTTCCCCGTTTTGCGTGACATTTATTTGATACTTTCGCCATCCTCATGATATTCACATGGAAGGAAGGAACTCTGATGTCTTCTTATCAGCGATATGTATGTAGGTATTTATGTACGATGATAAGCTCGGTTTTTTCAGATCAGCAAAGTCAAAAAAGAGTTGAAAGTCAAGAAGAAAGTGGTGATGACGAACGAAGGATGGATGGATGGACGAGCAGAAGAGGAAGGAGACAGGCAGCTGAGGTCAAAGACCGAAAGGAAGGCGAAGAAAACTGCAATTTCAAAGAAAGACCCACCACGATAAGCTGTAACCCGGCACGATAACCCACCAGATAACTAACTTTATGTATGTCACCAATATTTAAAAGCGAGTATAGAATAGAGCAAAATAAAAGCCGGAAAGTTTTGTATAATTAAAAGTTAAATGCTTTTTTAATTGTGAGGTGAGTGACCTCGCTGGTGGAAAAAACGTTTTCTTTCAGGTACTAAAAATTGCCAAAAAATTTCCCGGTCACAAAAACTTCCCGATTTTATATTTTTTACTAAACACTTAATTCCTGAACAAATTACTATTTTACTGAATCAATTAATTACTAAACAATTAAGATAGGTAAACGAAATTCCTCTGACCTTTGCGCACATGTAAATCCAAAACGTTTAGTGTAATTTTTTAAACAATTTAACAAATTAGTCAGTAATTAAGATTAAGATAACGTGTCACAATTGAAACTTTATGAACGGATCATATGCAACAACATCTGAGAAGAGATGACATTTCTTTGTTTACACTTTTTGACAGAGGTCAATCGGTCAGCAACGTGTAATGTGTTTGATAACGAATATGAGATGGAATTTTATGCCCAAATTACTCACTAATAAAGAAACAAAAAAAAAAGTTTTTTTATTTACCTGTTGTAAAAGTTTCCGAACCTTAAAATTTAAATTTCCAATTTTCCACCGATTCACTCACTATATAAAACTGCGAACGCAACAAAACTTGTCCACTCAGCTGGCGACGACGGAATAGAATACAAAATTTTCACATTTTCGGTTTGTTGTTGCCTTGGTGATTTTCGTGTTGCTATGGCTACGCCGACTCATTTTCCGTCATGGCAACGGAAAAAGTCGAATCCTTGGCTACGGTTGCTCCGCCGACCAACAACGATGGATTTTTTTATAGAAACTTATTACTCTCCAGAAGCAGCAGTAAGTAAGCAAAGCTCTCGGTCCGACTTCTTTGAGCCCGCCGCTGCCATGGCAACATTCAGCAAAACGAAAACTTTGTTTCCCTCAGCTTTATGGTAACCATGGAGACGTATGTTTCCAGAAACTTAAAATGTTTTGTAAAAGAGATGATTTTTGATGGGAGAAAGTTACGTGGTGAAAGTGTGTAACGAAGTTGTATATGTTGCTGAATTTTGATGCCGTTTGCTTTTTTTTAAATTATTTTCATTATTCTAGTTTACTATAAATTATAATTGTTTCATATTTTTCAAAATTTAGGATTTATTTCCAAAATACGAATACGATTATGTCGGCACAATTTTATTTGTGTGTAAACTTTACAAAATAAGTGTCGGCTGTTTGCCGGTACAAAAAAAACTTTGCACGTTTTCATTGTATTTTCTGCTCATTGTTGGGTGAACAATCGTGTAAAATGTGATACATTAAGTTAATTAATTTAATTAGTTAATTGTCACATTGTCACTAAAATTTGTAATAAAAAATTTAATTACTCCGAGAAGTGGCACGTTGAACTTACAAAGTTACAAAAGTCGCACAATGAGAATTGAAAGACAGCTGACACATGCATGGCATGGTGGTTGTTTTGATTTGATTTGTTTACTTGTGAATTTGAGAGTGGATTTTTGTTTTAAGATAAAAAGTGATAAGATAATTTTTGTCGGTTTTGTCACCAATTGATAACTCACGACAAGATGGAGAAAGATGTAAAGTCTTTGTTGTCTATTAAGGGTTAGTAATTTTTAAACAGTTAAATTTCTTTTGCAATAACTTTACTTATTTTTTTTTAAATCTAGTAGTTTTTGTAAATTGAATTTGAGAATGGATTATTTTGAAAGTTTTAATCAATAAAATGAATATTTTGAGGTCAGTTAAGGCCCATGTCGAAATTGTAGTCAAAATTGTAGTCGAAGAAATTAATATCGTAATTCAAAATTTGAAATTCAAATTTTCTATACTTATTTATTTTCGTAGTGCTTCGTCTCGTGAAACCGGCCATGATTGGACCACTCCCACTCACCTGTGATAGTCGTGATCTTGTCAGCGACTTGTGGGAGAGAGAATTGAGGATGGATGTCACAGCCACGCCGGGCATTGAAAATTTGTCTCTCGGTCAATTTCTTCGACTTCCGCAAGGATTTGGGTAAAATAAATACGAAATTAATAATTTATTGATGTCAAATTTGTGTAATATTTTTGGAAATATATGTATACAGAAATATGTACCTCGGAGAAACGTTTACTTGTTACGTTGTGATTCAAAACGAAAGTCCCGTTGGTGTTACGAATGTTTCCGTGAGGGTAATTAAAAGATAATCATTTAAATTACTGTTGTGGTATCAGAGATCGACGCCTACCATTTTTCGGGGGTGTCGGTGCCGCAGCTCTGCATCCTAATCTTGAAGGAATAGGAACTTAAATTTATCGTCTGCGGCGGCGAGTAAAATGTTACCGGTGTCGACCCGTGGGCGATATTTAATTATGCTAATTGGTAATTAACTTAATTTCAGGTCGATTTGCAAACCACAACCCAAAAGTTTACACTTACCGAGAATCGGACAATGTCTTTGATGAAAACTGGAGATACTATTGACCTTATCATGAATCATGAAATTAAAGAGATGGGAAAGCACATGTTAGTAGAAATTGTATTTTATACATATTTAATCTGGATTGAATTTATAATTATGTATAATTTGCAAATTATTTGTTCTTTTCAGGCTCATTTGTACCTTAACGTATTCAGTTCCTAGCTCTGCGCCTACTTCCGAACCCATTTTTGTGGAAAGATTCTTCAAGTTTCAAGTTAAAAAACCTCTCGATGTCAAAACTAAGCTGTACAATGCTGAGGTGAGGGTTGTTTTTGTAGTGCAGATCAAAAAATATATGATGAGTGAAGATTTTGTTTAAATTATGAATTATAATTGCAGGCTGACGAAGTATTTTTAGAAGCTCAAGTCCAGAACATTACCGCAATGGTAATAAAACAGATTTTCTTTAATTTAATAATGATTCCATCCAAGGGTGGATTTCCGAGGCTTTTACACCCACAACAAGACGACAATTGCATGATGCATGTAGAATACAATTCATGCGAAAATACAGGTTTTGTGAAGAAATTAACTTCTAATCGTTACAAAAATACATTCTTATTTTTTTTAATGGTGATACTTTTGACAGCGATAAAAGCTAATTTCTTTACGGAATCTGTATTATCGTAAGAATGTTGTATTGTAAATGCAGATTCTCCTCTTTTTGTGGGTGTAACACCCTGGAAATCCAAGTCGGCTCGCTAATCCTGCTGACAATAGTGGAACCGATTTTTGCCAGGAGCAAGCAATGTAGCTACAACTTTTCAAAAATTGCAACAGTTTGTCACCGAACAGTGAAATTCTGGAGAATTTAAATTGTTTAAAATGGGCTAGAGATAGCCTTCATCAATAATGTTTGACAAACAAAATTGTTGAAATATATTGAATGATAGAAAACAGATTTTGTAACGACTTCACATAGTAGAAAGCCAAATACTTTGTCGAAATGCAATACGTATATTTTTAGCTCCAGTCTTCCAAAGGCTTCGATCCTCAGGTGACTGTCAATAACGTTAGTATTTTGGCCTCCTCTATTTTTAAATTCCTAAAAAAATCTGTTTTCTATCATTTTATTTATTTCAACAATTTGGTCTGATCGATGAGAATATCTAACCCATTTTAAACAATTAAAATTCACCAGAATTTTATTTTTCGGTGACAAACTCTCGCAATTTTTGAAAACTTGTACCTACATAGCTTTCTCCAGGCAAAAATCGGTTAGAAATTTTGTCAGCAGGATTAGCGAGGGTAAAAGCTGAAAAGAATTATTTTTTTTGTACTGAGCAAAGTTGTTTAGGTTAGATTTTATTTGAAATAACCAATATGAAAATCGACCTGGCAAAAATAGACCACATTTTCCGCAAAATATTTGTGTCCGCCTGAACATTTATTCAGAGAAAGTGAGAAAGCCCTTAGATTTCCAGGACAGTTACACCCACAAAAAGACGAGAATCTGCGTGGAAAAGACATCATTCGTACAAAAATATAGGTTTTGTGAAGAAATTAACTTTCATCGGTTTCAAAATACTCTATTTTTAAAGAATCGTGGAAACATCGGATTTTGACAGCGATAAAGAGTTAATTTCTTCCCAAAACCTGTAATTTTATGCGACTGCTGTATTCTCCACACAGATGACAGATTTTCGTCTTTTTCGTGGATGTAACAACCCTGGGAAGAACGGGTGTCAAAATGCTGTATTTTGGCAAAGTACCCCTTCCCCCACACCATCTGAATAATTCTATTTATCCAAGACTTGGTTTTAAATGGGAACATTTGTTTATTATTTAGCCGCTCTGCTTAGAAAAAGTCGACTTGGAACCTTCCTCCGGCTTCAATTGCATATCCATGAACGGAACGTCGGAAAAAGACCTTCTCATCAGGACACGGATGGATATCCAGCAGAGTACAAACTTTAAGCAAAAGTGGCCCAATTTGCTGCTCGATGTGGAAGGGTCACAACAATTTCTGTACAGACTGATTCCGAAAGCGGACAACGCCAGGACAATGACGAACATTGGGAAGTTGGACATTGTATGGAAAACGTCCATGGGTTCGCATGGTCGCCTGCAGACGTCACAGTTGCAAAGACAAGTATTTAAATACGTGTAATTCAACAATGTAATTCGTGGAAATAAATTAAATTTGACTTGATCTTGTTTTTAGATCACGGTGCTCAATGACTTGAGATTAATCGTCGAAAAAGTACCGGACACGTCTCTTGTTGATAAACCGTTTGATACGCAATGTAGAATTGTCAACACGACTTCGTAAGTATTGACTTATATCGATAAAAAGGCAATGGGAGGATTCATGAGAGCTTCGTATATTTCGTAAACATAAGTTTCGTTTAGCATCGTACTTAACATAAGTTTATTGATGATGCGAATTTTTCTAAAGAAATGCATAGAATTTTTTTATGCGAGGCTTACGCAGCTCGAACCCTTTACAAATGTCGCATCTTGTTTATTTCCAACAATAACTTCAAATTCCATTGGAAAGAAAAATATAGATTTTAAAATTCGAGAAAAATTAAAGTAATTCTTAGTGCGAGAAATTTGAAATTAAGTCATTCCCCAGGACAATTGTAGAATCTCTTTACAAGCTAACACATTTAAGTTGAGAAGCTACGTTAACGAACCTCCTCATGAATCCCCCCATTATTTCAGAAATTAATTTCATGCACAGCCAATTTTTTTCAATTTTTTGCATAAAGTTCTACTTTGTAAAATTCATACGGATTTATTTATTTAGAGACCGTGATATGGACCTGCGTCTCGAACTGGATCCCGCAATCGAGGGGTACATCTGGGTCGGCGTGACCAAAACGAACCTTGGGATACTCGCTCCCACCAACCAATTAAATTTAACCGTCAGCATATTCCCGTTTCGAACTGGATTAATCAACGTTTCTGGAATACGACTCGTCGACTTGAACCGAGGAGAAAAGTTTTGTTTTAATGACTTAACCCAAGTATTAGTATTGCAAAAATAAGCAAATTGTATGGATTCCAATTTCAAATAATAATTTAGATATTTATTTATTTAGTAAGCCGTACTGATAAGATAACAACTACAATTAAGTAAATTCCGTGCTAAGTATAGGTGCAAAAAAGTGCAAGTTTTATGGCTATTTTTTGACTACTAAATAACATAAAGGTCGAGCTTGCTCCAAATTAAGTTGAAGATTAATTAAGACTAAGGTTCAGAGGTTGGCAACATATTTTGTGAAAATACAGTAATTTTGAGCCCCGTTCTTTCCAGGGTTTGGATTTCCGGAAGTGTTACACCCACAAAAAGCTGAACATCTACGTGGAGAAGGCAAAATTCATACGAAAACACACGTTTTGTGAAGAAATTAACTTTTTATCACTGTCAAAAAACATTGCTTTAACTAATTTCTTTTAAGTAAACTAGTTTAACAGCGATAAAGCGTTAATTTCTTCAAAAAACCTATATTTTCGTAAAACTCTTGTATTCTGTACGTAAATTCTCGTCTTTTTTGTGAGTGCAACACCCCCGGAAATGTAAACCCTGGGAAGAACCGAGCTCAAAATACTCTATTTTCACAAAGTATTTTACCCACCCTGCTAATTCTACCTCTTCAGCTAAATGCATCCAGAAATCCGGTCGGTGGGATGAAGAAACGTGATTTTTTATAATAATACTTAAACAGAATTGTACTTTGATTTTCAAGTGTAGGCAAAGAAGCAGAAAGGATGATGAAGAAGACGAAGATCAAGAACCATGCAAATCAAGATCATCGATTTGTCATTCTTTACAACACAATGCAATGTGGCTTATCTCTATAAGGGTTGTTTTTGGGTGAATGAAATCCAGTAACTAGCGAATCATCGCGCTGATGTTCCACCACATATTTCTGAAAACATGCAACATGCCAATTAGCTTTTTACTCAAAAAATTAAATTAAAAACAGAAAATCGGAACTAAGAATAATAATATTAATTAAATGTCAATCAATCAATTACTTTTTGTTAGTGTTATTTATGTAAAAGTGAGTGACGATAAAAGCGAGAAAAAAATATATTCCTATCAAAATTAGAATGGTTTCAAGTTTTTATTAATTTTCGATACATGTAAAATTGCAAAGTAGGACGGAAATGAGTGAATTTTGAGTGTGGCGTGGCTTGGCGTTTCGCGTGGCGTGCCGTTGGTTACGCAATATTACAGCCGATGCAGTCCGTCGGACTGTACGGATTACTGTTTGGTGGTGAATGGGAAAAACCGGAAACTAGACAATCATCTCGTTGATGTTCCAACACAAAGTTCTGAAACGTGTACGTATACTTTTTTTAGGCACGATAAAAGCAAAAATTGAAATTATAATGGAAATTTTGATAAATATTTGCTAGTAAAAAAAATCTACCCAGTGTGATTTATGATGCGATAGCGAGTAACTTACCAAGAGAAGCATGATTTTCATGGTAAATCAACTTTTTGGTTATCATTTCTTTCTTATACGATTTGATTTTATCCAACTCAAACTTTTATTTTTAGCCAAATAATAATATCCAAATTTCGATTGATTTTTATATGTACATGTTTAACCCCCAAATGACTCTTCATATTAAAAAGAAACTCTTAAAAAATCAGTGGTTTTGAAAATCACAAAAAGCACACAGAAACATATAGTATTTTAAACAAAAATAGTGCACAAAACATTTAAAATCTAGTGACACAGACATAAATACGTTTTAAAGAACATCTTTGTCCTGTTTTGACATTTTTGACATTACACATACAACAAAGAACTGCGCGTGAGTAAAACTATGTAAACACGTGCCAATTAATTTATGACATTTTCTTGAAACTGTACCATAATTTGAATACAATAAGAATTTGAAAATGTAGTAGCAACAACAAGAGTGATTTTTTTGACGGGGGAGAAATTTCGACATTCAATCCACTAAATATTATTTACTACCCGGGAACATAATTAATTAGTACGTGCCGTAAAGTGGTTTTTGCTTGGTGGTCGTGTCGGCAGCGGCGGCGGTGACTTTTTAGCAGCGCATTTTATTTTTAATTAATAAGAAGCCTTCTCGTTTAAAATGTGAAATTGAATTATCATTGAATATCAAAAATTTGGTGAACCCCTTCCGCTGTTTGATTTTTTTTAGATTAAGGTGCAGCTACTCTTTTCACGGAATGGGTTGGCTTTTTGTGAACTGAACCCGATAAGCAGATAGTCCTCTTGCTCGTGTTCCGCTATGTACTTCTATAAAGTAAAAGCCACACACCAAAAAACATGGATAAGCATTGTATATGTATATTTCATTTAAGATTAGATAGAAGTAGAACAATTTTGTGATAAGGACAGAAAATGCTACTCTACGAGAAAATTGCAGACTATTTGATCTTTTGATTAAAGAGAGAAAGAAAAGACAGACATGACACACCGGATGTGGTGGGTCGGACTGACGGCGAGATTTCGTAAGACGGGATGAATCATGGGCAAAATTGACAAATTTTTTGTAATTTCTCTGCTCTGGGAACTTATTTTAAAATTCTGGACGACTAATTTGTAGTCAGTGAGTTGATTAATGGAATGGCGTCGAGTTTTTTGAGCGAGTTTCGATAAGTTCCAATTTTTCTGAAGGCTTCTTAAATTTGAAATCTCTTGCTCCTTCAAATAGTGTCAAAATATGGAGTAAAAAAAAGTTGGGAACGACCTGCTCTACAAATTTGTCGTCCAGAATTTTAAAATAAATTCCCAGAGGAGAGAAATGATTAAAAATATGGTGATTTTGATTATTTTGGCGACGAGTCATCCAGTCATACGTTAAAAGGCGTTCAAATAAATACGACAACTTACTTTGATGTCTTCAACAGCTTGCGAGACGTTGATGCGGCGGATGGCCGCTTCACGTCTTAGCTGCTCAACGACTATATTTATACAAAAAATTAAGGGGACAATTAAATTTAAATACAATTAAAGGAGGTGGTTTTGAAAAAGTATGTATGTATTTTACTTACTGAGCCGCTGTTGTTGGAGAGTCGACATCTGAAAAAAAGTAAAATTGTAATTAATTAACAAATTTCAAAACATTTCAAACAAAATGACTCGTAAAAATTAAAGTCCTATTTACAAATCCTATAAAATCAGGCATTCCCATATTCGACGTGAGGAATAATTCTCGTAGTGAAGGCATTCTATAAATCCTTTGTTCAAATTGCCAAGAATAATTAAAATTTGAGCGAGGCTCGAAAAAGTTTCCGGGCCCTTCGTGCGGTGACCACATCATTTTTTCGGAAACTTTTAATATATTTTCTAGAGATATGTATCAAAAAGTGTTTCGCTTTTGGGAATAGTTGTAAGCAACTGACCATAACTGAAATAAAACTGGGATGCATATTAATGATTAATTATTAATTGTTGTGTATTTAAAAAAAACCTACTCAGAAAAATTTGCAATGGGCTGCACAAGCTCGTCTAGTGTTTACATTTTGATTGCAAATAATTAATCACAATCGTAACTAATTAAAGTGCTGCTCCTACTAAATGGACGTCGTTGCTGTATTTACTTTACTATTTAGTTAACTATACTAGTATTTAGCTAACTATTTACTAAAAACCCCACCCTTTCAACGGAATAATGTTCATAACTATTTTTACGATCGAACGAGTAACACGTACATATTTACTTCTCTTATATTCGAAAAAATTAATCGAAATACAGAACAGAACACAATAATTAATTGTTGATTTAAAATAGCAATATTGCCCTATTTTCAAAATCTATCATCCAAATTTTAATTGCTCTTTAAAACACTTGTCGAATTACAAAAAATCTTAACGTTTACCTCTCCCCACGTAAAAAAATACGGAAAAATAATAAATCGAAATACGGAACACAACAATAATTAATTATTTATTTCAACCAATCCAACTCTTCTGGGACGTCTAACCTCTCCAAATTTTAATTTCTCTTCAAACTCCCCAATCACTAAAAATCTTAACTTCCAGTGGAAGTCTTCCACCCCAATTAATTATTCATTCCAACAAATCCCCCTTCTTTTCTAATCTCTCCAAATTTTAATTTCCCCAACCAAACACACCTGTCCTCTAATTACTAAAAAAAAATCTTATCTTTTTTACCTCGCCTAAAAAATATGGAGAAAGTTATTTTTCTTAAATCGTCTCGCTCGCTAATAATTATCTTCCTACTTATCGGAAAGCGATTAGGCCAAGAAGATCGAAATGCACTTACGGCTTCCAGTTTTCCGAATTTAGCAACCCGAAATGGGTTGAAGACGATTTCTAGAGAAGAAAGGTGTGAGAGAGTCTGAGTCTATAAATCACTCAGATATTCCGGCGTAAGGAGGAGGAAAAAGACGTCGTTCTTCTATTCAGAGGCAGCAAAAGCAGCTAATGTCATGTACATTGAAACAGAGATGATGTGATGTGATTGGCATTGGATGGATGGATGGCTAAAACACTGCTGGCTGGTAAAGTAAGCTACTAGTAGGTGTTGGCTTTTAGGTGTATACGTAAGTACTCGACTTCCTCTTACGATGGGATTTCTATATATACTTGACTAAACGGTGTAATAGAGAGGAGAGGAGCAGCTTTGGGCAGGGGAAAGTGTGGCAGGACGACCTCTAGTGAATGGAGATGAGGATGGGAAGGATGAAGATGCGAATGAAAGTAGAAAAGGGTTAAAAGAGTTGGATGAAAAGAGAGATGAAAAAGTTTTACTTTTCCTTCTTTCATGGAAAAGTCTCTTTTGACTTGATTGACTAATCCCTCAGGGGAGAAAGTTTTGATCCGGATTGGAGAGAGAGAGAGAATTTGAGGAAAGGAAAGTGTGTTTTTTTGATAAGAGGGTGATTAAAATGAGTGATGGTGTATAGTGTTGGATGATATTCATTATTCACTGGATATGTATGGATTTATGAAAAATTGAGGAAATGTGTATTTTATTATGCTGAAAATAAAATGTAAAATAGTACTTTTTGACAGGATTATGTACTCTTTTGAATTCAATAAGTGATTAAAAGTTGGGATGGTGGAGGATATGTATGTATTTGTAAAAAAAACCTGAGGTAATATGGTGAAAATAAAACGAAAAATGTATTATTTTTTGCATTTTTTGCATTTTTTACCAGATTATGTACTTTTTTAAAATCAATTTTTTGTGGTACAATATTTTAATTAAAGATTTGTAAAATCGATTTGTAGATTTGTAAATAGTGGCAAAGTGTGTACGCATTTTTGGTAAAATATTTAGATTTATCCATTTTTCAAACAATATTTGTGGCATATTGAGATTCAGGAAAAGCTAGAAATATATAAAAATATGTAGAAATTTTAGTGTTGAGTTGTCAAACACACCAAACAAAATTTGGGACTTATACATACCTTATCGAATGCAAAAGTCGGAAATGAATGAATAAATGCATAACCGGTGTTTGACTCATCCCAAACAATTGTAAAGAACGGGGTGAAAGTTTCGTAATAAAAAAATGAATGGGTGAAAGTTGGATGTGGGAGTTTATTTGGATTGAGATTAGAAAGTACTCAGCCTGAGTAATTTTGGCTGAGTAGGTGATATTTTTATTAGTTATGCAACCTGATAAATAGGTATTTTTGGATGATCTTACATATTCGCGTGTGGGTGAGATATTGATAAATAAATAAATATATATATTAGTCTATTTATTAATGATGTAACTACATATTTAACTTTGATGTGATTCCTCCATCCGTAAATAAATAAAAACATATCCCAGACGTAAAATCAAATCCTAATCAAATCCCTATTTATAAACATATCATTCATTACATACACGTGGAAATTTCGGAGGGTGCTTTCATCTCTTTCCTTCATCTCTTTGTTACATCAGGAAGCCAGCCAGTCAGTCATCATCATTTCAATCCGACGTGACCCGGCTGCCAAATAAAGTGGACGTGCAGTGGCCGCGGAAGCGTGTTTGGGGACAGAGGGACAATGTCCCCACGGTTGTTCGATGTCCGCACCATCTCCCCATGTTATACAAACCCCTCCCTTCCCCCTATCCTACAATGTTAATGTCCCCAGAGGTCCCCACGGCTTCCGCGGCCACTGCACTATGGGACCTTGAGTCCTCCTTATCTACGACTGACTCTACTTTTTGGCACGATTAAAACCCGAATTCCATACATATGCATGCAATCCATGCGCGTCTAGATGGATGGCCATAAAACTCATCCATGAAAAAAAAAGATTTCCAAAAATTACATATTTACACCAAAAAATAAAATTTTTCAAAAAAAAATCAAGAAAACTTTCCACTTTCACCCATCAAAATTTGTGGATGCTTCCTTTTCCTTCCGACTTTCTCTCATGTATCGATCGATCCACTGCTTCCAGCCAACTTTCTTTTTACTGGATTCTGTTTCCCATCATTGTGAAGAGCAAGGTTATTTTTCGTGACGAGTGTTACCGTATAAAAGGTGAAAGTACTAGGAGAAAGCTGTGGGGTACATTTTGCTCGCAGATCTCTGACAGAATTTGGAGGGTACTTTATCACTCTGAAGGTTATCAATTCGTCATTAGTGGAAATCACTCCGATCCGTCATATTTACGTGAAAGTGGGATTGTTTTTTGGCGAATGTAGAAACAAGAAAGCATCAAAATAAATAAGGAAAATGTGCTTCTCATCGGAAACTTGGTGTGGGCGATGTCTTCTGTTGTTCTTTTGTCTTTTGACCGTCTTCTCGTTCTGGGTGTTCATGTCGGTGGATTATGTCGAGCTGTTGGGTAAGAAAGGGAGGGTTGTGTTGACAGATTAGTGGAGTTGTGGGTACAATGGGGATAAAATATTTGTATGTATGTTTTTGCAAATGCGTAAATTTTACGCATGCGGAATTTATTACGGGGTTTTTAGTATGGTGGCATAAATTTTATGGGGCTTGGAAAACACGCTTACAATGGAAGTCTCCCAGCGTATGCTCTCTGATTTTGAGCAAATTAGTGTCAATCGATCACAAATTTGATTAGTATGAAATTTGCGAAAGAGGAGATCTCCAAAGGGGCCCGTTTGGCTGATATGTTTGCATCCCAAGAGGAAAAAACGCTCCTTAAAGTCGACAAATTTTACACTTTTCAACCTTACTGCGCGTTTTTTCCTATTTCGATGCAAATATCTTAAAAAAATTAATACTATACAGATATTTAATATATGTTTTTTACTTGATTGGTATCAAAGCCTTACATTTTTAAGAAATTTTTAAGTCGTAGAATTTATCAAATTTAGGACAGGTTTTGTCCTCTTCGGATGCAAATATCTCGGCCAAATGTGCCCATTGGGAGATCGTGTCTTTCGCAAATTTCATCCTAATTAAATTTGTCATCGATTCCCACTACTTTGTCCAAACTCGAAATTTTACAAATTTGCTGTAGTTGTTACTACAATTTTATTTTTATTAATGTAAAGCTTTAGTGCCTATCAAGTGAAAAAGCCATATTTTAAATACAATATAAATTTATAGATCCAACCCCAAAAAATTGGGTATTAATTAAATTTGACAATAATTTTTTTTCAAAATCTGAGGGCATACCCTGTAGGAGACCTTCATTTGTTAGATTACATGAGTATCGGCATTTGTACATGCGAGTACAACTCTGCGTGCGTAGATAGAATTTGAAATTCCATGCAAAAATTTTCATGATTTTGTTTCATTTAATTTTAAAAAACAGAAGAAGAAGAAATTGAAGAAAGTCCTCCAATCGTTCTGGAAAATGATCGCTTGCCATTGTTGAGTCGTAAGTGGGAAATTTTTGTAATAAAATTTGCTAAAGATTTTTATATGGAAATTGATTAAATATATTCGTATTTATAGCGGATCGGAAAACGATTTACGTCATATCTGAGGAAGGTCTTCCGATCGCGAATAATTTCATATTGCGAAATCCGAGCATCCCCATTCAAAAAATTGTGTATCGGAAACCTGGTAAGTTTTTACATATATAGTTTTTACATAGGAAATCAAAGTGCACATATCGAAATAGACCTACTGAAAAATTGGCTCATACATATTTCTACATGGATGTATGGGCAAAATTTTTGTGCAGAATTCTTCCGAAATGTGTAACAGGTCTTTTTCAGAAAAATTGTGAAATTTTCGACAGGGAGTTGGTTTCTGATGTGGCAAACCATTTATTTAAAAATTGGCGTATTTTTCTGCACAATTTGTATCTGCATGAATGAATTTTGGGCTAAATTCTTCCGAAATGTGTTATATCTTTTTGTGCCATTATCAATTATAAATTTTTGCAAAAATTTTTTGCAAAAAAATTTGCCATTTTTTTATGTCGATTTTCATGCCGCAATTTTTAATGTTATTCTCGCAATTTTTTTTCGCAGGAGTGAACAATTCCATTCATGTATATCCAATCCAACGGGAAGCTCTGGTCGCGACGAATCGTACTTTCACTCAGGTATTTTATAATCAAAATTTTAGAATTTTTTGACATTTCCCATCAAAATATTAACGAAAGTTTGTCCCTTATTTTAAAATTTCAGGCGGATATTCCAGGTACTTATTTTACCATAAGGCAATTCACGCAGCCATTGATAACTTCGTAAAATCCGAGCGCTTAGTAAAATTTACAATTTTTTCAAAATATAAAGATCTGAATTTACAAGTTAAAAAAAATTGATCCTGGTAAGTTTAGAAAAAAAATTTGGAAGCTAATTTTCCTTCAAAAAATGGGTAAAACTTTCCAGAAATTTGTAAGTTTACGAAATTTACGGAATTTTACAAAGTTCCCAAGTCCTTAGTGAATTGCCTCAATTAATATGCATAAAGATGTATGAAAATAACGAACCTTTCTTCTTAGGACTTTGCGCATTCTTGTTCATGCTGATTTTCACCTCGGTCGGAATTTACATCTTGTTATGTCGAGAAATGTGCGGGTGTCGGTGTTCCACGCGGCCAAGATCGTCCTCCGTGTGTGACACGTGCTTCGAATTCGACCCCGCCGTGGATTTCGCCGATCTCGACGATTTCTTCGACAGTCCCGATTCAACCCCGGGAAATTCGCCAATCAAGCAGAAAAAGGGGGGTGGAGAAAGCGTGGTGAAAATCCCCATCACCGATGAGCTTAAACAACCCTTACTGCTTATTGTGTAAAGTTAAAGGCATTTCATACAGAAAAAGCGTATGAAAATCTACGTGCAGAAAGTTTGCTTATTTTATGCAGAAAAATGTGCAAAAATCTGCATATTTTGATAACAAATTTTCTCCAAGAAACAAATTTATGCGAAAAAATTGTACAGAATTCTAATCTATCTCAATTCTCTTTCTGCAGAAAAATGGGTAAATTTTCGTCACGTGGATTATTTTCGTGTGGAATTTGGGAGAGAAATAATTATTCAAGAGATTATAAAATTCTATTCATTCATAATAATGAAAAAAGTGGACAAAAATATACAGACGACAAGGCAATCAAGATTTCTACTTTGTTTATCTGTAAGTAAGGAGAAAGTTATACCGGAAGTTGTATACATTTTTTTGTCTTGTTCAATTGCAGGGTGCTTAATAATAATTAGGTTATATCGATCGAGGTACATAAATATGTTTAATTTTACTCAGAGTTCTTAAATATATTTTATTTTCTATGCTAGTTTTTGTATGGAAGTTCGAAAATTTCGAAAAATCAAACCAATTAAAATTTTACTCTACAAGAATTTTAATGATTCTGCTGCTGAAAAGTTGTTATAATGTACATATAAAAGCTGAATCAAAATTGAGGTGAAAAATTCCCGTAGATTAAAAAATTGTATCTAAATAAGTATTAAGTTCACCTAAATATTTTTATTAGGGTTTTCTAAATTTTACAATTATTGAAATGGCGTCTAAATTAGCAAATCGTTAAATTGTGCCGAATTCTCCTCTCGATCATTGGCAATTTCAAAAACGATTATCAAAAACAATTTTCAAAAACAATTAAATCAATTTCAAAAATTTTAATGATTTTGCTACTGAAAAATTGTTCTAGGCGAATCTAAATTGAGCTGTAAATTTCACATACATATAAATTAAAATATTAATTTATTTGATTTTTTGGAAATTTCGAAGTTACATAACCCTCTCGCAAGAACTACCATAGAAAATAAAGTGTAGGAAGGGGAACCTTGATCTTACCAATTTTAATAAGACCGGTAGAAAATTTTTATCTTCTTATTCATAGTGTTCAGAAATTTAGGATAGATTTCAAGTTCGTTCTCATGCATACAAATAATATTCGTACAAGTGTATACATTTAATCATTCCACATTTTAGGACCAATTTCAATCATTTTTATGGGTGTATTTATGTACATAAGTGCATAATAATAATCATCATACTCGCAAATACCGTATTATTCGACCCAATCTGCTAATTGAAAAAATTGCATTGTTAATAGAATATTATAGCTGATCTAGTATCACCAGTATTCATCCTTCTTTTAAGACAAAGTATTGTCGACTGTATGAAAATCAACCTGCCAAAAATTTGCATATTTTTTGCACAACATACATACTTAAATAACTTCATGACAAAAAGTGAAGTTTAATAAGTAGGAAATATCTTTGTTAGAAATTTTCAAAAAAAACATACATAATTTTTCAGGTGAATTTTTTGAAGAATTTTCGTCAAGTAGATTTTCATACAAGTTTTTTGTGAACCAAATAAAAAAATATTAACAAAAAATACATGACTGTGAATTAGTGTGAATTACCGTATACCTGTTGGCCGGATTAAGAAATATAATAAAAAATTGGTATTATTATCATATGTACGAAACATGGAATTAAGAATTGTGATGCCAAAACAATTGTAATTTTTTTCCTATCAAACTGGAGGTAAAATTACGAAAACATTATTGACTTGTGTAACAAAAATATCAGAGTTTTTTATGTGCGCTGAAGCCAATTAATAAGTTGCATTACATTCATACTTATTTCATGATTGTAATAATAGTGCTTAAATATGTGTGCTTATAAAAACATAAATAATTCGTTTATGAAAATGTTTAAGAGTTTATTAAAAATAAAACTACATTATCTTGTAAAAATGTTTTTTAATCGCAAATCGCACGTAAAATATTCGGAACTTGGTGTGGGCGATGTCTTCTGTTGTTCTTTTATCTTTTGACCGTCTTCTCGTTCTGGGTGTTCATGTCGGTGGATTATGTCGAGCTGTTGGGTAAGAAAGGGAGGGTTGTGTTGACAGATCAGCAGTAGAGTTGTGGGTACAATGGGGATAAAATGTTTGTATGTTTTTGGAAATCTATAAATTCACTGGGAATTTATTACGGGGTTTTTAGTATGGAGGCATAAATTTTAAGGGGGTTGGAAAAAAAAGTTTACAATGGAGTTCTCCCAGCGGATACTCTCTGATTTTGAGTTAATTAGTGTCAATCGATGACAAATTTAGTTAGGATGAAATTTGCGAAAGACACGATCTCCCAATGGGCACGTTTGGCAGAGAAATTTGCATCCGAAGAGGAGAAAACCCGCCCTAAAGTCCACAAATTTTACGCTTTTCAACTTTATTGCGTGTCTTCTCCTATTTCGATGCAAATATCTAAAAAAAAAACAAAAATTAATATTATATTTAATATATGTTTTTTACTTATTGGTATCAATGCCTTACATTTTTAGGAAACTTTGAAAGTGTAAAATTTATCAAATTTTGAGCGGGTTTTCTCCTCTTCGGATGCAAATATCTCTGCCAAACGTGCCCCTTGGGAGATCGGGTTTTTCGCAAATTTCGTATCAATTAAATTTGTGATCGATTCCCACTAATTTTTCCAAAATCGAAATTTCACACTTTGTAAATTTGCTGTAGTTGTTACTACAGTATTATTTTTTTTTAATTATGTAAGGCTTTGATACCTCTCGAGTAAAAAGACGTATTTAATATATGCATAATATTAATTTGTAGATATACTTCCTATATCAATAATGCGTATTGCTTAAACTTGTTGACGCTAAATAGTTTTCTCAAATTCTGAGAGCTGTCTCGGTATTTTGTATTTTGGCAACAAATAATCAAAATATTTTGAAAGTACAAATGTATTTTGACAAAATATTACCGAAGTATTTTGAAAATACAAATGTATTTTGGCCTCTAAGGTGTATTTGTATTTTGAAAAAAAAATTATTTTGACCATCCCTGTCTGGGAGACCTTCGTTTGTTGGATTACATGAGCATCGACATTTGTACATACAACTCTGCGTGCGTAGATGGAACTTGAAATTTCATGCAAAAATGTTCATGGTTTTATTTAATTTAATTTTCAAAACAGAAGAAGAAATTGAAGAAAGTCTTCCAATCGTCTTAGAAAATGATCGGTTGCCATTGCTGAGTCGTAAGTGGGACATTTGTGAAACAAAATTTGTTAACGATTTTTTATGCAATTTTTATGCAAATTTATTATATTCGCATTAATAACGGATCGGAAAACGATTTACGTCATATCTGAAGAAGGTCTTCCGATCGCGAATAATTTCATATTGCGAAATCCGAGCATCCCCATTCAAAAAATTGTGTATCGGAAACCTGGTAAGTTTTTCCGGAAATTAAAATACATATGTACATAGTGACATCGAGCTGCTGCAGAAATTTGCTCATTTTTTTGCACAATATTTTTACGATTTTTGTGTAAAATTCTCCTGAAATGTATAACACGTATCTTTTAGGGAAAAATTGTGAAATTTCCGGCGTTAAATTTTCCGTATCTGATATTACGATCTACTTGTTTGAAAATTGGCGAATTTTTCTGCACAATTTTTCTTGAATGTTCACAATTTTTTGGCTGAATTCTTCCGTAATGTATCACATCTTTTGTGCAGAAAAATTGTGCAATTTTTTGAAAATCGAGTTTCGAAAGTCGGGTTAGATAGAAATGTGCGGCAATAATTTTGAATTTTATTTTCGCAAATTTTTCAGGATTGAACAATTCCATTCATGTCTATCCAATCCAACGGGAAGCTTGGGTTGCGACGAATCGAACTTTCACTCAGGTATTTTATATTTAAAATTTTAAAATTTTTTGACATTTCCCATCAAAATATTAACGAAATTTTGTCCCCTATTTTAAACTTGCAGGCGGATATTCCAGGTACATACTTATTTTACCATAGGGCAATTCACGCAGCTGTCGATAACTTCGTAAAATCCGAGCGTTTTGTAAAATTTACAATTTTTACAAATGAAAAATACGCACTAGATCTGAATTTACAAGTTTTACAAAAATTTCTACATAATCAAATTTTCCTAAAAAATATTTCTAATTAAAAAAAATGGACCCCAATATTACGAAACATATTATAAAGTGCCCCAATAATGACGGCGTGAATTGCCTCAAGTATTTATGCAAATTTGCATATAAAAATGTATGAAAATGCTCAATTTTTTCGTATGACTTTGCGCATTCTTGTTCATGCTGATTTTCACCTCGGTCGGAATTTACATCTTGTTATGCCGAGAAATGTGTGGGTGTCGCTGTTCCACGCGACCCAGATCGTCCTCCGTGTGTGACACGTGCTTCGAATTTGACCCTGCCGTAGATTTCGCCGATCTCGACGATTTCTTCGACAGTCCCGACTCAACCCCGGGAAATTCGCCAATCAAGCAGAAAAAGGGGGGTGGAGAAAGCGTGGTGAAAATCCCCATCACCAATGAGCTTAAACAACCCTTATTGCTTATTGTGTAAACAAAAAAGTGGACAAAAAGCAGCGTATGAAAATCGATGTGCGAAAAATTTGCCAATTCTTCTGCACAAATTTGCACATTTTGAACCGTCTGTAAAATTTTTCCATTTTTCTGCACAAATTTGCATAAATATTTTGACGGAAAATTGTCTGAGAAATTGTGTAGTATTTTACCTTCTAATCGGTGAAATTTGTTCTGCACAAATCTGCATATTTTGAACTTCATAAAAATTTCTGCAGAGAAATTGTACAGAATTCTGCTTGTAGAATTCTTGTATTTTTGCAGAAAAATTGGCCAATTTTTTGCCACATCGATTATTTTCATACGGGAATTGGGAGAGAAATAATTATTCAAGAGATTATAAATTTCTATTCATTCATAATAATGAAAAAAGTGGACAAAAATATACAGACGACAAGGCAATCAAGATTTCTACTTTGTTTATCTGTAAGTAAGGAGAAAGTTATACCGGAAGTTGTATACATTTTTTGTCTTGTTCAATTGCAGGGTGCTTAATAACTAGTGTTGATCGATGTACCATAAATATGTATACTTTTACCCAGGATTAGTTTCCATTGTAGTTTTTGTAGAGAAGGTTATGCAAGTCTGAAATTTCCTAAAATCAAATTAATTAAAGTTTTATACTCTTCACCAATTTTTGAGGGCGAAAAGTTATTATCGTTAAAGGTGAATCAAAATTGAGCCGAAAAATTCCCATAGATTAAAAAATTGCAGTTAAATATTTCTGACTGAAGACTAAAGTTCACCTAAAAAAACTTACCTATATAAGTTTTCTACGTTTTAGAATTATTGAATTGGCGTCAAAATTAACAAGTTGTTAAATTGCGTCCAAGCATTCTTCAATGATTGTATAAGAAATGGTGAAGAGTTGTGAGCAAGAAAACGAAAATCAAAATTGAGCCGTAAAATTCCGATAGATTGAAAAAGTACATCTAAACATTTTTCATGTAAGTATCAACGTCATCTATAACTTTATCATCTTTTGGATCCTTTTTTTTATTATCCATACTTCTAAATTATTGAAATGGCATCTAAATTGAGCAATTTTTTAAATTTCACCAAATTCTTCAATCTGTATGCCCAAAAGTTTTTACGATTCTGCTCCTGGTGAAAAGTTGTAGCCAAGTGAGAAAGTAATTCAAAATTTAGCAAAATTTGAAAAAATCAAAGTAATTGAAATATTTTAATCGCCTCGTCATTGACAATTATTATTCTTTGAAATTTGTATTTACAAAATGTGTACAAAAGTTTAAATGATTCTGCCAATGAAAAGTTGAGAGCTGAACAATCAATGCACATACATTAAAATCTTAATTGATCTGATTTTTGGAAATTTCAAAGTTACATAACCTCTCTACAAAAACTATGTATGAAGGAAAATAAAGTGTAGGAAGGGAAACCTTGATTGATTTGATCAATTTTAATAAGACCGATATACAATTTTGTCTTCTTATTCATAGTGTTCAGAAACTTAGGATAGCTTTCAAGTTCGTTCTCTCGTGCATATTTACAAATAATATTCGTACAAGTGTGTGTATCCAATCATTCCACATTTTAGGACCAATTTCAATCATTTTTATGGGTCTTCTACATATGTACTTAAGTGTATAATTATAATCATCATACTCGCAAATTCCTTATTATTCGACCCAATCTTGACAAAATTGAAATTTCAACAAAATATTATAGCTGATCTAGTATCTCCAGTATTCATCCTTCTTAAAACGAAGTATTGTCGGCTGAATGAAAATCAACCTGCCAAAAATTTGCACATTTTTTCGCACAACAGACCTAAATAATTTCTTGACATAAAATAAAGTGAAGTTTAATAGGTAGGAAATATCTTTGTTAGAAATTTGCAAAAAAGCATGTAATTTTGCAGGTACCTTTTTGAAAAATTTTCGTCAGGTGAATTTTTGAAAAATTTTCGTCAGGTAGATTTTCATACATGTATTTTGTGAACCAAAAAAAAATATTAAAAAAAAATACATGACTGTGAAATAACGTATACCTGTTGTCCGGATTAAGAAATTTAATAAAATTGATGTTATTATCATATGTACGAAACACGGAATTAAGAATTGTGATGCCAAAACAATTGTAATTTTTTCCTATCAAACTGGAAGTGTAAAATTACGAAAAATTTGACTTGTGCAACAAAAATATCAGAGTTATTTATGCTGAAACTAATTAATAAGTTGCAGTATATGCTTATTTCATGATTATATTTAATAGTATCTTTATTGCATAAATAGTCAGTAGCTCTTGCAAGTCATAATTACATAGTTAGTCAAATTTTTAGATTATAATAATTGAGATAGTAGTCAGGGGAGTAGAGGGAAAACCAGACTGTGGTGGTCGGTCTGGAAAACCTCTACCTGATCTGGGAAGGATGCCCAGATCACCATTCGGCCCTGACAACCTGAAAAAACCCAGGCTCAACCAAAGAGTGACAGAGATTATAGGCGATTTACATATGGGGAAAAATGGTGACATCCAAATGAGTAGGCGACGTGCTGGCGGGGACACGACGGGTTCTGGGCTGGAGCGGAGCGTCCATGGACCACAAACTAACCAATGACCCATCAGGGTTCGGCCTAAGTGACCCCATAAAGGGGCCATGAAACTCTCCACAAACTAACCCCTCCCACCGCAGCACATGACCAGGTCATGGGAACCCCGTAGACCTACCCCAGCCGCCCCCACCAGCACCGCGCACACCCACTCTTCAGTCGACCACCCCCACATGCTCACCACCCCAATATAACACTCAAAGGTCTCACCTGGGGGAGTCCTCCAAGGCGTAGATCCTCCAGTGCACAGGGTCCGACGAGATCCATCTTCGCCTGATGGCTCAGCTTGTCGTTGCTGGGACGAGTGTGGCAGGGGGTGTCACTAGGCACGCAGGTGGGGGTGTGAGTGGACGAGGCTCACGTGGCGTAGGGGCCTTAGGACACACTTAACTGGCCCTGGCACACCCGCGACCCAGATGGAAGGAGATCCAGATGCAGAGCGAGAGAGAGATACGTGTTGCACTGGAGAATGCCAAGGAGGAACTCCACCAGATTATATTTAACCTTTTAAGCATTTTGACCATGTATGTCATGGCGAACAATTTTACACGAAGTGCCGGACGAAAACACAACAATTAAAAAGATCCGTCCTTAGTTACATATATCAATTTTTTACGAAATTTATTAAGTAATTATTGTCGACTTTTAATTACATCGCAACGTTAAAATATTCGGATTACATCCAAAGACTGACTTTTTCTCGAGTCGTGATTTTTAGCCCGAACCAGGGCTTATGTAATTGTCATGTCAGTCGAACTGTCGAACGAGTTAACCAATTTTGACCAAATTTGGTGCAGACATGTATCTGGGCAATGCAACGACCGAGTTAGAAGATGGGTTCGATCAGAAAAGTTTTGAACCGGTGGGGGTCATATAAGTGGGTAGGGTATTTTGCACCAAAATTTCAAAATTGTTGTAGAGAGCTGAAATTTGATACAGAGGTTGCTAATGGCTCCTAATAGAAAAAAATAACTTCAGGTTGGAAAAATTTTAATCTTGAGGGACCCTGTGGGGTGACCCATACTGATTTTTAGAAATTACTTTAAAAAGATGAAATCCGGCACGATGGTACTTAATGGCTTCTAATTAAAGAATATGAAGTTAAAAGTGAGTAAAGTGCAACCAGAGTGACCCTATGGGGTGACCCATACTGATTTTTCAAAATCATTATATCGAGCTGAAATTTGATATGGAGGCTGAAAACCACTGCTGGATAGCACATACATACAGCTTAGAGCTTCAGGATGTTAAAGAAGCCCACTGGTCATGGTGGTCAAGACACATGATCTGTAACTTGCTCAAAAATTTGGGACCAAATAATAGAAACTATCTAACAAACTTTTAACCATCCACAACACGGAAGTTGGTGATATTATGTTGGTCAATTCGGAAAAAAATTTAGAAGCGGGCTCTGACTTATTGAGTCAGGGACTATGTCCTTGACTCGGGCTATATGGAGTCTGCACTGTAGGTTTTATCTATTAGGAGCCATTAGCAACCTCTGTGCCAAATTTCAGCTTTCTACGACAATTTTGAAATTTTGGTGCATAAGACCCCACCCACTCAGATGACCCCCACCGGGTAACCAGTTAACCGATTTCGCCCATCTTCGAACTCGATTCCTAACTTTGTCCAATATGCACATGGTAAAAATTTCAAGTCGGTAGCTTGTGTTTAAAGAGAGTTATCCTGTTTACGGACGGACGGACGGACGGACATGACGGTTCCATAAGCCCTGACTCGGGCTAAAAAGCTGTGGAAATTATTATTTTCGACTTCCATGTATGTCATGGTCAAAGTATTTTCTTGCAAAAACAATCGCCATGACTTTGATGGTATTGGTCCTGCAATGCAAATTTTTGCGACCATGACTAACATGGTTTTGGTCTTTCGATGTGTAAAAAATATGACATGAACACCATGGTTTAGGAAACTTGGTGTAAAATTTTTCTCCATGACATTCATAGTCAAAGTTCATTCCCCATTTTCGACTATAAAATGTAAATGCTTAAAAGGTTAATAGTGCGTAAGGAAATATTTGTGCTTATAAAAATATGTAAATAATTTGTTTATAAAAATGTTTAAGAGTTTAATAAAAATAAATCTTGTTGTTTACAAATGTTTTTTATGTGAAATTGTCAATCACGTCGAAAATGCGGAACAATTCGGGCTGCTAAAAAATAGAAAAAAAATCATATACGACGGTGAATCTTAAATACCTAGTGGTATAAATTGTATGATGAGCATACATATGTAAATATTTATGAAAACATGCGGAAATTATGGCAGAAAATTTACGGATGCACGTTAAAGTATGAGTTTTTGAGCATTGTTTCCGGAAAAGTTACGAAAACACGTAAAAATATGAATTATTTGGAAATTTGTCCCTAGAATATTTACGACGGGATGTAAAAATATGAGTTTTTTTTACATTTTTCGACAAAATTATTATGCTGTATTTTAATTGTGATTTTGGATTAAATGTATGCAAATAAATTGACGTGAAACACCCAATTTTCCATAACATTTCATAGAAGTGCTTAATTATCACCGATTTTATTGAATAATATAATAATCAGGTGGAACCTTAACCATTAACTAATTAAATTAAATAAAATATTTAATAACCTCACAATTAACCTTATCCCATCATTAATTAATTAATTACCAAACCAGGAAGAAAGCATACGAGAAATTGATTCACATAATTAAATTATAATTATTAATTAAACCAGGTCTTAAATCAACTTCTAAATATTTTTCATGTAATAATTCCTTTTAATTTTTTTCTGAAATCAAAATTCACACAATTCTTTCTTCAAATTATTTTCCCGTCAATTAATTTTCGAAATTATTAATTTTCTTAGTCAATTTTACATAATTTAATATTGTCCATAAGCATGTATCATTACTTAATTATTTATTTATTTATCAGCGACCCTTAAATACCCCTAAAAAGTAGATAATTAAAATTTTATCAATAATAATTTTCGAATCGATTAATTAATCATTTTCATTTCTTCCATTTTTAAAATATCATCACACTCGTATTTTTTTCTTGAAATTCGTGATCCAATTAATTCTTATTTATTCATTTATTTAATGGATTCACATCATTTTTTAATACATCAATCTGTCATTCGTTCATCGTTCGTAGTTAAAGATCCATTCTTGTAATTAGTTAATTAATTAGTTAATTAATTAACACAACTCTTGATAATTTTAATATTTAACAACAGCGAGAGCATGTAACAAGAAGTGCCCACATATTTATTGTGCACTGCAAAAATTCACTGCAAAAATTCAACAATTATAGATTACATTACATGATGAACAATTAAAGCTAAGAAGACCTCGGATTTCCTTGTTCGTTGATCGGTTGATTATTCAAAATTTAATTAATTAATTGCTTAATTAATTAATTAATTAACAAGTACACATTTTTTAAGTACATGATTTGATTTGATAAGAGTAACAAAGATGAAGAGATGAGTTCCTTTTTTAAAATTCATAAAACGACACGTATTTTTTAAAGAGGAAATGTAGAAATAAGACAATAATTAATTAATATGCAAATATTTAGCTTGCGTTTTTTAGCAACTTGCACCAAGACGTTTAATTATGTCGCAAGTTCAATAATTAATTAACTTACTGTATATATTTATCTCTCTTAAATACTTAATTAATTATTGATTATTAAAAATTATTAACTTTATAACGAGAAAATATTTGAAATAAGAAAATGTAACTGTAAAATTTTTAAATTTCCTAAAAATTGATTAGTATTTATTAATAGAAATTCGAATTTATTTAGTTAAGCACGATTGATTATTTACTTAATTGCTTTCATTTTCCTTGCACCATGTAAATCTATGCTTTCCATTGAGACCTGGAATTTTAAAATTTTGCGTTATTTTTAAAATTTTAAATACCTGATTGATCAATAACGTATACGGTGTGTGACACTCACGATCCTGCATTTTTTTAGTAGCACGTGCTTGCTAACACGTGGCATAAATTTTGATTTTTCGAAATTTTCGATTTTCTCGCGTATTAAATTAGATACACGTGTACGACATACACGTGGCATAAAGATTGATTTTCGAAATTTTCGATTTTCTTATGTATTTTTTGAGGTACAGCTTTTTGATTTAAGTTTTTAAGTTATTGACAATTTATTTAGTGAGTTAATTATTGTAATTAAATATTTAATTATTTAACGAGTAATTAAATTAATTTCTTATTGATGATGAATTCATTTTTTTCGAACGGTCCAGCAATTTTTTCCGTGTTGTAGTAGCAGCGGTTTAATTGGTGCGGTGCGGTCTAGACTAGACAGACTCATACCTTGCATGCACGTAAAGCAGCAGCAGTTTTTTAATGGTAGCATTGCTTCAAAGTCTGGCATTGCTTATCTAAATATCTTATCATTTAGTTACTTAGATTACTTAATTATAAATATGTAAATTAATTGGGTAATTAATTAATCAAATCACCATTAATTACTTTTTTCCCTTCTCGTTTAAGAGAAATATTCCAGCAATGACAATTTCAATGTGTTGTTTTTATAACTATTTACATTTAATTAATTAATGATAAGTAATTAATAATGAATAATGTGAAAAACTCTATTACTTAATTAGAATTAAGTAATTAATTAAGAAGAATAATTAATAAGTAAATATGTAAATGAGTTATAAAGGTGTATGTTGGTAGGGATCGACGCCATATTTAAAAATGCAGGATTCATCTGCACCACGTGCATATTTTTTAAACCACGTGGACTTTGATTTAAATTGTAATTAATTAATTAACTTTTAAATGGCACTCTGTTAATTGAGTTTACATTTTTTTCCTTCTTAATTAATCCGACCGAACAACAAAAGGCATATCGTTGGATAATGATACATATTTATTTGGATCGCACACACAAAAAGTTAGAATGCGACGATGACATTAATTAATTAATTAATTGTCATAGATTCCAATTAATTAATTACCAAAATTATTAATTAATTAATTAATTATGTATGTATACAAAAAATCACTCATTGTGGTGGTGTCACATATCATTTCCATACTTATCAATATAAACCTTCCCTTATCAATGATAAGTTATCATTCATTCACTCATAACCCACAAAAAAACATTTTCAAACTTTTTTAAGGGTAAATATTTACGTAACACAGAGTTTTTCATCATGATTTTTAAATGTTTAAATATCCTACAAAGTGTTTTATGTACATACATATTTTATTATGCAAATGAAGAAACGGCAATAATTTGCCGTTAAGACGAAGAACACGACGTGTTCTTATCATACTTTTTAATTTTAAGGAGGAGACTGACGATTCGAAACCAAGCTCCTTGAACACAAGTGTCGCCGTCGTCGTCGTTCGTCATCAGGATGAATGATCATTTTTTAGCACACAGATGATGAGGAGATAGATAGATAGATGAAGAAGGAGATGATGAGATGATGATGACCTTGCGTTACAAGGGGACGAGGTGTGCCTTATCTTTAGCTATTTACAAGTTACAATTCTTTTATCACGTTATAATTAATTCCTTAATTAAGTAAGTAATAAGGATAATTAATTAATTAACAGTTAAAATACTTATTGTTAATCATAGATATTTATATTTTATGTAAATTTAAGAGTTGGTTGTTTGGGTGTATTTATAAAGCGTATTTAGCCTCTAAATAGTTATGTATCAACCCGTAATATTTAATGTTCATAATTTTATTGTTACTGTACACCTGAAGAAGAGTTAATTGATAAGTACTGATGATAAGTAGAGTAACCGACAGATAAGTAATTGGCTATTTAAGAAGGAGGAGAAGAGGGGGAGGTAGGATATTAATTTGCATATTATGCATTTGCATATTGCATACTTACAGATTTATTTACAGACTTGATAAATTCATGGCTTCGTTTAAGTAAGAGTAGAGATTTTTAAAGTTAATATTTTTAATTGTAGAGTTAATTGTTAATTTTAAAGAGAGAGATATTTAATTGTAGAATTTCATTGATAGCAATATATACTTGTACCAAATATATAGACAGCTTTAGTTTAAAAGTTTTTCCCAGCAGTTTCACTTTTCTTTACAGGAAGAAGAAGAGGAGGAGCTGTATGTATTTATTTATTTATTGATAGCCTGAGAATTTATGAGATTTTTTTCTGTTAAAATAGAAAAAGGAAAAGTTTTAAAAGTTTAAAAGAAGACTTTCTCCCGTTTGATTTGATGAATAAATACTTTAGTCGTAAATGGAGAAGTTTTTTTGGGAATTTTGGTTTTCTGGGAATTTTGGGAGCAGCAATAAGTTTTTAGGTATTAAATAGTTTAGTTTAGGATGAGATGTAAGATTTTTTAGGGGGTTTGGATAGGATCAGTTTTTTTTAAGTAATTCTCTACTAAAAATTATTATGTATTGGCTTGTTTGATGTGTGATGATGCACTTTCTCCACATTTTATGCATGTAAGTGCCACCACTTTGATTAAGATTAATATTTTTACTTATGTTTAAGAGGAAGGAACAACTTTTTACATAATAAATGCATGATTGGCTTGACAATTTCATCAATATTCTAATTAAATATATGTAAAATAGTTTATAATTAAGTTATATACTTGACATATTTTTTAGGATGAGGCGGACGAGGAGAAAGTAAAATTCTCGCACAAAAAAATTTCAGAAACTTATCAGTTTCATGAAGATATTTTCTACTTGAAAAAAACTTGAAATTGTAAATTAGTACGTACACATTTAGATTAATATGTAATTATTACAAAAATTATGCATAATTTAACCAACAAATTAATAAAACTCTCTCTTCTCATGGAGAAAGCATGACGAAAATGGGCGGGGTAGAGACCACCACCCACGTGATACCTAATTAGCATAATAGATAAGTAAATGTGACACGAAAAGTAAGAAAATATCCTCCAGCCTTTTAACATTACAGATTTCTTTATGCATTATTGGATCGAACAGCAAATTCCACTCATAAGCGCGCCCTCTCCCCCCAAATTCCTCCGTATCACCCGATTCTTCGGAGTATTCCGGTTAAACGGGGGGAGGATTTCAACCTCAGGGAAAGCCGGGTGCTCGTACGGGGGGAGCGGTTCCGAATCCACGTCCCAAGATTCCTCCAACGCCTCCCCACTTTCCACCAGCTCCTTCGCCAAGGAAAATGGATTCGTGTAAAGGTGACCTTGCGAATTTTGAGTGTCATAATTTTCGTCAAAATTTTCCTCACTGTGGTCATCGTCACGGCTAAATTTGGGTTCAAACTGGGCATAAATTCGGCCCCTGTTCTCCCTCTGTTCTGCAACCACGGTAGGATCAAAAGTTCCTATTTCTTCGTCTAGATTGGGATCGTGAAAGCCTCGCAGGACAACTTCGGTCCCGGATTTTCCCAGAGGCTGCTTTCTCCCCGGGTAGTTTTCGGATTTTCTTAGACTTTGCTTTCTCTCCGGTAAGTTTTGGCTCATCATAACTTTCTCTTCTTTATCTTGCTGATTTTTTGGTTGGACTGAATCATGCTGATCTTCTTGGTGAAAGTCAATACCTTGATCGTGATCCTGATCTGGCTCAAAAACTACGCCGAATTGGTAATACTTTGAGAATTTTTGTGGGTCACAGATCGGATTTGTATTATTATCATCGGTTAAAAGAAGAAGAGAAGAAGAAGTGAATGATGATGATTGTGCGGGTTGAATGGTTTTATCGACGTCTCGTTCCGCGGATTTTCTGTGATTTTTCCTCCTCGTGGTGGAAATGGATGAGAAATCTGGTTGGGTTTCGTCCTGTGAGCTGAGTTCGTAGCCAGAGTCGTCGTAATTAGTGTTTTTATTGGAGGAAGAGAAAGTCGTGGTTTTATTATCGTAGCGAGGAATTGTCAGAGATTGGTTTGAGCAAGTGGTTTGATTTTGATGTATTACTGGAGTTTTTTCACTCTTAATTACTTCTTCAGAGGGGGAGAAGTCGTTGTGGTGGTAGTGGTGCTGGTGTGCAACCCTTGGGCTGGAATGGGGACCATCCTCGTGTCTATTGGATGGTGCAGCCTGAAGAGAAAGGGAGAGAAAGTGGATTAGTTATTGAGAAGTGGATGAAAGTGGAGGTAATGAATACATGGGGAAATTGAGACCTAGAAATTTTACGCATTTTTTGCAATATCAAAATTTTAGGGAATTGAATTATGCATTTTTTTCTGTAGAAAGCTGGACTTTCTGTCTTGTAAAAATGAGTAATTTTTATGCAGAATTGTGGTTCTAAATGGACAGAATTATTTTCAAGTATGCAAAATTTTACAAGAAAATTGCATCCCTTTGTGCAGAAATATGCATAATTTATCTGTATAGTTTTCCGCAGGGCTATATAAATGTACATGATTTATTTTTCTGCGAGGTGCATCAAAATGTGCAAAGTTTTGCGGAAAAATTGCCTAATTTCATGCATAAATGTGCAAAATGTCTCCCCTTAAAAATTCTTGGAGAGAAATTATACAGTACAAAAAATATTCTGCACAATTAAACGTGTCACAAAAAAGGTTGCTAAATTTTCTGCAGGTATGCATATTATTATCATTTTTGAAACCTTACCCAAGGGTTGCAAAGCAGGTTTTTTTGGTCCTGTAATTTAGAACCCTCTTCATCCTCATCTTCCTCATCTTCGTCCTCCTCGCTAAGATCAGCATCACCTTCCTCTCCTTCCTCTTGGTCCTCGGTGGAACGGATCGGTGTCACCGTCAAGGCAGCATCCCCCTGAGTCTTGAGCCATTCTGACACTGCCAAAGTTAAACTCTTGGGTCTCTCCTCTGCCTCCGCTTCAGTCTCAACTCTAACTTTCTCCGACTGCTGCTGCTGCTGCTGTCCTAAATCTGTCACATTTTCCTGCTCACCCAAGCCTGCCGTCGACTTTGGTGTCTCTCGTGGTGGACTTTCTTCTTTTTGCATATCTTCTTCTTCTGACGGGGACAGGACGACGACGGAAGAAAGTTTGACCTGACTTTCATCTCCTCGCTTGAACAAACTTGCGACATTGTCGGCGTCATTGGGAGGAGAAGTTGCTGGCTTACAAAAAGAAAGCGGCGGCATTGTTTCCAATTTTTCCTGAGAACTTGCAGCAATAATATCGACTGACGGAGAAAGTGGCTGTTCTGTTGGATCGACTGACGGAGAAAGTAGCTGCTCTGTTGGATCGACTGACGGAGAAAGTAGCTGCTCTGACGCAGCACCTGATTTTGGAGAAAGTAGCTCCGTAACTTTTCCTAAATCAGGTTCTTCATCTTCTTCTTCATCCTCCGGAGGTAAATCTTCTTCAACTTCGTCCAAAGAAGTGGCTCGATTCATGGCATTATTAATATTGAAATCCGACTCTGACACGGAAATCGCTGCGACATCTTCACTCCCAGCCATGCTTTGATTAGTATTTAATGAATCGGAGGGTGAACTTGGTTCACAGAGAGGTTTGAGGAGAGGGAGAAAGTCATCTTCGTCGGTGTCGAGAGAGCCGAATCCGGCGAGGACAGCGGAAGATGTGAAAGATGTCAATGTCAAGTCCAAATCGGACGGTTTCTTGGTAACATTACTCGAAATCTGAGTTAGGGGAAGAATTACGGAATTATTTGAGCTTGAAGTCCGACTTTCTCCAGGAGTAGGATGTCCTAAAGATCTTGGAGAAAGTGGGGATGCTTTCACTTTATTATTCTCTTGTTCTGATGCTAATGCACAACTTTGTGCCGTGGTGGATCCTGCTGCTGAATCATCAATATTGGTGAAAGCAGTAGCCCCTTCTTCTTCTCCGGACTTCTTTTCATTTTCATCATCGCCACATTTTTTATTATTATCTTGATTTGATCCTACTGCATCATCATCATCTTCTTTTGGTGGTGATACTTTCACTTCTTCACTTTCTCCACTGGTGAAAGTGGGGATAAGTTTATGATGACAAGTTTTACTCGCCATTTTCTTACTCTCCTCTTCCAAGAATACTGATGATAAGGATGAAGCTGCTGCCTTAGACTTTTTGGACTTTAAATTCTTCTTCTTGCGTTTGGATTTAGTGGATTTTGTAGAATTTGATTCAATAGGTTCCGTAATTTCTTTCCGGAGTGCGGACGAGGATTTTGATGGTGTCGTGGAATTTGAGGAGGTGGTGGAGGAGGGATGCTCACGTGGTGGTGATTCTCCGTCGAGTAGCGAAGACGAGGTGGAAGTCGTGGAGGGGCTGCGGCTTATAATTTTTGTGGAGGATGTGTTTTTCTCCGTGGGAATAATTTCTCCAGATGAAGAATTAGTAGGAATTTTTAGGTCGGATTCTACTCCTGCTTTCACCGCGTCGTTGATCTGCTTGGAAATAATTTCTCCAGAATTATTAGGACACTGGATTGTCGAGTTAGTTATAATTTGTGATTCTTTTGCTTTCTCCTCGGAAATTGAATGTTTTGCTGGAGCTGATTTTTTAATCTGGTCGCTTTCACTAGTCTTCGTCGTTATTGGTTCGGTTAGCGTTTCACTGTGTAATTTGGTAGCGATGGTAGTCTCGTTGGTGGTGGTGGTTGTAGGAGACTCCGCCTTGGTCGGATGGGAAGCTTCATCTGTCAACTGCAATTTAAAAGGGAGAGAAGAAAATGCTATTAGTTATGTTGCACGTGGTGAGTGAAGTGAAAGCTAAATATGGAAACACTTTGGAAAAGTGGGAATTTTGTGGTGCATAATTCAAATTGGGGAGAGTGAAGAATATTAAAGTGTTCAATTTCGAAGCGAGGAAATAACCAGACCAGATTTTTTAGGTTACTTTCTCTTCAAATTATTATTATTATTATTAGTTTTTGCTTTAGAGAGATGCTTACTAGAATTATTGAAAATTATGGAAAATTCAGTCTTGTTAGCTTTACTTTTTATTATTTTTTCTAGAATGCTTTATTTTTAGTAGGATAAAGCTCGTTAGAGAAATTTTTAGGCAGTCACACGTCATCCTGAAAAAATCTGAACTTGAAATGGATATCTATGATTGAATGTACTGATTTCACACAAAATTCAGGAACGCCAATTTGAGTGAAATTAATACATTTACTCTTCAGTCAATGTTAATAGCCTGAAAAAAATCTGAAAGGTTTCCTGGCAGAAAATTTTCCAAGCAATTGACACTATTAATACTGAACTGAACAGTAACAGAAATTCAAGTAATTATTTTCAGGTTGCAAGACAAAAATTAATACATGTCAGTACTAATACATACATTAATTTTTTTAGTAGACTAAATAATTTCCCCAAGTTAAAGCATCCCGACACGAAAAAGTTTATGTGACAACTTTCACCCAGAATTGATAGCACAACGTATTTATGTCGCTTCCCATCAATCACTAACCAAACCAGCACGTTTTATCTAATAATTAATTACTACTCCACACTAATTGATAAACACTAACGATCCCACTCACAGAATAATTAGTCTTTTTAAGAGAGAGAGAGGACAACACACACACAAATCAATCACCCCGTGTCGTCACTTGTTAACAAATACAATGCACACATACATAAAGCGTTACTTAATCAATCACTACATAAATACACAAAAAAAGAGAAAGCTTAATCAACTGTGTCTCGGGCAATAATTTACAAAAAAGAGGACTGGACAGAGATTGATACACATTTTTTTCTGGTTTAATTCGTACAATTTGCAACACCTGAGGACTGAGAGACATGAGAAGAAGAGAGGAGATTTAAGAAGAACTGACCTGTCCATTATCATCATCATCCTCATCATCGCCCCCACCATTCTCGTCGTTCTCTTTGTCTTTCTCTCTCCGTCTCTTTTTACGCTTTTTTCGACTAGTGGTCGACGTAGAAGTGGAGGAAGAAGAAGAAGAAGAAGAGGGGGAGGAGGAGGACACAGTGTCGGCGGTGGTAGCAGGTGCAATTCCTACATACATACCATATCGTATATACAGACAATCATTACTTGGCTTATAAATCAATCAAAAATAAATAAATGGAGACTAAAATTAATAATAAAATAATTTAGGAAAAGAAGAAGCGCAAAAAAAAGTTTCGAAATTTTTAAAGAAAAAACACAAATTACGAGGCAATAAGACAACGACACGAGCAGCAGATATTGAGGGTGCATACATGCATACGTGCAAAACGATAAATGTGTGTACGTTACAGTACATATGTAAAATATGTATTGTAGTTATGCATTGTAACGTGTGTACTGTAATTTAATGTAATTTATGATAGATTACAGTATTAGATAGTTACAGTACTTAAATATGCAAAATGTGTACTGTAAGTTTTGATGGTTTATAGTACAGTACATCGTTACAGTACATAAGTATTTTGCATATTTATGTACTGTGAATATCTAACGTAATGTAACCTATCATAAATTACAGTATATAAACACATACAGTGCAGTGCATAATTATTGTACACAAGTTACAATACATAGCTACATACAGTACATATTTTTTACAGTGCATACATATTTTCATGCTGAACGTGCTAATGATGCAATTGGTTATTATACATATAAGTAAAAACAGTAGCAAAGATGCGTAGTATGCAACATGCATGATTTATTTTGTGGAACTAGGTGAAAGTCGAGTAGAATTGAGTGGATTGGATTGGATATTATGCAGAGAGAAATCGTTCATCCATTCAAAATCCCCATCTGCTAATTACACCTTTATTTCGTCAAAGTTGAGAGAAATGGAAATGTAAATCCGGGCTCATGTATGTATACATTCAGATGATCCTCATGTGACAGACAGGGGATGAATAGAAATGGAAATGTGCAAAATAAACCGTTTTCTGGGTATGTAAATCATCTACATACATATAATTTCAGGTAGATATGTACATAACTATTAGATAATGAGCATGATGCATACATAGATCGAACCACCAGCCTTAAATTGGTATAAGAAGAACTCCGACGTATGTTGTATAAGGGAATCAGGGTTTCGTTTTTTATGCATAAAACACCCATGGATGTTTTGCATTTATTGCACTGCAAAGAAAGTAACGCATGAAATGTGAGGTGCAAGAAATTGTGAGAAATGTTCAAAATACGCGCCGTATGAATTACATCGGCGGGACGTAGTTTCTTGTGTCGTGTATTTCTTACAGGTTGAATTATTTCGCTGCAATTAAAACACTTTCTTGCATTCAGTGTTGCATTTCTTGCAAGTTTGCTACATTTTTTGCAGTGGAAAGCAAGCAAAGCAAGAAATGCGAGGTGCAAGAAAGTGGGAGAAATATGCGCCATCTAGCCACGTGCCGTATGAAGCGATGGGGCGTAGTTTCTTGCGCCTTGCATTTCTCCCAGGTCAAAATATTCCCTGCAAGAAACCACTTTCTCCCCCTTATTTCTTGCAACTGGTTACTTTCCCCGAAACACTGGATAAAATACAAAATTTCCAGTGTCACCAGTTTATCCCGGTCTCTAGTGAAAGTCGCACATCGAACTCCGACCTATACACGTATTTACATACACGCAGTGAAACCTGCGATCGTCGACAGTTCCTCATTTCTCATTTTATCATCCAAAACCCCAACACGACACTTGGCGTTATGTAGGCAAGCTCCCTCCTTCCTCTAAATAATTTGGATATTGAAGAATTAGTTTGTTAGCGTCATTAGTCGTCAATGCCGTGGCAGAGATTGGGTCGTTTCGCGTGTAAGTGCATATTCATTACAGTGGCGACACAAAAGCCTGAATAGATTTGGTCGTCGCATTGGAAGTCAAATCGAGTCGAGTGACGGCTTTTCAACTTATTTTGAATGAATAGATGAATGTTTGATCAATCACCGTTTTCTTCTTTTCACTGGGAAAAGTTGGGTGGCAAAAATTGACACAATTTTCGTCAAAATATGTAAATTATTAATGCCACCCACGCACACCACGTGAGGTTCTTAAATTTTTAATCAAACTCGTGACTCCGTGTGTGTAGGAGGGGGCAGAGAAAGCAGGTCAATTTGAGTGGGTTTGATTTTAGTGAGAATTTTTAACGTAATGCGTAATCTCACCTTGAAATAATTTGCATAAAATAAACATTTAATCAGCGAATCTAACAAACCAAATTTTCTCCTTAATTTCTCAGATTTTTACACAAATCTGTGCCACGTGTGCTTAAGAGAAAGCAGGTTAATTAGTGTGTGGGTTTTGATTTTAGTGAGAATATTGTAGTGCTGAATCGCACTTATTTAGTCGACGATGAATTTACACTCTTAGAAAATTGGTATTAAATCATTACTGATCGGAGTATATCTATAACTCTACCAGCATGGTAATATTAGTAATGTCACTGTAATGAAAAATTTACAACACAGAAACAAACTACTACAAATCCGGTATAGAAATTTATTACCAAATCAATACCAGGACGGAGTATATATGCGATTCTGCACTCTAAGGAAACTGGTATTAAATCATTACTGACCGGTGTACATGCGTACACGTATGACTCTACCGGCACGGTAACAATGAGCATTACGGTTTAGTAATATTGTAGAAAAACTACCAGACAGAAACAAACTATTACCAATTCGGTTTAGGAGTTATTACCAGATCAATACCCGTACTGAGCATATGTCTCACTCTACCAGATTTTTAACAGTGTACACAAACCAAATTTCCAAACTCACCTTCCTCTCCTCCTTAATGAAGCAAACTTAAGAGCTGCTTGATGTACGTACGTAAGTATATGAAAACTCGCTATAATTTATTTTCTGATAATTAGCGCAACTCTCGAAATGATTACGAAGAACCTACTCCACGTTCTCGCACTAATTAACGAATCAAGGAAAACATGAACTCTGCACTTTCACAGTCAAATACAACGCAGTACTGAACCGAACTGTCTTCAAAATCTCAGCGGCGGAACAACTACATCATCATAATATACATATCGTCATGCTTTAAGATTAGAAACTTCTGCCAGAAAGTGCAGGACGTGGATGCATACATATTTACATATGTACATACAACTTGGCAAATATCCCGATAAACATGTGGTAACACGTGGGACAAAACTGGTCATTTTAATAAAAATGTGCTGTACGACAGACTTGGTTGAAACGCCTAGAGTAAAAATTTGAACTATTTTTTATGAAATTTGACTCAATTTTCTGCAGAACAATTTTATTTCGCAGAGCGATTTGTGGAGAAAACTATTATTATAAGTATGCAAACACATGATTTCTGCAGAATAAAACCCATAGACATTTTCTGCAAGATTATGTAAAAAAAATATGCAAAATTTGAAAATACTCTTTCGTTATAGCAGAATTCGGCACAATAATTTGCTACTCGGGTGTGTACAATGTTACATTAAACTCTACACACGGGAGGACGGACAAACCGTTATTTTGGCCAAGACTGTCACATCGTTTTTCGGGAAAAGCAACCTTATCCATGTAATGTATCCGACAGTAGCTACATAGCAAGTACATCGAGATACGTATAATCACCACCCACCCGGTTTGTTTTTTGCATGATTGGATGGATTTTCAACACACACACGTACGAAATAGTGAACTCTCGGGTAATGCAGCTCTCGGTGAAAAAAAGAAGTTTTAAATGCGAAACTGCAAAGCTTGGCGGAGTATAGTCGAGTCGAGCAGAGTTTTTTCGGAGATCAGCACATCGGAATTACACATTTCTTTTTGGCACATTTCCGGCTCTGTGCTATGCAGTTGGTTGACTTTATTTGCTTACTCTTGATTTGACGTTGAGTGAGTCATCGACTCGTGAACTTTACAGGATTAAACGGATTCCGATGACGGATAGGAATATGTACGATATAAAGCTTGAATTTTCCTATCTCTCAACGTATCTCTATAGCATTACAAGATAGGGAAATTATCACGAAATCACAGAGTATAGATTAACCTTAAGCCAGTAAAAATTCGTACAGAAACCTGTATACGTTTATCCAGAATAGGATTGGATTTAGGGGAGATTTATGACTGAAAATATTTATACTTGTTTCCATAATGTGTTGGAAGATGTGTTGGTAATTTGCGCCATAGTTATAAACCATAATACTGGCGTAAGTTATTGGTAGTAAAGTATAAAAACGCACCTTATTAACGCATATATGTACTTAAATATATCGCTGTTACGCAGAAGAATAAACATACTAAAATCATGTATATCAGCTCTTTTCATGCCATGAGCCCCATACATTTTTCTACTTTATGAAAAAGGTGAAACGGATATTCATGTATCACGTATTCATGTGTCAAGTTAAGAATAAAGGCTTATTTTTATCCAAAAAATAATATAAAAATGGGGCATGGAAGTTGGTGCACAGTTCTAAATGGACACGTTATACATAAATATTTACTCTTTTTTTCAAGTCCTGACTTGACCTTGACTGACCGTGTAAGTAAGTAAGCAATGCGTATATATAAATCAAGAAACTTTGCACGTTAGAGAAAAATAGGGGAATTTTCGACAAGCCGATTTTCATACTTTCACCCTAAATTAATTGCATCAACACGAATTCCCACAGGCCTTTTACATATATACATACGTAACATTGTAAAATCCGTATCAATTTAATAACTTTTGTAAATATTTCAGTGGAGAATTAACCTACAAATTTTTGTAGATCAAGAGAGTCTCGATATTTTGTAACATTTGTAAAATAATTATATTGCCTCATTTCCTTACCTGGGTGAAACGAAATGTAGAATTTTCCTTAAAAGTATTCCAACTATTATTTCCCTAGGAATCAATCATTTCGAAAAATCCATTTCCCAACTGAACGATTTACTCAGGAAAGAAAGTACTACGACCACGTGGACGTGGAAATACAGAGGGTGAATCAAGATACAAAACTCACTTTAGTTTATTTTTCTACAGCTTCATTTTTCGTTTGTGAATTTTGTAAATTGCTTCAATGTGTAGCCCAT